TTCTCAAGACGAACACTCGAATGTTATAGTTTCTCACGCACCCAAAAAGTCGGTGGGTTACACATGGACAACTTTTACCTACTGACAGATCGGATCGCATAGGCTGGGGATCTCCTCAATAAATTGCTTTATTGGCCAATTGAAGGTCGGTGGCAACTACTTGTTGTGTGTGTTTCGCTCAATGAATTCGAATAATTCGTGGTGGTGGGTATCGTATCGCAAGGCATCGCATCGCTTTTCGTCTTTCATTTTCCTAAACGAAGGTTTTTTCACGGCTCAGCCACCAGAGTTTTAAGTCACAGGTCAAGTGACCTGTGGCCCATCTCTTGGCCGGCTTAATGCCCTCAAATTATGGGGGTTGGCCTCAAGAGAACACGTATAAGAAATGCCATAAAAGTGCATAATAAATATTATAAATTACATTTGAATACCCTCTTGAGCGGCACAATTTATCACTCAGTTTGCGGCTAAGTGAGTGGAGAAATCAGCGAATGGTACTGACCGCTAAATTGGGTACTAGTTTTAGCTAGAGGAACGTCTTACAGAAATACTCAGTCATCTAGGTATAAATATAGCTAATTAACACCTTTTTTAGGTGCCCTAAATCTAACTGGGTTCCCTTTGCTTTGGCTAGAAAGGTTTAGAAGGTCGAGAAACTATCTTTACAGTAAAACAGATTTAAAATTAATGAGTAACGATAAATAGCATAGGGATTTCTTTTATTTACTCTCTTTTGCAACTTTTAGATTTGTGTTCATGGCTTTCAAGGGTATTTAAGTTTCGATGTGGCCATAATAGGGCCGGCGTTTTCGTAAGTTTTCATTTTTTTAATGGTGTTCTCATATTTCACAAGCCACACACTCGGGTTCAATGCCAGGAAGTCCGTTCCGCTTCTGGCAGCCCATAAAAATACAGATACAATTATGCCAGCCCAAAAAACTGACCGTCTGGCGTTAAATTAATGAGCTCAAATTCGAGATCAAGTTACGAATGTGTGCCACTATTTTCGGAATAGTTGGGTGGTACACCCATCACCCATCCACCTCCCGGCTGATAAGCGTTTCGGGTTTGCCGAGTTGCGAGATAACAGCCTCATCAAGATAAGGGTGAAAAGTATGTCACGTTTGACACTTGTTGCCGCTCCCTTTCCACCTCGTCTTTTTTGGGCCTGCGTGTGGGAAGCCCGACAAGAACGTGTTAAATCGAGATACGTTTTTTTCGGGTGAAAGAATAAACAACTAAAAACAGGCAGTGTTTTTTACCACAGACGTGATCAATACAAAATTGATTTTAGCGTGTAGTTATTAGATATGCAACGCTTACAATCAACCGCCCACAGTAGTAAACCTACGGTGAACAGTGGAACCTTGTTAGAGTCGATAAACTGTCTTTACTACAAGAAGACTACAAACTACAAACTACAAAACGTAAGTGCCATCATAGTTACATAAGATCCTTTGCTTAAGTGAGGATATCCCATTAATTATGGCGTTCTTGAAAAATCTTTTCTTATAACTTATGCGAAATTAAATTGTTAAAATTGGTCTTTTAGTAAATGACCGATAAGTAGGGAAGCGATTGCATTAATTTTTAATAGTTTCAAAGGAGAAAGATTAAATTGGATCAGATTCTAGAAATATTTAGATTTATAAAGAAACTTGAATGGATTTATAATATGTAACACGACGTGTTCTTCATAAAATAGACATTCGCCATAAAAAAAACAAGATTTACATTTAGGACTTGCATTTATGTTTCGTTTTTGACTAGACATACAGAAGCCGCACTGTATAACCCGTTTGGGTCCGTGGGCGTTTTCATTAAGTTCCACCGAGTGCCAACAGGTGGATTCGAGTGGCGTGAAGTGGATGTTGCCTTTTGGAGCCCGACTGGCTGCCAGATTTAATGGAGCTTGGACTCTGGTCTGATGTAATGACAATATGCATTTTTTTTATGAATAACAATCAATTCTGACGGCTGTTTTCTTTTGTTTTACCGCTTATCGGCGACGTCGGCCGGTTCATTGCTCTGTTCTGTTTTTCTTGTTTTCCACTTATCAAAAAAAGCAGAACAGACATGGTTCGTAGGATGGAATTATCACCGGACTTCCGATGTTTGGTGAATCATGTAGTAGATGAACCAGTTTACTATATTTAGATGATTCAGCTGAATCTTTTGGAGAGGCGTTATTATGGCGCGACAAGTTTTTCAGTTTTTCATTCACAAAACACTGCGCACAAATGTGGGAGTTGTTACTGGGGTTAATTTGGACAGCTTGCACTGTAAGGGTTAAGTGGGACGCGTTCCAGTTTCGGCCCACTTGAATTGGAAAACGTACTTTGGAAATTGGGAACACGCGCTGGAAAATGTCCCGTATGTAAATGCAACTTCCATTTGGCTTTACCGTTACAGCTCAGTGGTAAATTGATTAGGCTGGTAATCGATTGGATTCTTTTTCATTTTTTGGTTGGGGCATCAAACCCGTTTTTTACTGTTGGCCACCGCCTCGCGAATGAAAAACAAGTCCGATATATTCACCTGTAGCTACGCGTCACTTCTAAGCTGGCTAACTCTTTTGCCTCAGCTTCTTTTTCTTTACCACTTATTATCCGCTTCTCTTTCGACTCGTTTACTTTACTCTACCACTTTGGCTGCTGTTTACAGCACTCACACACTCGCACACGATGATTTATTTTCTTGTATTACTTGTTTCTTATGTTGGTTTGTATACACATATGTGTATGTTGTTGTTGTTACTGCTGTATGCGCATAAATTAAAGAGCGCTAGAGCGAGAGGGAAGTAACACACGTCTGTACACAATGAAAACCTGTTTGTTGCTTTTTTATGCTTCCAGTGCGTCTCTTTGGGTGTGTTGTTGTTGCCTGGAGGCAAGACGCTATGCGGGGGTTGTCTTAGAAAAACATTGTTTTAGGCACTTCAACTTTGCACTCTTCCTTAGCAATTAAGCGATTCGTTCACATTAAGGTTTCGACCAACCTTTCAACTCACCAAAATTCATAAAAACATTTAAATAAACTATCAAATTAAGCGAAAAACACGGAACACGAAAAAAGTGTACACAACTTTACTCGACGGCCATTTTCTAGAGTTGGGGCAAACATCGATGCCAACATCATTGTATCGATGGTTTTAAATAATCGCTTTTATCGATGTTTGACAGGGTCATCGATGTTGATCCATCTCTAACACTTGTACACATATTATTTACTCAAAATTATACAATTATCTAATAAATAGAAAATGCAATTTTATCCCTGCGAGGTATGTTCGCTAATCTAAATGCCGAAATATATAAATTAAAAAAAAGAAAATTCTAAAAAAATATATGTCATTGAACTCTGAATGTCAAGTAAATAACCCTTTTTTTTAATTGATGACATTAAAAATGTTATTCTTTTCAAACATTGATGTTTTCCGCCAAAAACATCGAAAACATCGACTAAGTGACCATAGGTGACCGTTCAAAAGTACCAAACCAAAGCGTTGAACGGTATTTATATACCACACCTACTAGCTGTGGTGTTTTTTAGTGCTACCACGGTATGGCAGCGCCGTTCATTTCGCTTTAAAGAAAAACACAAAATATACTCTAATATGAATAAAATAAAGTAAAAATATAGTGCAATAATCGTCCAAAAAAAAGGTCAAAAGTGCAATTCACCATGGCCACAAAGTAAGTGCAATTAACAAAGATTAAAAGACAGTGCAAAAACTTTATGCGGGCGTATGTATATGTGTGTGGGCGGCGCGCTGTGTATGTGGGGGTATTTTTGTGTTTGTTTTGAGCTGCAGCGTCCGCCCCCGCCACCGCCCACTAAATTTGCATTCACATACACAGAAAGTGGGAAGAAGAAGAGGAAGCCCGAGATAAGTATCGATTTCGAGCGGTGAAATTGAGAAAATGTCAAAGTTCAATCGAGTGATAAGCCGGTGAAATGGTATTTTGAATTTGTATATATATATTTTTTAGTGGAGTTTAATTGCTGTAACAACAGTTTAATTCATAATGAATCCCCTTTCACTTTAAAGCTTTTAAAAAATTTGATTTGATCTCTATTGAATTGTATATTTTATCTTTTTAAATATTTTTGACAAATAATATTTAAAATTCAAGTTTAACATTTGTTTAGCAAGGGGAAGATTTACATACATAATTCTTAAAGAGTAAAAAAATGTTTTGTTAAGTTGTACGGAACAATTGGAAAGAGGTTTCCAAGTATTAAAAAATATTGTCAACGTTTTTTTGCCATTTAAAATATAATTGATAATTTAACCTTGTTTTAAAGAGTTTCCAAAACTTTTAGAATGTTATTGTCTCACAAGTTTTTAATTGAACGCTTTCGGTTTATCATTAGATAACCGATAAAACAGTAATTACACAGTAACCGGTCTATAAAAACAAGAATTGTTTTCTTATTTAAATAAATTTAAATCAATAAATATTTATATTAAATGTATTTAAATAAGACATAGTTAATAGTTTAAATAGACCGCTTATTGTTCAATAAAAAGTTCAAAGACCTCTTAGTCATAACAGAAAAAATCCCTTGCTTCACAAGTTCAAAGATTTAAGATTCTCACGTAGCAGCCGTTACAAATTACTTGGGAACTCCCCATAGAAATTTGTTTGGCCAGGTGTTTAATTCAATTGCAAAATCATAATGACAAGCAGTTTCGGCGGGAATGCAATGCAATGTGCATGATGTAAATTATATTGAACCAAGTTCAATTGTCACTTCGAAGGTTTCCAACTGGTTTTCGCTTAATTTGTCGATTTTATTGTATTACCTTCCATCCAATCCCCACATAATATGGGAATTTTTGCCATCATTTGTAAAATACATGTCGAATTAGTAGGTGGACTGAAGTGTTTGCCGTGAATCAAAAGTGTGATTTTGTTGTATCTTCATCGACAAAATCAAAACTTGTTTGCTTCTTAATTAAACCAGCCTTCGTTTTGGGCTCGATAATGACCAAGCGGTCGGTGTTTCAGATAGTTTTCGTTCAACCACAGACAGGTCATCATGTCTCGCAGTTTTTGTGCGGTGAGTTGTGGAGATTCGCTAGTCAGAATTTTGCCAAAAATATAATAATAATTAATAATATAATTTAGCTTTTGGCGATTCTCATCGTTCATTTGGTCAACGCGACGCCTCAAAATTCTCCAACCATCGTTCCGCAAATCCGCACTAATGGCTTTCAACTGGAGCCCCTAAACCAGGAATACTTTCTTAGGTAGTTAGTCATGATGGCCTCGATCGATGAGCCTTCATTAAATTGGTTTTGTTCCCCTAGAATCGAACATCCAGGTGGTGCTATTCGCCAGGAAACCGTGAAACAGAATGATGCCGGTCACCTGCAAGTCAGCGGATTAATTAATCAGCCCTTTGAGGATCAGGGTGCCAATCTTGTCCTGACCTATGAGGCCGGACCGAATGGATACGTTGCAAAATACAGTTTCGGCAAGGGTCCTCCAACGCCTCCACCTCAGACCCCCTTGTTCCTCAGTCCCGGAGCCTTGAAAACCGCAGCTGGATAAAATATAGAATTAATTGTGCCTTAAATAGAACAATACATTTTAGTGGTAACCGAATATATATTCATACGACTAAAAATTAATTCTAAATAATTAAACTAATTTGGTAACCATATTTTTGAACTTGAGATAGCTTAAGAACATTAAAGGAAAAACTTGACAGTGTACTGGACTAGAGTATGAACAACTTTGAATACACAGCTTGAGAAATTTATAAAAACCACGGACAAAATGTAATAATGTACTTGCTATTTTTGCCTATATAACTTGTGGTATAATTAATTAATAAGACTTGATTTAAAGACCAAAACCGATATGCCACTAAATGGTAATGCTAAAAAGTGGTATATAAGTGAAGACGTCTCTTGAATAATCACAGGTTGTACTTATATTTACAACAATCTTATCCAATATTATCGCCTTGATAAAAGCGCTTTATATAGCTACAATACAAGCTAAGATTATTTTTTATTGGTATTAATTAAAAGTTCCAGTTTGAGACCTGTATTAAGGTAGTGTATTGTTTTGATGTTTGCTAGCGGCTGCTTGATTTTTAAAATGCCAGTTCAACATTAACCACCGAAAGATGTTCACCAATATATTAAGCTCTGTGAGATTTTATTCAATATATGTTCCTTAAAAGTAATTTTATGATATCTGCTATAGGTGCTTTTGATTCTTTTTCTGAATGAGGTGACTTCGGCACCCACAGCTTCAGTCACATCTTTTGTGCCGTCTATTAACGACAATGGCGTTATTGTGGTGCCGTATGATAATAAATATTACCTGAGGTATTTAAACGTTGAAGATGAAAAGTGAATACAAATAAGTGACTTCCATTTCGTAGGATCGATATTGAGGGAACGGGGAGGGAGGAGACCGTTGAGGAGATTGCCCCGGATCAGTTCCAAGTTAAGGGCACCTTTGGACAGCCCTTTCCAGGATCCAAGTACCTTTTGGTAACCTACGAGGCCGGGCCAAATGGCTATGTGGCCAAGTATAGCCTATCGGAATTACAGAACCAGGTTCAACACCTACCACCCGCTGCATTGAAAACTGCCGCCGGATAAAAAACAAATCAAACTGATAAGTGATATAGCCAAATGAGAAATTCTTAACTTCATGAAATAATAAAATAAAATTCTAAACTACCAGATCATTGGATCTGGTAATCATTGTTTCTTTTTTTTAAATAAATATACTTAAAAACACTACAATAAGTTTAAAATTAATATTTACAAATAAGCTTTGACTTGCGTCAGCACCTTGATACCATTTGAGCAACTCTAAATTTATTATTTTGCAAAATTTGCTAACTGGAAAACTAAATTAAAACAATGAAAATTTCAAGCTCTAAACAATCGTTCGATCCCGTCAGTTTTGATTGTTAAACAACCAAGAAAGAAAACTCTTGGGAAAGTTTCATCCAGATAGCTTATAAAAGGAAGATCAAGAACAAATATCCTTTATAGGGTCGGAAATGACTCCTTCAATGCGTTGCAAACATATGTCTAATTACGTCCTTCAATAAAATATGTAAATGAGTTTTAATAGTCTTTAATTAATTAATTATTATTTTAATTATTTTGCACTACTAAAGACTCTCAAACTGTAATAAAAACCAGAAAGCACAATTATCATTTCTCTACCGATTTATTTACTTCTAAAACGGGAATCGATATACCTTTGGCATTGAACCAATACATTATATGAATGTATTGGACTCGTACACCCGCTCAACCGCAGCAATAGAAAAACTCTGACGATTTCACCTCAGTTCTCACTGCTCACCTGCTGGCTCACCTATTAACGTGAGTGGTATTCTGATCACGCTCTCGTATCACAGTTGCTCGTAGTCGTATCAGGCAGCTGGGCCGGAGCCACAGCCACAGCCACATCCACATCCACATCAGAATTACAGACAGTTGGCATTGTGCGGCGGTATTGGCTTGTTGACTTATCAGAATTGGCGGTAGTCAAATGTGATAAGCGGCCACGATGCATTGCTAGACTTGAAAGCTCCGAAATTCCAAAGATTTGAGGAACTTTAAGTGGCAATGTTTCGGGATTGGCGTAAACCTAGCCACAAGCGATGGCAGAAACTACAGCAGAAGCAAAAACCAGCGATCCTGACCGAAAGGTGCCTTCAGTGTCCATTGGGTTTATTTCCAAACTCTTACAGTTCAAACATGACGTAAAACACTGTCAAAAATCAGTGAAGAAATTTATTTTATGCACCAAAATCAGTAAAAAACATTTGGAATAGTTTCGAATTCCAAAATTGGTGAATACATATCATTCAATAAAATCAGAGTTGAGATGATTTGGATATATTTCAAATAACAACAACCTAAAACACTTTTATATAAAAAAAATGCTTAAAAAATGTTCTCAAAACGTGTGACCCGAACTTAACTTGAAATAAATAATCAGTGAAAGTGCCTTTGTTTTACATATTCAACAATAATCAGAAATAAATAAGTAAACTATAAAGTCTACAAGTTGATGGTTTATAACATTTTTTACTGCAAGATAATTTAAGCTTTTGATGGAGGAACATAAAGTGGTTAACTATTACTATAGTAATAGTTTTTTATATATAAAAAGGTGCAAAACTCTTTAACTTCAATATGAATATGAACTTTCATGTGTTTTAAACCATTCAGGATATTTCAACTTATTAATAAATTGCCTAATTTGTTTGCAGGGAGACGATGATCGTGTTTGTCTACGACGCGGAGTGTCTGACAGACGAGGCGGATGATCCCATTTCGGCGGTCCTGTATTTTCATCCCAGTTGGGTGTCCGACTCCCAGAAGGTGGCTCTGTGTGGACAACTAATGGGCACCTCGTACTTCCTCAAGGATTGCTTCTTTAATCCCCGCATCCTGGCCCTGCAGAATGGCAAGTTTGTGCTGAAGGAGTTCGGTCGTTTCATCTTGGTAAGGATGATTAAACACCCTTTTTTTTTGCACTTACATTCATTTCACATTTTTGTTCTCAAGGCCATTGGCACTGATCGGAATATTGGAGACCAACTGTTGGAGCATCGCGCCGACTTGCTGAGCTCCCTGCTCAAGTTCTTCCACCGTGACGTGCAGACTCTGTATGCTCAGTATGCCTCCCTGAGTCGCCGGAATCTCAGCGAGAAACTGTACCACATCTTCGAGACTTATTTGCCGATGCTGCAGCGCAACGGAAACACATTTCAGAATGTGCCCCGGTTGCGTATGCCAAAGGTTAGCGGTGGTAATCCTAACGTGGAGAAGAAATTAATTGAGTTTCCTTTCCAGACGGCCAGTCATATTTTCCTGGAGGCCATACAAACGCTGCAAAGTTGCCAGCAGACAAAGGGAATTCTTGGCGGAGCCATTCTCTACCACAACAAGTTTGTTAATATTATTTAATCCTTAAATACCTTTTCTATATAAAGAAAGAAGCTTTTGTTTATTACCTGTATATGTTATCCATTGTTCAACCAACAAGTACACAGTATAATCTTTTCATAATTCCGTATGACACAGCTATAATCATAATAAATCATTTCTCTCACAAAATAATCCTTATTTCCAAGCTATGTTTTTGTTTCGCTTAAATTTAAACAATTTTTATTTAGCTACCAATTGGTTATTTAACTTTTGCTTCTATAGTAAGTGGTTTTATAGTTATTAACTTTGAAAAAGAAAACAAAAATAATGATTATTTGGTCATCAAGTATCACAATTAATTTATTTTAATTTGTTTATATAACTTTCAGAGTGGTGGCCTCTCAACTAAGCGATATGGTGACCAAGCACCTGGTGCTCACCGATCCCCTTCACGTGCGAACGGCTGCGGAACCAGTGTCCAACCATCAAGAGTTCCACATTCCCAATGGCGTCCAGATGCTGGTGGTTTACTTGGAGCAGATGCAGTACCGCCAGTTGGTTGGCGAGGCACAGCGCGCCCAGAACCTGCAGATGAGCACGGCTCAGCTCTCGCAGAGTGGAGTGCCATTTCAGTATGCCAAGCGGAAGATGAAGCGTGACAAGTCGCTAATCTTCACCCACATTCCCGAGGAGCGGGAGCATGCGCCGGAGCAGCAGCTGCAGCAGCCATCGGAGTTGCCACCAGCCAGACCCAAATCCATGCGACCCACCCACCTGCCCCTGCGCATAAAGAACATGCAGAGCAAGGAGCTCCCAGAGTCGGGGATTGCGTCCATAAACTTTGACGAAACCGACTCGTATCCGCAGTTCATTGGACGCACCAGTGTGTGCAACACTCCCATGACCGAGAACAAGGTGCTGCCGGTGGCCAATGTAATGTCCATTTGCGCCAATCCCGAGGACGAGGGCAAGGAGGAGGATGTCCACAATTCCAATGGCAAGGCGCAGTCGCGTCGGAGCTCCCTCAAAGTGGATGTGGAAAAGTTCTTTCAAAACTTCATCAGCAATCCCAACAAACAGCTGACCAGGCGCAAATCCTCTGCTGACTTGCAGGATGCTCTTCGAGCCATCTCCAAGAAACTGAACCACTTTACGCATGGCTTCAAGACCGATGTGAATCGAAATGGCAGCGGGGATGGCCATGCCTCCTCCGATTCGCCGGATTTCATCGAGAACGACGAAGAGAAGATAACGTCGCGTACCATCAGCGATCCCACCTATCCGGTTTTCAATACTAATGGCCAGCAGATCTCGCGCAGCCTGTTCCAGCAGTTCCTCGATCAGTATCGCAAGCTGTGGGGCGTGGCCAGCGAGCAGGCGCACGAGGATGCCGAGCTGGCCGCCCTGGTGGCCGAGTTCCAGGAGTTTAACGCCGAGATCCAGAAGCTGGACGAGCACATGCGGCAGCAGGCCGCCGAGGCATCCTCCGCCGATCGGAATCTCAACGTTTCCGCGACTAAAACGCCGCTGGACAAGCGATCTATGACGCTGCCCCTGAAATCAGCAGGAGAATCCACTTTCGGAGAGCGTGCATCCGGACGCAGTGGAGCCGGAGGAGTGCCGCTCACACCACTAATGGCCAAACTATCTGTACTGGCCCTGAGCGAGACCACGCCCATCGAGATACAAACTCCGCTGACCAGCACTAAGGTGTTTCCACGTCGCAGTTCGCTGAAGTGCGAGGATGCAGTGGATGCCCTGGCTGCCATGTCATCCACTGCTCCTGCTCAACCTCCGGGTCCCATTCAACCGGATGGCCTGCAGCGCACGGAACTCTACATTTGTGGTCAGCAGAATATGACCCTGCTGTTGCTCATGGAGGAGGGCACTTGTCAGCAGCAGGAGGTGGTGCAGAAGATGGTAAGATTACTCCTTGTCGATTATATACTGTATTATATACTGCATTACCATATATCCTTAGTTCGACATATGCGTGGCCAAGTTTCCGCACATGGAATCTCAACTGAATCAGACTCTAAACGTAAATGTGGAGGGCGACAACCGCGATGGCAGCAACTACAGCTTCATGTGCGTGGACTCCAAGTGGGATGTGCTGCAGCGGAATGGTCCTTGGAATCCCCTCGAGCTTAACATCATAGAGAGCATGCACTCAATACATTCCAATGGTCATCATCTTACAGATTTGATCTTAAGGTAGGCTCTACTTAGAACATTATTGAATTAGAAATTCTCAAACGGGAGAATTAAAATATTATTGAGTCATTCAAATATGTTGTTCGATTCAAAACCAAAGTATCCAACCGGTTTCTTAACCGTTATCCCTAACCGGTATAACCTAATCAAAAACGTAACCAAAACCGGAACCGGAATCAAGGTTTTTAGAAAAACAAATTTTTTTGGAATTATATTGACAATCCTCGTATTTTGTGTTATAAATTTATAAACAAAAAAGTATTACAATGAAAACGCCATTATTCACAAATTCAGGGAGATTTATTTTTTTTTATTTGTATTATATCTTAAGAAAACGGCTCGAAGTTAAAACAAAAATTTAAGAAATTCTGACTGTTCTTTAAATGGTTTTATTAATTCCCAAATGCAATTTCAGATCCCACGACTCCGTTTACTATGGCCACAAGAACGGAAGAACCGAGTTCTTCTACAAGGAGCCCACCCATCAGATCAATGGCATACCACCGCCCTCGGATCCCATTGGGAATATACAGATGCGAGCCAAGTCGCGACTGGAACGAGATCATTCCTACATGCTGTTCTAGGATCGTAGTTTAGAGTCGTATATTGAATACTCGCATGCTTAGCCAAAAACAGAAAATGTTAACGGGGCAAAGTTCCCGGAAAATAGCCAACTTTATGCCATCCGCTGTTATATAATTTGCGATCTCTGGCCGATTCCTACGCGAGTCCATATCATATACAAAAAAACCAACCAAGGGAACTCAATTTTAAACGACCTAAATTTTACTTCGACTTTTTATACAGCACATTTACAAGAAAATTACTAGACTCGTGTGGGAAATCAATAGAAATAGAATTCTAGACGTGCCGCTTTCAGCCAGCGATATATTATATTTTGCCTTGTTTTAACTTTTACTTGAAGTACAAAAAATGTTTTAATGCTTTGTTTACAATGTCCAGCACTGTTGTTTAATTTATAAGCTTGTGTGTAATCTATACAATTATTTTAATTATTTTGCAATTGCTACGCACTGATTTCGAAAGCCAAAGAAATTAAATTGAGGGATTTTAATTGTAAATATAATACAAAATTAGATTCATTTAGATGGAATTATTTGTGACTAACCCAGACTTCTGTCCAGATGCGAATATGCATATACTTATCTTAGCTGTTTCTCATTATCAAATATTAAGCGCTTTGTGCCAATTTAAATGCAGGTCAAATGCTGAGAACCGTCGTAAAAATGAGGGAACGTGAGAACGCTGGTTTTTAACCAAATAAAACAGTTTAAGCAGTGCAATAATGTGTGCAAGCAACCCACTATTTTGAGAGTTTTGCGTTGACTTAGCTTAAATATACATACTACATAAATACCTAAACAACATTATTTATACAACATAAAAAATATTCATATATGGTATATGATACAAAGACCGGTATTGTTTTTGTAGATTTTCAAAAATAAACCGACTGTGTTTGAGAAATACTTTCGAGGTTGGAACTCATTTAAGGACTAAGGCATTTTCATCACAATCCAAGGAACTCGGCCGTAATACTTGTAATAGTAGTAATCGTAGGCAAGTTTGCCCAGGATGAGTAGGATGAGGCTGGCCAGGATGCCGTTCAGCCAGTCGATGGGATGGATCTGTGTGCCACTCTCCGCACTCACATTGCACATCTCCTGCCGACTGAGGGTCAGCACTTTGGCCAGTCGCTGCTCATCCTCCTGCATGTAGGTGCAGGTCACATTCCACGCATCCCTCACAATGTCCTTGTACTTGGTCAGCAGCTCGCGCAACCTGCTCCCGAACTTGCAGGTGCAGTGCCACGGATTCCGACTGAGCAGGAGGAGATTGGCATTCTCGTTGTCATCGAGGGCATTGTCCAGAGCATACACATGCAGCTTGCGCAGATTGTTGCCCCGCAAATTGAGCAGCCGGAAGTGCTGCAGCCAGTAAGTGTCCTCCAAATTGTCCACATTGGACACTTGATTGTTCTCCAGCTGCATATCGACCACATGGCGGTAGTGCGGATTGTCTCGAAGCGGATTTATGTCACTGATCTGGTGGGAAATGAAATAGGAACACATTGCAGTTTTTAAAGAGTGTACTTTTCATTCGAAACTTCAATTAAAGATTTCCATTTCCAAAAATTATATGATATTGATCAATTAAAGTGGGGGAAACAAATACTACTAAATTATTCGTTAAATTTTAATTATTTTTTAATAAGAAATGTATCTTTCTTGCCTAAGACTGGTTAGTAATCTATCTTTTGTTAGTGAAAATCGAAAAACAAACTGATTATCAAATGGTTCTTAAGAATTACTATTTTTATTGTTATTAATTTAAACTTTTAATCATTTTTTGTTTATAGTAATCCACTGAGAGCTCACTATTATTTTGGTCCAAATCAGATGTTTTTTAGCCATGTCATTTAATGTATATTTTTTTTAATACAAAAATTGTGTATATATATTAGATAATAGTTACAATTTAATATAAAAACCTATTTTTTACGCTGAAGCCCTTTAAAGGCTTAGGTCCTAAGCTCATTAAATTATAAAATGTATACATTTTTAGATACTTTTAGATGTATTTAAAACCCCAATCCTTACCATATTATCGTTGATGACTAGAGTGGTGGTGTTATCTGGCAAAAAGGCGGGCAGGCGGTGGAACTGCAAGTGGGAACAGTTGACCGTATAGAGCGGAATGTGGGTTCTGGGCAAGATGTGGTGCATCAGGCAAGTGCAGTTCCTCAGATCCTCGTGCGATTGGCACTGCTTCTTCAGTTCCTTTTGGGAATTACCATCAAGTAGTTAATCAAACACATAAATGGGTTGGAGGTTTACCTACCAATTTATAATGCATGACTAGTAGCATCTGGCGCTCCTTGTACTTGCGATCCGTGCAGATCAGCTCATCCCTATCGACCACCAGTCGTCCCTTTTCCGGCTGCAACAGCATCCACTTGAAGTTGCGAGTGCAGTTCCAGGGATTCCCCGCCAGATACAGCTGTTCGAAGTTGCGGGGCAGCAGCAGAGGTCCATCCAGCTGGATGAGTTGGTTCCATCGCAGGTCCAGGATCTTGAGCGGATGCACCCGCTTGAAGGTTCGCGATGAGATGTACGAGAGATTCGTCCACGAAATGTTGATGGTCTGCAACTCCGACATCTCCGGAAAGTCGAACTTGAACTCTGTGAAGCCACTGTACTCGATGGTCAGCGAACGCAGGCGGGGCAGCTTTTGCAGGTCCTTCAGGTGATTGAAGCCATCCTTTGGCCAGCCGCAGAGGAGCATGTCCAGCGCGGGCTGAGCTCTGCTCAACTTTCCAGAGTGGCTGTTATGCGAAAATAAAAATTATTCATATCAAAAAAATTATTCTTTCAAAAGTCCAATTTTTTTTTTAAATTTGGAAAGGGGTTACATATTAAAATGTCAAGTAAATCGAACCAGTCTTGTAAATCGAATCCCTACGTTATTAAGACGATTTAATTATGTAAATTGATTTTTTATATATAAATATGAAAGAATGTACAATGTAGAATGTAGGTCTGTAAAATCATGAAAGTGACTGTTTCCAAAAATTAATATTAATATTTTAAATGTATTTTTAAATGTCAAATTTAATTTTTTAAAAAATCAATCAACAATGTTTATGAAATACTTAAAATTGTAGGTGTGTTTAAAGGCATTCGTGTTTTCAGTTTAAGACAAAAGGAAACTACATGTTTTTATAATATTAATGCATCAAGGAAATTGAGAAATTTTTCCTTCATTATTAAGAGATCATTAATGTATAAATACTTGTATAAACACTGGTCTAATAAAACTCACTTCAGGGCTGCGAGGTTATTCATTCCGCCGTAGCACTTTAGAGTGCCATTCCGGGTCAATTTGGAGCAGTTTCCGCCCGCTGCCTCCGGGGCAGATGACCAATCGAAGCAACTGTGCCGAAAGCCATCCATTGGAATGATTTTGGTGGTAATGGTGGTCGCCCAAGTGGTCGTTGATTCATGGCTCTCAGTTGTGGCATGGCTCAGTCTAAGTAACAGATAATTGGTAAGTAAATAAATATCTATCTCATGATGCTATTTTGGGCCCAGACAGCCCAGCTCAAATTGGCGATAACTTAGCCGCAGTGCGACTCTCGTTTAGGGCCAACTTGATAAGCAGACGCCAGGTAAGTCTTAATTGCTTGGGGAAAACACAGATATAGAAACAGAAACACAAACAGATACTGACTATTTAATTTACTCGGCTTTTGTGCTGCCCCCACAGATCTAGGAAATTTGGATGTCGCAGATTGCTTTTTATATCACTTTTTTAGAGGTTGAGATATTAAAAAAAAGCAAGCCAAAGTTTAAATACCCTTGCAGTCAAGGAATGGATCCAAAATTATATAATATCAAGTGATACAAAACCATCTAAGGCAAAAAAGCGAAATATAAGCCATACTAATCGAAAATAACAAAATTAATCAATTTTACATAATCAAAAACTCAGAAAGGTTATATCTATCTTTTACACTAAGCGAAAAATCGGAATAGAACCATATGGTCAGTATAGCAGATATATGGCACCCGAAGGATGTAGTCAACCGATTTTAAGCAAATTTCTAGGGATTGGTTATAAAGCACTACAAAAATAAATTTATGGCAAAAACCAACAATTTATACTGAAATTTAAAAAATATAAAACAGAAATTTAACATTTTGACAATAAGAATATATACGTCCGATCTGTTCCACATTTCAGACTAGACCTTCGTAAACATTAAAATATACGATTGTGAGTGTTTCTAGTCTCTAGCTATTAAACTCAGCTTGCAAGCATACGGACTTCTTGGCATCTTTAGAACACCCTCTGCAAGGGTATAAAAATACGATCTATTTTCTCTACAACTCTTTTTTAAAAATAGCCCAGATGGATCGGTTTTAGGCACTGCAAACTGCTTTTAGCCAACTGAGTTGGGCAAATATATACACCTAATCTGAACGGTAGCTATACTCCGAGTAGTATGCCTGCGTAGTATGGAGATCTTGTTTGCATATCTTGTCTATATGGCGGTTCTATTAGCAGACGGAGATTCGCAGTATATCACATGATGCCCAGTTAGCACATCTCAAGGTGCCATATCACAGGGTGACAGACAGTGTTTGAAAAAACAGTTTAAAGACACGATTTGCAGTAATACGTTAACATAAAGTAGGGATAGGGATAGGGATTATATATCTACTTTATTATTTCAAAACAAAATTTTTGGCTATATCTGCTTGGCCAATTTATTCCCGAACCACAGATACGCACGGAAAATACATATATCATATTTTTTAATTTGCCCCGGAGCGATTTTTCTAAGGGTACTAAATGGGTCTAACTGACAATTAACATCTTACGCTCAAGGTGTTAAACTCAACAATACACAAAGTGAAATATTATAACACTGAAAATATTTACTTAAAAATCCACGCATAAAGGTAAGCTTCGGTAGCAGCTTTGTTTGATTTGAAGTGGTAAAGGTTTGGGAATGACAAATATTTAATTTCGGTTGGTATTCAGTTCATGTGCTTTATAAAGTCAAGAGATCCTAACTGACAGAATCGACACTCTTTCCCTGAGTGAATACGGGCTGTCAATTATCATTAATTACCAATTGCTAAATTTAAAAGGTACACAAAGACCTGTATTTCAATATTTTTTTAAAACCAAATTTATATGTATTTATCCCACGAATTTTCACTTATTTTGTTGTGTTGTTCACCAAGTGTACAACACGGCGTATGCGTGCTTGTGTCCGCAGACAAGTAGTGTCAAAATTAAATTGAAAAGTATGTCTTTAAACATTTTTAGTTGACTTATGAGCATCGCAACAATTGACACGCCAATTCATTAAGACAATCAAATGGATTGAGTAAGAAATTCTTTACTTGCTATGAAATGGAATCAATCGTAATGATTTGTTTGCCAAGTTTAATTTACGAGTTCCTAAAATATATAAAACAATTCTGTTTGCTAGGCTACCAATTTATCCACAGCTTAACTGAAAACAAGTTTATCAATTCCCCAATGACAATAAATCTAAATAAATCTACTTATGAATCCGTCACGACAGCGACTGTCAATTGGCTTTTGATTCCCATTGAGATTGCCCCATAAGTGAAAAATAAAAAATAATAGATGAGATCAAAAAGATGACAAGAATAAATATGTGCGAAAGAAGTAAATATATAGACAACCGCTCCAGATCTAAGAGCAATTCAGTGTTATATATAATTTTGATAAACCGAACCTTTTTATAGCATTTGCTAGTGATAAGAATTTTCAAATTAGGGGCCAAGTACCTGATTCCCTTACGGAACTCATGCTTGTGATACGTTGTGAGTAGCTCGCTTGGGTTGAGCGATAAAGATGGAATGCAATTTTCTTTTGAATGTTGAGGGAGTTGCTACCTTAGAACTTTATAGCCCTAATTCCCCATTTATGTAGGTGTTTGCAAAACACTAAACTGAAGCCCAAAAAAGGGTAATAAACGGGTCACATCATAAGAAATCATAAGAACTTTATGAAAAGACTTCAGTTCTTGATGCTAATTAAAGGGAAACAAAACTGACATATCTTGTGTAAGAAGTCAGGTCTTGTGTAAGAACTTTAGTTCTAGTGAATACTATTTATTTACTCCACTTTATATTCCTCTGCGTTGTCTTTTTATTAGCCATAAAACCCAATCAGTTCGGTTTGATTTGGTCTGGTGATAAGTGGCCTTATAAAAAAGGTTTACCATGGACTATAACCCACATATGGTGTGGCCCAGAATAGGATTTAGTTTGTTTATTAATAAATCAGCTAGTGTTGTAAAAACATCTGATAACAGGCGACACAAGCTTCAATTACATTAAATTACACATACGCCGCGTGGTCCACTTGGGGATTTACCTTATTAAGACCAGGCAAAGCAGCGGAATACCCTTCATCATGGTTATTTTCTCTTGTATTTTTAAATATTTATTTTAAGACGCTGTTTATCCGAGAGCTGCTGCGTGCTGCTTTCATTCAGAATATTCCATTGTCACGATCGGCGCTGGCAGGTAGGGCAAATTGTTTTGGCTTTGCCATTTGCTCTATGCTAAATACATAATCGAAAATTGTTGTTTTCCGCGCCACGCCGTTTAATCGCCGCCACGCATCCGCGTATCTATCCGCACTGTGCTACTTTTCTCGCGTTTGAAGTTCAAATGCGGCGCGAACGCGAATCGCTGGTGCTTTTGCCGTTTCTTCTTCAGAGTATTATTATTTTTGACGCCAGAGATCTCCAGCGAAAAATCAGCTGACAGCGAGAGCGATATAGACTTATCAATCGCGAGCTCTCTATATATATTTTTAGGGGGCTCGTTTTTTGGGCTAGAGCAGCTGTTGAATGGGTGAAAATGTGCGGGGGAGATGATTTACGATCAGCGTCAGGGTCGACATTTATTGATATACACTCTGTCAAGCGCCGGGTGAATCATCTCCACCTACTACCTGGTTCATTGGCATACAAATCGCTTATAATTTGGTCATCCACTGAACAGTAACCAATTTGAACATTTTAATGGGCTCTCGGGTGCAGAATAAAAGTAATTAACAATCATGTGATATAGGTTCTTTACTAATAGCTTTAATCGTTCTGTATTTGTACACCAAAAATATACTAGACTAGGGGATATAGTTAACACAAACCGTTCACTAGAGTGCGGGTGTGCATATATATAGTAAGTTTGACTAAAAGTTGCATGGTCTAGTTTTTAACAATTATTTGGTTTCGAGTTTCCAGCTAGGTGCTTGTGCATTGTACTTTAAAACGCTGCAGGCAGTTACTAGAGCTCTGAGCTTCTTTGGACCGGTGAAATGCATCGACATTGATATATACTATATATACACGAATATGCGTATGTTAATAAGATATTTCCTATGAAACTTGAAGGTACAATTTGCCTGCATGCTGTCTCTTTAACTACTCTATTTTGTCGAAGAAATCTCAATCAATATCGCCACCTTGAATTGCTTCGCTAGCAGCATCGCCAGCCGCCTCATTAGCAACACCACTGGTGTTGTGAATTTTGTCATTGGTCTCGGCCTGCTTTTGGCGTTCGTAGGCTCTGACATCCTCGAGCGTCATGCCATGCCACTCGTCCACCCACGCAAAGGCCTGCCGATGACCCAGCAGGAGAATCTCCCGAATCCCACGCTGGATAAAGTCCTCCACTTTGGTCTGCAGGCCCCAGACCTCGAAGCTGGCATGTACCACCTTGTAGGAGCACATGATGGGCTTGTCCGTCTCTCGCCATCCCTCAATTAGTGGACCGCGATCTGGGGATTACAAATATTTACAAATTAATCTGCCACACAATGACTACACCATCACATTACTCGTCTTTTCTGATTTGTAGAACTTGGGGTCTTCCTCCTTCTTATAATGCTTGGCACTGACTTCATCAAAAGCTATATCCAAATGGTCCACAGTTCGCACTTTCAGCTCTTCTTCGTTGAGATCCAAACACTGTCAATCATAAGCATTATTAAACAATGTGAAAGTTTGGCCTTCGAATTGTTTTTACGTTTTCTGTGCTGCCATTATTGTCCTCGTACTTTGTTTTGATGAGCACGTTTAACTTGGGTATAAAGGAGCACTGTTGAGAAAGATTGGGTTAGTCAAGGACAACTAAAATATATTACATCCAATTACCGTGTATTCTATTTGAAGTTCCCGCCAATTACGGTCCAATTATAGCACATGAAATCGTATTGTAGAATCAAAAATAAATCAATAAGCCAAATCATCATATAAAACTCAAGTGCGCTTTATTTTGGATTATATTTGGGTTAGAAATGTAGCCCTCTTGGGACTTATAAAAAAAGGAAAATTATTTTGGCTTTTAAGCGCTTATAAAAATTGCACCCTTGGGACTATAAATCAAAAAGTTAACATAGATTTGTCAAAAACTTTTAGGGCTTATGATATCGATGCCTTATCAAACGTGGGAAGTTAGTAATACAATTTCTAGGAATATTTCACAAGTCGATTTAAGGGAATTGATACGATATGTAAACATGTTTATAAACACTCAACTGCACAGTCAACGACCTAAAATATAAACACTAATTGTTTTTATTAAAGGAGGTATATGTTTGGACTATCAACAGATTCCAATTTCAAAATTCAATTCAAATTCAATTTCATTTCAGCAGGTGCTATATAGGTTAGATAAATGTCGGGCATTGCGCCAAACTACACCTTTTATAATATTCCTAATAATTGTTGGTCAATAGTTTTTTGAATGACCAAAGTTCAGTTTAGGTAACGTTTTTTATATTTCTTAGAAATGAACGCTTAAAAATTGAATTACCCTTATAGATAATGGAATCGTAGCGTTGAGTGTAAATAAACAGGCTTGTAATGGATGCCACACTCGAAAGTCAACGACCCAAAGCCAGAGCACACAAACAGCAATCTCCATTGAGTGCATAACACGACTCTACTAACTTTATCGAGTGCATTGGGCAGCACCGTGTAATCAGATTTTATCAGCCAGTGGGAATGGCAACAGTTGTTAGCAAAGTGTCTGGCGCAGATTGCAGCTATGAAGCTCTTATTTCAGTCCCCATGAAAGCCAAATCGATGACGTATGGGCTGATTCGACAGGTACGCGTTTATGGGGGCCTTTATCGGCAGACGTACCCCCACCACATATCGGCATATGGTTGGATGTATGATCATGGTCGGATGATAAGGGGGAATTCTTGCTGGCCCCCAAAAACACATGATGTTGCCAAGAACATGGCCATATGGTGGATGGCAAGAGGGGAGTCCGCCGCCTCCGGAATACAAATTGGGTTAAAAATAGAAAATGGGATGCGCAGTAGGTGATAGGTGGTGGGTGGCTGGCTGCTACTGCTCACCTGTTAGCGTGTAGGGATAGTAGTTCCAGGATTTCTCTATCACATAGAAGACGCGCGGGCAGATGGCCTGTATCCAGTAGGGCAGTCGGCTAGAAAGGGAAGCTAAAAGGATTAAGAAGCTATTGAAGCAGCATCTTTTAGGGCTTCTCACCTGGACAAGTGGATGTGCTTCTCCGTGTACTGACCCTTCCCGTGGACAGGATCCTCGCAAGGTTTGTTCTCCACCACCTCGACGCCCTCGCCCTCCTCCGATTGTTCCAGGCTATGGCGCGCTATCATATAAAGCTGGCCGATCTTGTACTGCAAAATCATGAGAGAAAATTGTTATTTGCAGCCATGCTATGAAGGGATAAAGGGACGCACCTCCTCCACGGTGAGCGGCATGCACACACGGTATTCCTTGGTCAGCACCATTTCTTTTGGCGGTTGCAGCTACCGGAGAAAATCAAAACTTTAAACGTTACGCAAAGCGACACACGCGACGCAACGGCTGGCAACAACAAATATGTGTGCAGTGTGACCAAGCTGTATCAGTTTAAAAACATTTTTGAAAATAATTCCCTTTAAAATAATTATGGTGCGGAACTTGGATGAAAGATTAGCTGTGCCCCAAACTTTGGTTGTGAACTTGAAACCCCACTGCAAAGTTTTCACACTGCATGCGCTACAGCATCGAAAAAAAACAAATATTTATTGAATATTCCCCAAATTGATTGTTTTTACTATCTTTTTCCTATATATTTGTTTGGGAAATTCTGTCCTTTAGGGTATACCCAAATTTTTTTTATCAGTGGTTTTTTTCAATATAAAACCCACTGCTTGTTTATTAATCTTTAAACCAGCTATGGTACCGCAAAGGACATGAGAATTCCCATTTCTTGTGAAAAATGTTCTTACTGACGGATAAAAGCATATATTAGACCCTGGCACAGTTGGATAATTTTTCTAGTAATTTATTTTTTTTAATAATAAAAGTTATAATTATGTCTTTTTTTTAATTCGATAGTATTTGTAATTAAAATTCAACTTATTCACACTTTCAGAATGATGCCACTTTTGGCACAACCCCCTGCAACTATCGATACCCTATAGATATCTTTGATATTTTTCAAAAATGCAACTACGGTCACATCGCCACGTGCATTCTTTCATTTCAATCTTTCATCCAAAATGGCTGGTCGATTTTTTTCTCTTGATTATCAGCTAAAATTTAACAAAGGGGTAAGTTAACGTTTAATTCAGAAACACAGAATGTGCAGCTTGCTTTCCATGATGATAAATTCGTACCGCCCCAGTCTGAAAAGACGTGTTGATTGGTTTTCTATACTGACAGCTAAAAGACACATGTTGCCGTCTGATTTAGTGATAAAATTGCAATATACTCATATTGTTCTTTTAATTTACAGAATGCCACGCGGTAGCAGCCACCATCTGCATTATAATGAAATGGAAAATTCAGTTTTTGATATGTTTTTCGCAAGATGTATCGCACGTGTTGAAAAGTAAGGTTAGTTTTGATGTGAACATTATCTAGATTTCATAAAATTATAGTTTACGATTTGGCTATTTGCTGAAACTCTAGTCCACTGTTATAGTAATTTTCAAATCTACTTGTACTGCTGCTTCTCGCTAGCCTTCATCCTCTAAAAAATTAAAAGATTCGAGTTATTTAAACCAGACGAACTGTACTAAAAAAATGTAGTTACTGAGTAAACTATTGTTATATGAAATCTCTTCTAAAACTATATGATGAAACATTTACCCAGCTCGCTTTGAAACACTATGAAGAGAACTGTTCCATATCCAACGCAAAAAATATACTGCTGACTTGATCTATTCATAAACGAGTTTAGTTTTTCCTAATATAAATATTAAAAGTATATATTTTTCTGTTTGCAGAGGTAGTGATGGTATTGGAGCGTCGACTTTTTGAGAATGGATCTCCGCCTAAGGTGAGTTCTTTTTATTTTATTTAAAAAAGTAAAAAAAAAAAAAATTGTAAATGATGATTTATTATTATTTGCTACTCTTGAAGATCATTGATGAATACTTTCACCTTAAAAACTGATTTACAATTAAAAAACAGAAAGTCACTCATTAAAAATAATAATTTGACTATATTTTAAAACATTTTTATTTCTGTCTTTGCAGTTTGACGGAAAAAAAAGGAATTCAGCAATCCTTACTAAACTCTGGAGACAACATAAAGATCAGGTATTTGAATATAATACATTTTTTCTCATTTTTTTGTAAAAGTATGATGAAACATTTACCCAGCTCGCTTTGATATTCTATGAAGAGAACTGTTCCATATCCAACGCAAAAATATACTGCTGACTTAATTCAAACTATTACGATTTCGACTGCCTTCCTAAGTACTAACATTAAAACTTTGTTGTATTGTTTACAGGAACCATACAGCGATCGGTGAATAATCAGGACACATAATACAAAGAAAAATCAGGTATATAGATAGTTTTATTTACAATAAAAATCTTTAAAATTTGTATGATGAAACATTTACCCAGCTCGCTTTGATATTTTATGAAGAAAACTGTTCCATATCCAACGCAAAAAATATACTGCTGACATAATTCATACACTTTTTAATATGACTTTCATAAAACAATTTCTTAAAATATATATTTTTTTATATTTGCAGACTATTTTTGCTCCCAACTGAAGCAAATTATGAAATTTATGGATCTTGGCTAGGTGTGTATTTTTTATTTTATTAACAAAAGACTAAACTGGAAAATGATGATTTGTTATTATTTGCTACTCTTGAAAACCTCTGATGAAAACTTTCACCTTAGCAACTGAATATAAATGATAAACTCGAAAGAGTTATATCAATAATCAACTTTAACAGTAATGGAAATCTTTTGCTTTATCTATTATTTACAGATTGAGGGAAATGAGAAATGCTGAGAACATCTGGGTAAAAAAAAGGTATGTAAAACTTATAATTACATAGAAAGTATAATAAATCAAAAAGTTCTATGATGTTCACGATACCGCCCCAGTCGGAAAAATTATGTCGATTGGTTACACTTACTGATTATATTATCAACACATTGTTTTCGTGCTCAGTTGAATTTGTATTAATCGTCATTTATATAATTTCAGGTCTGGACGAATATCTATTCAAATTTCTGATACATTTTTGAGTATGGTGAGTTCCGCTTCTCTGTTTTTTAAATCTTTATGTATTTTCTTTGATGACAAAACAATAGACAAGCATATAACCGAATAATCATGTTGATATTCAACCGACTGAGTAAAGAGAATACATAGTTTTTTAAAAATATTTTTAAAACACTTATCAACTTATTGAATTTTACAGATTAAACTGAAATATGTACCTACAATATCACTCCAAATATCGATGCCAAATAGTAGGTAAGCATATATTAATAGAAAGATTTTTTTATATGTAATGATGAACAACTTTATTTAACAGTTATCCCTGTCATAAAACTAATTGATGATTAAATAAGCTGATACATATATAAATATCTTTCTATTTGTATTATTCTTTGTTTCACTTGTTAATTCCACTTACGTTACTTACAGTTGTCCTGATAAAATATTACAAAAACTACTCAAAAGAATCGCTAATTTAAAGAGGTGAGTTAAGTCCTTTTAATCTTTTTACCAATTTAGTATTTGCCTTTATGATGAATGACCTTCAGTTATCCCTGTCATAAGAATAATTGATGATTTAACATGCTGACATATTTAAATAAGGATTACTAGATTATTTTGATGTTTAAAAACTTTCTAAAAACATTTTTTTTTTCAGGCTTTTCTCAGCTTTAAAGTAAGGCAAATGGGACCACAATCAACATTTAAAGATGGCTTACAACAAAATTAAGGTAAACCCCATTCCATTCTAATTTTTAACTTAGGTTTATATATTTAATGATGTTTTTGGATACCGCCCCAGTCGGAGAAACGATGTCGATTGGTTAAACTTACTGATAAATTTGTTTTAAAATTTGTGGTTTTCATTTAAAGCCTGTTTTATTCATGTTATTATTATTATTTATCTTACAGACATCTGGATTATTTCTTTGGCTTCACAATAATCAATCATTTGAAATTGACATAAAAAGAAGTTAAGGTAACTAAATTTTAATTACGATAGTTAAATTTTGGCTTATATTTCTTGTGATGATTAAAGATACCGCCCCAGTCGGAGAAATTATGTCGATTGGTTTAACGTACTGATAAATTAATGTTCAGACATTTCTTTTCTTCATTTATAAATTTTTTTTTTAAAACACTGTTTTCTTATACTTTACAGATATCTCGATAAAATCTGCAAAAGATGTTTGTCTGCAAGCCATGTTTATAAAGGTGTGTATATGTACCATCCAAACTATATATTTCAAAAATAAATGTTCTGATGACAAACCAATAGACAAGCATATACCTGAATTTACGCGTGTTGCTAACTTTTTTCGACTGAATTAGAAAGATTTTTTTTCCTGTGAAAATTGTATGTGATTTATAGTAAATCAAAACTTTTCTTTATTTCAGGCTTAATCAGAATCGATTTTAACTACTGACTGATTACTCTGCTTTCTTTGGTATATTAAACAAGGTAAGTAATCTTTATAATATCGTATTATAATTTAAAAAAATGTTTATGATGAACATGTTTTTTAACAGTTATCCCTGTCATAAAACTAATTGATGATTTACTAAACTGACAAATCAACTAATTTTATGATTTACAAGAATTTTGCATTTGTAATAATTCACGTAATTAATTTCCTTTCAGGTGCTAAAACCCCAACACAACCACCTTGGGTTTATTTGCTTTGTGATTCATTCGAGCTGTTTTGGTACGTATTTTCTAATTTCCCTGCAAGCTTATCATATCATACCATGATGAAGACCTAGACAAGCATATAGCTGAATTTCTATGTCGATAATTCACGTGACTGATCCGTCACTTTCATTTCCATCGCCGTGATTAATCCTTCAGTTCTGCAACTTATTTGAATCTTATCTCTGCTTGCAGGTATTCGCCGGATTGGGAAGAACCACAAAATGATTTCTAAAAATAAAACTGATGTATCTTATCGAAGAATAAAAATACAAAGATTTAATTTAATATAACGTGATATACTTTATTTTGCATTTCAAATTATGTATAGACATTCATTCGCTTCAGTTAGCTGGGAGATATTTGTAATGCTTTCGCTTTCCACATTGACCCAATTCAGTGGGCTGCATATAAGAATATTCAATTTGTAAATGTTTGAGTCCTATAAGTGTATATACTTTAGCCTTTTGGGCCTTACACCTTGTATCATTGTAAATATATATATTTATATGTATATTCATATATCGTATGCATGGATTAGGGGCGGGGGGTATACACGTTCAAAAAACCCAATTGCTTGTTGCACAACAAAATCAATTCATTTCGATACTAACTTTATGATCGTCTCAACTCTTTTTCTGTTTCCGACTCTCTCAAATGCTTTAAAAGTTTTTTTTCGAGTGTGGGTGTGTGTCAATTGCACACTGAAACATTTAATGGAAAGCACAATTAGAGTGGCTGGGGTAATATTGTTTATAGATCGCTAGACTCTAGTTTAGATATCGATACAAAAGTTCATTTCTACTAGACAACATTTATAAAGTTTTTGCTATTATAGTATTTGATTTGCGGTTTCGACCTGCTCCTCTCTTTTGGATCGTTTAAAACTAGAGAGCTAATCAAATAATATGTGCTCCCCGTTTTCGAAGTGGGACAAATCAGGCCAAGTCATTTTTTAACATCAATGACGATTTACACGGAACAACGAAGGGAGAATGCGAAAATATATTGCAGATTTTTGGGTTACATCTAGATGTCAATTCCGTGCGGGGGAGTCTGAATAATAAGGGGATGAGTCCGAATCAAATGTCTCTAGCGGTTGCATTCTGAATCACTCCTCCTTGTCTCATAATGTTTCATTGCATTTCATTTCATTTTCTTTTGTTTTTATTACAATTACTCAATAGATGTTTTTTAAAAAAACAATAAGGAATCAACAATATTCATAAAATGTATCATTATAGAATATATGGTAAACGTATGTCTAAAAACTACATATAATTTGTATAGTTCTAGGTCTGTGTATTTGTTTGGTTTGGGTATGAAATAAATAGGTTTCGCATGCGTGTTGGTGAACAGATAAGTCAAATGGAAGTAGGTTTCTCTCTATATATATATATATTTCTTATTGCCCGATGTGCTTCTTGATCAGAGCCTGCAGCAGTCGCACCTTGGCCTTCTTCTCCTTGTACTGGGCATAGGTTTCCGTCTCCAGCGAACGGCGATCCTGCTTGAGCATCTTGCGTCCATTCTGCTCCTCGAACAACGACTCGTACTCCCGGATGGTGGCCTTCAGCAGGGACTTCTCATCGCGAGCTCGGTCTAGCTGCTCCCAGAGTTGGTCCACACTGAGGGCGGAGATGTTCTCGCTGGCCGCCTGGTTCTCCTGTCCCGAGGAAGTTGCTCCTCCAGCCGCCGGACCCGTCAACGTGGTCGTGGTCGTCGACTCATCGGAGGAGGCATTCTGGGTCAGCGTGTTCGGGGCATTCGAGTCGCTGGGCGAGTTGGTGGTCTCCGTGCTGTTGTTCGACGAATACTGCAGCGGCGTGGAAGTGGCCTCGAACACCATTGCCTCGTGCTCCAGAATGGTGGGCAGCTCGGGCACTCCTGTGCCCGCTCCAAACATCACGGTGCGCGAGACCAGGCGCTTCAGCTGCCGATAGCGATCGTAGAGCGGTCGGGCGGCATCACGCTCCTCCTTGGTGATGGGATGGCCATAGAGGCTCTCGAAGTACAGCAGGCCATGCTGCACGGCACTCTTCTCCTGCACCAGTTGGTCAGCACTCAGCTCCTCCAGCTGCTCGGAGCGACGACCATTCACACGCTTCTCGATGAGATTCTGCAATGAGTTACGAAGGGTAAACTTTTAATATTAATTTAGTTTTTCAAGACAATATAATAAAATAATATTCAATTCTCAAAAATGAAACCAATTTATTTCATTTTTAGAAAACATTATTGTATTTATCTGCACTTTGTGTTTGAATAAAAATATATTTTAAATTAAAAAATACTATTTCAATAAACTTAAAACAACTATTTTAATGACCGATGCTGTATATTCTACTCTTTAGCCCAGGAACTGCGCAACTCTGTTCTTGTCACACTGACCTATGGTAAAGGTTATTTATTAGGCCGTATGAGTTTCTTTGGTCTATATCTATCAACACACTAAAAATTATCCAAATCGAACCAGTATTTTTTGAAAGCTTTTAAATTTTATTACGACGTCACTATATATTTAAAAAACGGAGTTTACAAATTTAAGAGAGCGGAAGAACTTTCTTTCCAGTAGATGGAGCCAGCTTAAACTAAATTGCTTTTGGGGGCACATAAAATATATTCTGAAATTGGTTAACTGAGTTATTGGTACCTAAAAGTCTATAGCGTTGCTTCTTGTTTTATATAACAAATACTGTTTCGATACATAATGATAAACAGCAAATAATCAGGGCCACAGAAGCCCCAAACTGATAAAAACCAACCACATTGGTAAACAAGACAATCACTCAGCGACTTTAGGTATTAATCGTTTTTGATTTGTTTATGGCAGATTCGCTATGACTAGGCGACAACAGCAGACATTTCGAAAGAAGATGCCAGAGCGCCAAACAGAAATAGAAATAAGTGCGGAATATAACCGAATTGTAAACAACATTGCAGTATAGCAATACTGCATATGGCGCGGCACTTAGATGGCTGCTCTTTTGGCCATTTCCCATTTTCCACTAGGGAAAATCATTTCGCGCGCACTTTGTTTTCTTGGCAGAAATTCAATTTCGATGCGGATTCCGTTGGGCCAAGTGTTTGTCTGCCCCGCTCTATGACAAATGTATCATTAATTTGTCAATATATAATAGAACAGAATGAGGAGGCTTGTCTACATGTCATAAATACATATGGTATATGCTTTATAAATAGAAACTCATTATAATGTGGCAGAAAGCACCTAATTTGGAATTTGGGAATTGTTTTCGTTCGGCCTGTCGCCTCTGAAACCATAGAAAGTTCTAGAAATTAATGATGTAATCAAGATTTCTGTTTTGAAAACAAAATAATTTGCAGTTCGTTTTTGAATAGTGATTGAAATATTCATAATTTTATTTTAAATATGTCATAATAAATATTATTAATTTTCTTTTGATTGTAAAGAGTTTTACGTTGTTTAGCTTTTTAAAATATCTGCAAATGTCTAAAATTTATAATTGAATTTTTAATGTGTCATATTTAATAATCACTTTTTATCATCTTTGTTTAGTTTTTAAAAATTCTGAATAATATTTTTTTAGTGTAAATATCTAAAAGGTTTCAATTTCTTAGAGCTGTTTACATTTGTATTTAAAAGATATATGACAGGGCATAAAAACGTCGCTTAGGCGCAAATAGATTTTCCTAAGATATTTTGGCCAAAAGAAAATATGTTTACCAAGTGCCTTTTTGACAATGGGGCAAGATCAAAGCTATTGCCAAAATGCTATGTCCAAATGCTCCTATACACATGTACATATATATAATGTCTCTGACGTCTGTTCCACTTGCTAATTGTCATAAAAAGCTTCGTGTCTCGTGATTTTGCAGACTGCTGAGAAAAAAAGGCCATAAGAAGGAGCTATGTATTACCTGTTCGATTTCAGCAAGGGTGGCCTTCATGCGCTCCAGCTTTTTGGCCACCTCCTGGCCACCAACGCCTCCGCCGCCGCCACTTCCCACCTTCAAACCCAGCGCAGCAATGGGATCAGTCTTGAGCTCGTGCCGCTCCTTGCGCAACTTGCTTAACTCCGCCAGGGCATTCTTCATGTACTTGTCGTTCAGACGCTCCGCCTGCGATGGTCGGTAGCCCAATCTCTGCTCCAGCGACTCCTCCAGCTGCACCAGCTTCTTCTTGAGCACGGTGACCCGTCGATTGATGGTTTTTAGCCGCTCCTCGGGCGACTGAAAGGCCACCATCATGGCGGGCAGCACCTGCTGCATGACGTCGCGGGTGCGCATGTTCTCCAGCGAACTGAAGGCCCTCACTGCATCCATGGGCTCCAGGCAGCAGTCCATGTCGGCGATGTCCGAGTGCAGCTGCACGGTGGCCGCCTGTTTGGGCAGCTGCTGGGGATATGGCATGACCTTGGCCAGCTGGGCAGCCGCATCGAGATTACCGCCAATATGTGGTCGGGAGTGGGCATATCTCCTGCTCAGGATGGGGGCAGGTTCATCGCCCCGCTCCCAAGGCAGCGACTCCTGGGCCGAGGTCAAGTCCAAGCTCTGCTGCTGCCGCTGCGGTTTGGCCTTGATCGGAGCCGGGGCATTGGAATTGGGCGTGCTATCATCACTGCCCGCCGAGGAGCTCGTGGTGGGTGTAGGCGAAATACTGGCACTCCTCTTCGTCTGCAGCTCCTTCTGCTGCTCCTTTTGCTGCTGATGGAAGTCTATCAAATTGTTGTCGTTGTGATCGGAAGTAGATTGCTGCTGTTGCTGCTGCTGCTGCTGCTGCTGCTGCTGCTGTTTCCTGCTGCTGATGAAACCTCTGCGCTCGTACTTCAAGGCCGACAGATCGTACTTGTAGGCACTCTGCTCATCTCGCCTTGAGGGCAAATACTTGGATCCACTGCCACCGCCAGCCTTTTTGGCCACTCCGGATTTGCGTACGGGTGGCTGGCGGGATTTGCAGAAGCGCTCGCTGCTGCGACGACGCTCGTGCTCACACTCGGAGTCATCGCTGGCTTCCTTAACCGGAGGCTGACGAGCGGGACTGGTCTCCTTGACCGCTTCCCCTGCCGCCGTTGGCAAATTGGCCAACGAGGCATTGTTCTCGCCCAGCTCTGAGGACTCCTCCTGCTCCCGTTCGAACTCCTGCCGATAGTTGGCATAGCTGGTCGTGCGCTTGAAGTCCTCCGAGGAAACGCGCCGTATGACCTCACATTGGGCCTGTAGCAGACTAGGGGCTGTTAGTCCCGTGGCATGTGAGAGAACAGCCACCGCCGGTTCCGTGAGCAGCTCCTCGCTGTTGCTGCGCTGCAGCTTGCGATCCTGGCCAAAGGCGGAGTTGCTGTCCAGGCGCTCCTTGCGCTTGCGCGACGACTTCTGCCATTCCAAAGCCGGGTGGATGATCTCCGGCAGATAAGTGGATGTGAAGCCACTGTTCAGGTGGCTCTTGTCCGTGCCCGCCGGCGTTGGCTTGTCCGGACTGCGGACTGCCGCCTCATGACGGGCAGCAGGATTCGAGGACGAGGATGAGGACGATGAGGAGGCCGTCGACGATGATGAACCAGTGAGACGACTCAGGTCGTCTTCGTTCAGCCCAGTTGTGGGATGTCGCATGCCGCACTGCAAAAGAAAAGGTGGAGAGAGTTCAAAATGAGAACAAATCCATTAATTGCCGTGACAAAACTTATCGCTTAATTATAAATAATTAAACAGAGCCGGCAAATGTCGTACAATTAAGTGGGTTAATAAGAGTTCAGCACAACGTGTCGTATGAGTAATATTCGTTCAATACATTTATTTGTGCCCTGTCATGAGCCATCATCAAAGTCAGCAATCGCACATAGTTCAAGGAAATCTTTAGCTTATATAAGCCCCACACGATCTGATAAATAATTTATGGCCGTTTCTAGACAAATTCAGGTTTAAGGCACAAATATTTAAGGCCTACTTGGTTATACAAAAGTCTGACAAAATTATGGACTATTAACTAAATTAAAAACTATATAAATTTAAAAAATTGATTTTATTAAAAGAATTCGTTTTTTAAACTAAATATATAAGTCAAAACCTAATTCACTTCGTGTTTTAATATAACTATTTGCAAACAATTAATTCTTAAGGGTTTATTTTATTTCACTTTATTTAATGAAATGATGAAATTCTGGTTTAATTTGACTCCGATTTTGTAATCAAAGTAATTTTATTAATAGATCTTAACAACTATTTGATATTTACCAAAATGTAAGTTATAATCCTGGGCGTCATTTTGGTTGGCTAATCTCTACTTTAATCAGTCTGACTAGATTTAATATCACAATGAATTTAGTTCAGTTCACTTTAGCTTTTGATCACAAGCGTTTGATTTGAACACACTTTTGTTGAGCAATAAAAGTTATAATAAAAATGTCAACGCCTTAAATCTCGCTTAATAAATTTCAATAAACGCTAATTGAAATTTCCTTTCTGGTCTGCCGTTTTCTCAAGTGCTCAACCGTTTCTAAGGTCTGCAGTTTTAAAACATTTCACATGTTTCGTGGGCTGATTAGTTTTAAAAAATTGTTTTCGGCCGTTTTCCGCATTAATGGTTTTCCGTTATCAAGACTTTTCTTTCGGAATATTTAGCTTTTGGCTCGGGCACAGCCGAGCAAAAATGTTTGGAGGAGAAGCGTAGAATACTGGCGTTGCTTTCTTTTAGCGCACCGAATCACTATTAAACCCATTCCGCTCCGACCTCGCGAATTATATGCGAAAATCCCGCGAGAGCGGTTGAGATATATCGCTAGAGCGGGAGAGCGCGCCGGCGCCGTGATATAGGTTTCCCGACCGATCGGAAAAGAGAGAGAGGGTCGCCAAAAGGTGCGAAAGCTTCGGTAAACAAAAGTCGGGAATGCTAACTACACTGCTAGAAAACCAAATGTATTAATTTCAAGTATTTCATACCCAATTAAAATTTTTTTTTTTGATTTTATGCAGTATGCAATTTAAAAATAAATATATATATACATATATGCATATAAAACAAATATGATCCATTTAAAACCTAATATCATGTTTTTCGCATTTAATATAATATATATACATTTTAAATATGCTTTGTATTTAATATTCTTTTAAATTTTATTTAAATATGAAATATAAAAATATCTATATCTATCTATAAAATATATTATGATGTTAAACTTAATTTAAATAAAATATATGAAAATGTGAGCAAATTTTGTGTTAAATAGACAGATATTTGTTTTTACTATTCCACTTTTTCTATCAGCGTAGTCTAAAAGGAGACATTGTTGGCGTATCTTTGGTCTACCTTTACTTTCCTTATCGACGGGGGAGGAGAGCTGTATTTCTTTATAATCGATGTCTTGGTATCAAAGTTGCGCGAGGGGTTTTGAAAATAAATCTGGCCCGCCAATTAGCGGCAGCTCTAGACATTATGGCCATATTAATGAGGTGAATTAATTTATGCACTTGTTTACGCCCCCTGCAACACGCGTTTCGCGCTCGAATCTCGAATATATATAGCCCAAATCGATTGATCGATTTTGGAGGATCCGAGGCCAAAGACAGCTAACTCAAAAAACACAAAACATAGGTAACAACAAAAGCTAACGGCAGTTCCCGCAGCCGGAAAATAAAAACACAAAAATTTGCACGGCCACAAATGCGAAAATACAAACAAAAATATACGAAAAAAAGCGTAGCCGTTGAAAAACAAATTCAAGTGCAATGTCACGACGTGTGTAAAAATACAAATTTAAAAACAAAACAGCAGCGCGAGAAGAGGGAGCTGGAACTGCCTGAGTCATTTTCCTCTAGGTTAACCAAATATCGGAGCATCTCCGGTCAACTGCCCGATAGCAAACGAGACGAACTAATTAAGACCCACGCGCCCTACAGTGACGTAAATGACGAACGTGATCGAGTACAGCAACAATAAAGAAACAATAACGTATAGAAATTTCACACATTAATAATTTATTGGGGCGTATATTTTGAAATATGAAAACTTAAATTTCATGATCTTCACTAGCATTTCATTTAGTTTAGCTATTGACAAAAAACATTGCAAATCAAGCTAAATACAATTTTCTTATCCTTTATATTTGGAATATTGGTTAGGTTTGATCGAAATTAAAAGAAATGTTTAATTTTTTTGGAGAATATGTCTATAAGAATCTAAGCAAAATGCAAGGTTTTCAAAGTAATAACTTGAACATTTACAAAATTAAACATGACAACACTGCGTATGAGTGATAAATGTAACAGCCATCACTTGGCAGCTGTTCTAAAACATTTCTGTTAACCTATTTTTGGTTTAAACTCATAGAAAGCAAAATAGTATTTATAAAAACTAATTTATGTATTTCACATTTAACCCTACAATGTTTAACAAATATATTTACACAACAAAGAACATTAACTCTGGAAATAAAAGAAAGGCGCGTGCAAAGCATTTCCATCAAAGAAGGGTCTTAGGTTTTATCAAATTAATTAGACTGCTTAAGACCATCCAGCGGAAAGGGGAATTTGCTGTGGGGCTTTGTGATGGCAAATAGATAGGGACAGGTGAAAGCCCGTCGCCTGGCACCTTATAGTGGATAATGAATTGGACTTCAATTGAACTCGTGTCGTGTGTATTGATATAGGGATTGATTGAGTTAGGCCAGGGAAATCGAACCACCATCAAATTGGTTATATAATGAAATATAAATAAAATCACTGAACTCCTTGTGATGAGTAAATCTTCAGAAATGGAAAAATATTTCTCTGTCATTACGATATTCTCTTCTCCGGAATTGTTTACTCAGTAAAAGCGTGAAATAATTGTTTACAAAGGGGCAACCACACAAGTGCATGACTCAAAAAGCTCCGACAAAAGGTCGACATGGATAACAATCCGCACTGAATCCCCACTCACCCAATCGGCCAACGACTGGCAGCCAACACGAGCCCACAAATGAATTGGCATTTATTCGAATTTTGCTTTCAGTTTGTAGTTTTAAGATAAACAGGTGGTGGTGGCACTTTCCCACCTCCCGATCACACAATCCCGATAAGAAATCTGTCGTCATGGACTATTTATGGACAGCAGACGATTAGAGTTTAAGTGGTTTCGGAAACAAACAAGGAAAACAATGAATTCTAAAAAACGCTGGATAGTTTGTGGAAATTTTCATTGGAATAATTATCAGAGCTATTTTAAAGCATGTTTCAGCTGAAATATTTACCTCTAAAAAACAATTATATACGTTTTTTGGCACTGTTTCCAAAAGCTTCTATTTAAAATCAAAACTACATGAAATACGAAACGTATTTTAAGCAAATAAGACCTTTTCAAAGGTTTTTAAGCAATAGGTAAAAAAAAAATGAAAGCAAAAGTCTTTTCCTTATGTTTAAATCTAATTTGTTTGAGGTACAAAAACCCATTAGGGTAATGGTTTTTAATACATTCTTAACGTTTAAAAAGTGCTTTCAAAGAGTTCCGCCAGGAAACTTGTTAACTTCATAATCCTCCAGCCTATGCCAATGCCCAGAAGGTCGTGTAGCACACTTTTCAAAGCGCCACGCGCTAGAATCAATATGTTTACCGCCCAAAAACGAAAACAAAGTCATGGGTACAATAGCATGGGGATTTATGATGGCTTTGCTGCTCAGATAAAAAAAAAACAACGTCAGCGCCGCCTCGCACTGTGATGCTAAAATTGGACCACACGGCGTATGCGCGATTTGTGACTATGCCAGCCGTGAGATGTGAGATTTCGGGCATTTTAACAAGCCCGTGCGAATATATCACTGGCCGATGGAATTGGACGATTAACCGAGTACTTTAAACGGCGGGCAAATAATAAAAAGGCATTTCCACCGGCTGATAAGTCGGATTTACCTGGTTACCGGGCTAACATCATCGAAAAATCACCATCGAAAAATCGCCTCAGACTGCCTAGCGCCGGCTGAAACCGGTAGTAAACCGGTCACTGCAGGTCGGTCACTAGATAATACACTCCCATTCACCGGCTTTGGCATCGCTTAGGGTAAACAGTGTTAGCGTAATTGTATTTTTGATACGAGCAGAGCAGGGGCAGAGGGACCTCACACGATAAAAGCGGCTGGCAATGTTGACATTTCATCCATTTGAGTGGCTCGGGAATTCGGCAACCGAATCGTAAACAAAGCGATTGTAATTGTTTACCAGGTTTCGGCTGTTTATATGGGTTGACCATCCATTTGATGGTATCAAGGAATTTAATTTGCAAGAATGGGAATAATGTCTACATTACTGCATCAAATAAGTTCTATGTTAAGTGTAAAGCTCATATGGAAATTTAATTTTAAGTCAATATTAATACCCTTCAGTGATAATAACCTTTTCACTTTTATGTAGTGTATAGCTGAATAGAAGTAATTTTTAATATTTAATTTTTTTTTGTACAACTTTATTAAATATGAGAGAACTCTTGACTAGTTCATGTTTGTAATTAAAAAGCAAACCTTTTATTTGAAGAACATTAAAATAATAGTAGAATATGTATCTATTACTGACTTTTTTGGTGTTATGTTTCCTAAATTGACAATTATACAATTCCGTAAAGCTACTAGCTTAAAGGTTAGAATAAAAAAACATCCACAGCAGTCGATTAGCATTTATTTAAGCACAGCTGTTGCTTATTTTTATGGCGACTTTAGTGTGTTTGCAATGAGTCACTGGCAGTGCATCTACTTCAATCAATTTACTTTGGAGTCCATCAATTGAAGACAAGGCCGGAAAAGACCCATTTAAAGTTAAGAATGGAATTCCGAGTTTTCAAAAAAAGATATCCGTTGCACCCAGTTGACAGCACGTACTCGCCTTCAATGGATACATATGTGAGAGCTTATAATTGAACGACAATTAATCACACCGATTAGATAAGGAAAAACGATTCACAGAAACTGATAGCGAATTAAATTTATGTACTGCCGCTGGAATATCAAGCAGCCATCTCAAGTGGCCAGGCATGATCATAGTGTGTGGTTTATAAGACTGAAACTCAAACTTGTTTCTATTTTTTACCTATCTAGTTCTATTTTTGGCGCCCTAGCAATAGTAACTTTCCGCTGCAAATCGCATCAATCACTGCTATTTAGCTATCGACTAAACAAGTCACTGTCCCACCCTCAAATTGGTTAATATCAGTCACGTGCTTTTGGATTTCTGGGCTGTAATTTCTAAGATTGCGCAACTTGAAAAACAATATAAGAATGAATATAAAGGGAGTGAGGAGATGAGGCGGTTAACTGCCCAACAAGTTATGGGGAAATGCCAGTGGAATATTACCAGGCCCGAAACCGAAATGCAAATGCGAAGCTCACAAAATTTTAATGAGCCGTGGCTGAAACAACAAAACAAAACAGAGCGGCCAAAGTGAGTAGCAACAAGAGACTAATGCGTCAAATAGAAGCTAGTCCAAAAATAACCTGGCTAATAGCAAAGAAGTATTTTAAATGCCAGGAAATGGGCTCACATTTTCTTGGGGGTCAAAGTACATATTCTTCATTTTCCGCTCGTGACGTAATTACTTTATTGCTGGTCACTTGATCATTTTCTGCTGTTGTTTTTGTTTTCGCTTGGATCCATTAATTGATTTACAAATTCCGCTTTCTGCTCTCCATATTTGAGTCGTTATTTCTGCCCGCCTTTCGTTAGAATCAATCAATTTCAATTGACGAAGGCATCTCCAGTTCATAAAAAAATCGACAGCAATCAGAAATTTCTTTTTCCAGTTTTGTGAACTTTGCCAACTCGTATATAAATAAAATAAGGGGACATAATTTACGAGCTGCGCAAAAATTGAACAGGTTTTTGTTATTTTATTTATTCCCACTGATTTCATTTTAATTTTAAACATTTAATTTCTGCTGGGACAACAAGGAGGCATCTCTTTTTCATAGGACACATGTATTGGAATTGCCATGATTTATAGTTTGATATTTTTTGTTGATGTTGTCACATCGCCGACTGGTCCCAGACGCTCCGACCACATGACCAGCCGGCAAAGTTGGTCACGAGACCCACAAACGAGGCACAAGAACCTGGCGGGTGCATCTAATGGAAGCCAAGTCTTTTATACAATTGCCTCGCGATGACTGGCGCTTTTTTAATGAATGATCTCCAGAATGGGGACCGGCGAGATCATGTGGTTTACAGTGCAATGAGAAAACTACTAAAAACTACACGTGTTGCTCGGAAAATTATTCAAAAAAGACTTGAAACAGGTAGAGAAATTCAAATGCAATTATAAGCACTAAAATCAATAAACTTGTGCTTTAGTTAATTACATTGTTTAAACATAAAATTGGTTGGAAAACAGAAACATTGTTTTTAGCTGTCTATTTGTGTACTAAACTTCTTTACAAAAATAATTTGCAAAAATGAATATAATTATAAACTGAACTTGTTTACCAAAATAATTAGCAAAAAATGGAAATAATTTCTTGTGTAAGCAAGCTAAAAATGTTATTGAAAAACAAGGAAGTTTAGTTTTGGTTCATGCCTGTTTGTAAACTACTTATATGTTAAACAATTTCTTTTAACTATAACTACAAAAAAAAAGTGTATTATGTTTTCCAAAAGTCGAAGGGACAAATTTTATGTCTCAGGTTTATATAAATTATGCATGGGTTCATCCTTTGTTCTCTGCATATATAATTGCAATCAATAGTCTCCCCCTTTTCTACTTCTATGAGGGAAGTGGCTTTTCTGTCTGGGCAAACAGTGATCCCTGGTGATAATAAATACTGTTTAGTGGACCAGGCCGAATGCCAAATATAACTTTAAACAAATTCAAAAATAAACCTCACGATTGTTCGCTTACACGTTGAACTTTTCGGACGCCGTCTAAATATAGATAAAACCGCGCAATTTGCCAAAAAATATATGTTTGCTATTTCGTTTAGTTTACGCGTTAATTGAGTTTCGTCGACACAGTGGGCACAGTGGCTTCTAAAATATTGTTCATACCTCTTTACAACAACTTAATTGGTTTACCTTCAATTATAGTCTGGGGATAGGTATGCGAATATATTCAGACATAGACAAAGTCAATAAAGTTGGTAATTTTTCGGGTCAACATACTAGACAAACCAATTTTCGTTGCACGTCACGAAAACTGACATGACAATGGGAATTATCCGTGAACAGGGGACAGGGAAATCGAAAGGGGGCCAATAGGAAAAGCAACTTGTTTTATTTACAAACCTGCTAAACCCCTTGATAATAAATAAGGCAAATGAGTAAATGGAATCTTTTTTCGGCAAGGGAAAACTTTCCGCTGCGTTGTAGTTACAGAGTGCTCACTGTTTTGTCATGACTCAAACTTAATATCTGTAAGCAAGAAACAAAAAACAAAGCAAACACAGAGAACAGAAAAAAAAATTGATCGATTGAATGGGAATGTAATGGAAAAATCAGTAGTCCCACTAACAAGATAAGATTTTCGTTTGTCATAGACAAAACTATATAGATCTTGATATGTGCGACTGGATGGCGCTAAATTGGATATCAATATGTTTATCAAGCGTGCTTTTCCCTGGAAATTGCCAGCGGTCGTTCCACTTTGTAACAGGCGTCTGAAAATATGCAATGGATCCGATTACGTTCGCAAACTTTTTCCATTGCCCTGGCCAAATGTGTTAATTTCTTTATAAGCCCCAGCGGTGGCAAAAATAAACATCGTATTATATACCTAAATGATACACCTCGCAATTAGTTGGCAATCGATTTTGTAAATAAATATCCGGCAATAAGCGGCAATTGTGGCAGACAGGTGTGAAAATAAGGTAAAATTGAGATGCCATATCGAGAAATAGAATGGTGCTATTTACAATATTCGATATTGTTAGAAACAATTTAACTCTTGTTTATTTGTAAATATTGTATGACCTCCAAATAGGGCATTATTTTCTTCGTAAAAGGGAATAACATTTGGTCATTTCTGTGGGTGTTTACACAGAGATATCGATTTGGTGAGTACTTTTTGGTGCCGGGCATTATGTTGATAATCAAATTATTTCGAAATGAGTAATAGTGCACAATGATGTGGCAATACCAGATAAAAGGCTTTATGTCATTACATTGAATTCAATGTAACTTTATGCCAGGTGGTTAAATACTTTTAACATATTCTAATTTTTATTTATAATTCATTTAAATCTTCATGACTAACTAATAGAGTGATGATACCACATAAACAATAAATTCAATAAAATTAATTTTATATGTATTTTCAGTTAAAGAACCCCTTTTCCATTATTTAGTCTGGGGATTCACCCTTATTATAATGCATATTTAGTTAAGTCTTATACTTACAATGCAAGCCTTAACGGACTTCCAAAGATTTCTCCCAAAGTCTTCAATCTTGCTGGTTTTTCCCCGTACGTTCGCCAGTTGCACGACGTTTTCCGCTTGAGTAAGTAGATGGAGAGGGTTTTGGAGATGACCGAACCGAGTCAAAGATCGAAGGGTGCACGAAATCACTTCGCCCGAAACTTAATTTGCTTTTTGGAACCGGCTAGAACCGTTTGGATGGAGCCCGTGGAGCGCAGGATAGTCACATTGCCGTAGATTCACACGCGCGCACTCTAATTGGAAGGTATGGCGGATGCGTATACTTAATTTAACTATTACTTTGCTGTGGCCTTTTGCTAATATTGTTAACTTTGGTATGGTAGCTTGATCTGATTATTGTGGTTGTTCGTGGTCCAGGATTTCGCAATCTCACGCAATGCAATTGCTCTCTCTCTCTCTCTCTCTCGTATTGGGGCCCTCGGGCTATTGCCCGCTATCCTTTCTACTCGCTCTTGAGCTTGATTTTTTTCTTGACCTTGTAACGACGGTTGCGCTGATCTACGACAAACTCATATCGCGATCTCTGCACATTTTCGCTATCTAGACTATAGCTCAGACCCAAAAGGCGTAGCACTCCTAGCGAATACGTTGTGAATGGATTTTAGTGCCGGATCGGATGCGAATTTCCTCTCTCTCTCTCTCTGGACGAGTCCTTTCCACCCTCGGTTTGCTGCTTTTTGATCCTGTTCCTGTCTCTTAGTGGAAGAAGAGAGGACCTCTTTAAGTGCCCGACTAACGGTGACTGAGCAGACAGAGCGCACCTGAAGCGCTTTTATAGCACAGTTCCAGTTGTATCCTGCGATCGCTCTTCTCCCTCTCTCAGTCGCTCGCAATGCACTTGCACTTGCAGTTACACCCACACTCTTGCTCTGGCTCCCTCTCCCCGGGTATGGCTGGCTCGCTTGCTCCCACACTACGGCTGCTTCAAGAAGTGAGTGGAAACGAGACGGTATCTGAGCATGTGTCTCTGCGGTTTTCGACTGCCGCTCTTTATTTTTTCGGGAGCGCTTCTCCGCCTTCTTGTTCTGCCTCTTCTGCCTCCAATTCCAACCGAGAGTTTTTCCCCTTGCAACGCCGTTGTTTTCCTCGTTCTCGTTGTTGCTTTTGTTGTGGCTGCCTCTTTTGGCACTGGGGCAATTATGTAAAACGTTTGTTTGGTTTACTTTAAAAACTCGGATACAGCTTTGGAGTGTTTTTTTAGCTCTCAATAGTAGTGGTATTTATACTTGATGTTGTTGTGTGCGAGGTCATCGACGCGCATTAGCCGAAAAAAATCGATATTTAACACTCGTCGCACTAGATAAAATGGGTTTATAGGTCTTGCTTTTTGTTATTGTCTTTTCAATGACAAATATCCAAAGAAACTGGAGTTTTTAAAGCACAATTGCATTTACAACTACAATTACCGGGCCGCGAATATAAAAAACTTTCCGCTGCTTTGGACGCACGTTGTATCGCAAGAGACGCAATTTTTCCAAATGGGAGCCACACACAGATTTTGGAGCCCCAACGCAGCGCTGCTCTCTCTCACTCTTTATCTTTCCTCCCTCTTCACTGCTCGGTCTCTCTTTGCGCAGACTCTTTTATCGGTTGCGATTTTATCTTGGATTCCTTTGCATTAATTATACAAATAGCGGTTTCATTTGCATATTTAGTAAGTTCTTAGATGATGTGTCCTTTCAGGTGGAGTTGGGAAATGGGCGTGTAAACAAAGGCGTAATGCGCTCGCGCGCTCTCTTTTCCTTGGCGGTTCTCTTCAGATGACGATGACGTTGCAAATAAAACGGTTAACGCATTTTTCTCACACCCGCTCTACTCTCACTCGTTCGCTCTCTCTGGACTAAATGCTCTTTTGGTTCATTTTCGTGGCTCAATTATTACGAATTTCAATGAAACTCATGACGGCAATTGCATACATTATTGCATTTTGTTTATCCATAGCTGAAAAGAGAAAAGCAAAAATAGGAATCGAGTTAAAACCTTTGATTTTCCAAATCCCGATTGTGCAATCCAAAAGTCCAAAAATAGCAAAAACAAGTGCGGTTCCAGATTGAGCAATTAAACCCAATTGGATGCAATTTACAGTTGGAAAAGGGGGGCAAAAAGGAATAGGCGGTATTCACTAATTTACGGGTGTCAAGTTCTTATTCGTCTAATGAACCCTCGAGAACTTTCGAGAAATTCCCAAAGAGAAGGAAAGAGAAAGGGGTGGTTGGGTGGCTGGGAGAAATATGATAGTTTCTGCAATTGCCCAGTTTGCCGATTTGCATTTAAATTGATGTGGCTGTAAGTCATAAAAAAATTTGATAATGCAAATGTAAGGCAAACAATCGAAGGAACCTAGAATCTGTTTACTCTAAAATCAGTGAAAATGCAATGAAATGCAGGGAAAAAGTATAAGTAAAGCAAAGGAAAGGAAGACGATTAAATGAGGCATATACATATGTATATATTTTGTAATTTTAATTATATTTAGGTAAAAATAGCTTTAGGTAAATTAGTTAATATTATCTTCATTAGTTTCTACATTTTAATTTATTTTTTTTTATTTGGTAACCTTGGATAAGCAACTTATTTAACCTAACCCTAATCCCCCCTAATCCTATGTCATTATCTACAATATGCCTGTTAATAAGGCCATTAAATGACTAATTGATTGATGATGTCTGGCAATTAACCTCAGATGGATATTTTGCGTGCCGCAAGTCTTAAAATATAACAAAATAAACATGGGAATGTTCTTAATTTCTTAAAAAACCGATATACATATCTATACGTCTATACATACATATGTGCACATTAAAATGTCTTTGACGTCGCAGACGAAAATCGGCAACACAAAAACAGTTTTTAATGTTCTGCTTTCTTTCAAAAAAAGCAAATAAATACATTCAAAACAGAACAGAAATCGCAAAATTGTAAACATTGAAATGAAAACAAGCTTTGCTTGTCTGTGTAAACGCCAATAAAAGCGAAGAGAAAAGTAAAGAAACCAAAGAAAATTGATGCTAAAAGTGCGCACAAGTTTTTCCGAATTTCGTTATTTTTGTAATCTCTTAAAAGTCCTTGATGCAATCGACCCAGGTGCAATAATCTTGAGTCGGATGTTTTGCTTTTCGACACTGGCAAACATTTGAATGTATTAAAAGAAATGCCATTTTCTTTGAACGTTGACTCTTAAAACAATTCATATTGAAATTCAGAAACTCCTTAAGGTATGAATTCCTGAAAATCGCTTAAACAAAAAAAAAAAAATTTGATTCAAGTAATTTTAATCATTACAAAATAATTACAAATTACTCATACGACTGGCAAGCTTTTTTAAAGTTTTTTTGAATAATTATTTAATTTTATTTATTTTCACCCATTTGATTATAATTATTCTCATAATCAGTATATATTATTATGTTCTCAGTTTCAACACTAAGGATAATTAATTTTTTCCTGAACAGCTTAAAGCTAAATCACACTACTAATATACTTTTTAGATCTGCTTTAACGATAAATCTATTAATGGTGTAACTTTAAAAATTTTAAATTTAGTACAGCCTGAAATTTTAATCATTTTAGTGTAGCAGCAGTTTTTCCTCAGTGCATGTTTAAAGCGCCTTACCTCTTTAACCAGTTGCAACACTTGTGCCCGCCATTTACCTAATTTTCGGCGGACTTTTATGCTCTCCTTCTGTGGCTGTTGTTGTTGCGGCCTTTTCCACACTCACACAAACTGAATGCGATTCACACACACACGGATAAAGACTTGCGAACACTGTGAGTGAAAGAAAATTGTGAACCACACCGGACGAAGAACCAACATCGAATGAGCGGAAAAACAGCGGGCGCACGTGCTCAAAGCAGCGTACACCAAAAAAAAAAAAAAAGTGGGAAGAGAGGCAAATCTTCCGAGAGAAATTTCGGGTGGGAGGGTTTCTACTGAATGAAAGCACTAACCATACAACATATAGACTGGTCATTTCATACGACGCATTTGGACACAAAAAAACGGACCGCGGAAGGTCCACCGCTCTCACAGCAGCAGGTCCATGCACTTCGTGTGCGTTCGGGTTTTTTACTCTCTCATTCTTATTCTCATTTTTATGCTCGCGCACTCATTGCACGAGTTCAGTCGTTCAGTCGCAGAGAGGCGCTTTTGAAGAAGGCTGTCCTGCGCTTGAATTCGTCTTTGTATGTATGCGTGATCATGCATTCTCATACACGGGAGCATGTGTGCGTTTATTTCATTTCGGCGCATCAAGAATATTTTGTCTTTTGCCACTTTTCAAACTTGGTACCCTAAGAATATGGGCGTATTTACTATTGGGTTATGATATAAATATTAATATTATATGTAACAATATATTTTTTTAATATTTCAGCATACATTTTATTTTTGTTTACAAATTCAAATCAGTGGTAGCAGTAAAATGTTTTACATATATGTATGTATTCGAATTTATAGAAATCAGTCCACTGAGATGGGAACAGGGCATATCGCAGTCGTGTCACTTGAAACACCGACTGCTCTTCAGTGGTTAAGAAAACTTCAAACTAAATCAATTCTTGTCGATGTTTTGCGAGCGGTTGGTGCCTGCATACCCTACCGACCGGCTTTTAAGACACTTGTTTTAAATGTTATGTTTAGTGATCTTTGGTTGATTTATTTTTTAATGATTCGCAGTGTTATTTTAATTGTCTTTAAACAATTCGTTAAAATTCAAGATATTGGTACAATTAAAATCTAAAATTATAATCATTAAAATAAATTATTATCATTAAAAAAATGTGGATTTTTATATTTGTTCCATTTACATTTTCAAAAATATAAAAAGTATTTTATTATTTATTACTTGTTTAAAGACAATTAAAATAACACTGCGAATCATTAAAAAATAAATCAACCAAAGATCACTAAACATAACATTTAAAACAAGTGTCCTAAAAGCCGGTCGGTAGGGTATGCAGGCACCAACCGCTCGCAAAACATCGACAAGAATTGATTTAGTTTGAAGTTTTCTTAACCACTGAAGAGCAGTCGGTGTTTCAAGTGACACGACTGCGATATGCCCTGTTCCCATCTCAGTGGACTGATTTCTATAAATTCGAATACATACATATATGTAAAACATTTTACTGCTACCACTGATTTGAATTTGTAAACAAAAATAAAATGTATGCTGAAATATTAAAAAAATATATTGTTACATATAATATTAATATTTATATCATAACCCAATAGTAAATACGCCCATATTCTTAGGGTACCAAGTTTGAAAAGTGGCAAAAGACAAAATATTCTTGATGCGCCGAAATGAAATAAACGCACACATGCTCCCGTGTATGAGAATGCATGATCACGCATACATACAAAGACGAATTCAAGCGCAGGACAGCCTTCTTCAAAAAGCGCCTCTCTGCGACTGAACGACTGAACTCGTGCAATGAGTGCGCGAGCATAAAAATGAGAATAAGAATGAGAGAGTAAAAAACCCGAACGCACACGAAGTGCATGGACCTGCTGCTGTGAGAGCGGTGGACCTTCCGCGGTCCGTTTTTTTGTGTCCAAATGCGTCGTATGAAATGACCAGTCTATATGTTGTATGGTTAGTGATGAAAGGGACTTCGTTTGCACTCGGTCCCCTTCGTTTGCTCTGTCCAGCTTTCTCTCTTTGTTTCTCCCGCCTCTCAGAAGGACTGCAATTTGAGGCACACAACGGCATGGCTCACCTACGCCCCTTTGGTTACGCCCCCGCGCGTTAATTAAATATCGCACATACGCAGCGTTAACACTTCCATCGGACTTTCAGTTGGTAGGGCTCTTGACTTGGCTTTGGCTTTAGCTTCGGTCGCATTTCATGGCTTAATACCTCGATTCGCTGCGGAATGCTCGCCGTATTGTAATGTAATGTATGTACGTCCTTGAAAGCACACTTAAAGCACCACCACTGCCACCAGCCCACGCGGTTGCATCCTTCAGTGCTGCTCTTTTATTGCATCCTGCAGTGAGACAAAAATAATCTAGAAATTTGAGCGATATTTATTATTGAAAACAAAAAAATTTACAAGTTAGTAAAATGAATTGTGTAATATAAACATAAACATGTTATTGTTATGCTTTCTTTAATATTTCTATTCGAGGGACATCAAAAGATCAGTGTAAAATACATCTGTGGCAATTGTTTTAAAACTACCTTTAAAGTAAATGTTTTATAAGAACTTGGTATGCCGTTTTTTTTAAATTTAAAATATAATAACGTTTATAAAATTAAAATCTGCTGATGGTTAAGCTACTTAAATCCAAATGCCCCCTAATACTGGTATATAAATTATATATAAAATGGGAATTAATTAATAAACACCATTCTTGCATACTAAGTTCAGGTATTTTGGACTTTTAAAAAATATAAGCAACAAGCATATCGACTGACAGATAAAACCCAAATATGAAATTTAATATCTAAGAAACAATCGGTGGCGTAAGGTTCTTATATTCATTGGGGTACAAAGAGTTCGTTAACGACTTCTTTTATAACATTCCTCAACATTTGGAGCTTAAAGTTCAAAAGGATAGATACATTATTAAAAGAACAGCTTGTTTTTCCGTGTAGGTATCCGTTTCCACGACCGCATACGTGCCATTTGACAATGTTGCAGGCGAGCGGCGGATAATGAAATCCGCAATTGATGCTTGGTCACGAACGGAAAAAGGATTTGGGACTTTTATGGACTTGTAGGACAGCTCTTATTGCGTATTTTGTGATGCCCAAGTCAAAGTAAGCGATATGGTTTGTTTCTTCGCCCTGGTAGCTTTCACTTACTTGTTATTTGACCAGGCCAAGTGCTCGAGTTTAATAGTATATATGCATTTCTATATGTTCATAATAATCCCCCTTTTAAATCTGTATACTTTTTGGATATTTGCCAATGTCTGAACATTTTTAGCCAAATCGAAATACGTGCATGGCGTAATTTCGAGCCAAAATATTGTTTATTTCTCTATCATTTGCCGCCGCTGCAGTTTTCTTGCCAGCTTTTTGCCCCTTTCATTGTTTTGCTTTCCGCCAAAATATTTCCATCTCGCAAAATGCATTACACAATGTTTGAAATGGAAATGATCTGATGAAATGGCAAATTTCTTGACTGATTGTAAGTAGAATATTATGAAGTGGTTAATTTCACGGTTTTGAGGGTTTTACGATTTTAATAATGTTCTTACATAGAGTAGATTCATTCAAAAAGTAAATGTTTCGATTATTTAATAGGCATGAAATTTATTTGGCTATTTAATTTAATTTCGTATTTTCCCAATATGATATCATAATTACTTGGTGGGAAAGTCATTTATTTTGAGTCTAATATTAAAATGTAGAAATTAAAGTAATAGACCACTTAGTTTATTGAGGTATCTCAAGTTTTAAGGGTATTTTTTTTGAGAAGTGATTTTGAAACTATAATTTTATAAATGCGGTTTATTTAAAATATTAATTTTGATTAAAAATATTATTATGCATACATGAATGATTTGCTCTTTAGAATCTTAAAGTAGCATTTACACATACTCATGAAATCAATCATCAAGGTTATGGTGTTTGTATTTCATCACTTTTGTTGCAAGGGGTGCGCTTTTTTCAAGGTCATTTGCTGCTTTAATTTATGCAGGGGCGACTGTTGCAGATAAATTTATGTGGGCTTCCGGGGATATACGTTATTAAAATATGCGTGACAACCGAAAATAGCTGACCCACAAAACCAGTGAGCTACTTTTTCCTGCTGGGCGATGCTACTACACCCCATTTTCTACCTCATTCCCCTTAATTTGGCCCGCTGTCTAGTCTCATTTTTTGGCCATCAGAGGTCCGAGCAACAATTACCCGCAGACACAACAGCCATGATGGGCGGGTGGGCCAACCATCCACCCACTTGATTCACCCACCCCTCACACCACCTCCTGCCCCGCCCACTGTCCGCCCCTTTTTGTGAATGGCACCGGAAGATTCGAATTCTGCGCAGAATCCTCTCTATCGATTAACTCACAAGGCAGACAGCTCTCTCTGGAAAAACTTGGGATAGGACATGGGGATGGGTTTCTAGATGGGATGGAGGTTTTTGGGATGGAAATGTGTGATGTGTGATGCGGATGTGAAATCAACTGCGTAGTAGTCAAAAGTCAAGTTGTGGGGGCGCCTTGGGGGGTGTGGCACCTGCTGCTGTGAGAGGGATAATGTTCGAGATCTTAAATGCGCAATTTAGTTTGGGGTATGTGAGATGTGCCGAAGTGTAGGTCAGTTTGCACACTTTCTCTCTCTGAGCCCATCCTCTGGCTGCCTCTCACTTCCCACCCCTTTTCCACCCCTTTTCCACCTCTTTTCCACCCCTTTCCATCGGATTTCGTTCGCTGAATTATAATCGAAAATTGCATGCGAAAGTTTTATCCTTGGCACCAAAATAGTGCATTGCCCCCACTTTTTTCAACGCTGTCAAAGAATGCAAGTGACGCGAACTATAAATGGTTAAGTAAGGGATGAGGGGAATTGAATTTAAATAATCCTAAGCATTTAACTAATTTTAAATTTTTAAAATTCCATTAAGTGTATGAATAAAACAATATTTTGATACATTAATTTGTTGTTAATTATCATGAACTGGCTCCAAAGTCAAATCAAATATATATATAGATATATATATATATATATATATATATATATATATATATATCTTTACCAATTTTGAGGTTTTGGTTTGAATAGGTTTTTCTTAAATTAATTTGAAAACTGATGACTGAATTGATTAAATTATGTTTGAGAACTAAATAACTTTATCTGTTTCAAGCTGAGTTGGCGTTGAATTTATAGCATTTAAAAGGTGGTTTTATTTATGGGTTTTTCTAAAACTATTTGTTTAATTGGATTACGTAAAAGCACATCTCTTTTGTTAAGGTTTCTGCTTAACTTGCCTTTCTCTATCACAGATCATATTATATAACTTTCAATATTTAAATAACTTTATCTGTATCAGGCAGAGCGGGCTTTGAAGTCATAGCATTGACAAGCTGGATAAGGTAGCAATTCACACTTTTATAAGCCTTTGAAACAAATCCTAAGTTCCCATAGTCAACTCAAATCAACTCATCGTTGGTCCGCTGGGAACCAAGATCCTGATACCGAAGTATTCTTTCGAAATTAGACGATATGGTGGTTGTGAGGGGAATGTACGAGATCACGGAGCTGGCGGTGGGTTGCGTTGGATGCGTGGGTCTCTTCATGGCCGGCTGCAATGCCCTGCCCATGCAGTACGTCCCTGATCTTTCGGCTGCACTGTTTGTCCTGTCGACGGTGTTTCTGCTGCACCATCTGAGGGTGGTGATCATGCCACCGCTGCAGGAGCTCTGGCGCCTGCTGCTGGAACTGGTGGGTTTCTATTTCTGCACTCAGATCCTCGTGGTGCTCGTGTGGCAGCAGTTTCACACCCTGGCGGATAAGCTGCGGGATGCGGCACTTGATACTCGGATGGCCATGGACCTGCTGGAACGTCATCCCAAGGTCTTTATGTTTATGCGCCACGATTTCTGCTACTTTGGAAAGCTTTTGGTGTCCTTGCTGTGCACCTACAAAGCCGTGTCGGTCACTCGTGCCTTGGATTATGCCCTCCCACATCGCCGGACTTATAGATATTATGAGGATCAAGCCGCATATGACGACTGCGGTGATAGTTGGTAGTTGATAGTTCCACCAGAAGAGTAACCTTCAAAGAGGATTAATCAAGTAACTCAGTTCAATCACCCATTTTTTTATGCTCCAACCATGGAGTCCAATACACGTATTATGAAGGTGAACGGCAGCCCGGGTTCAGTGCACCCAAATCGAAGGCTGGATACAAAAGCAGTTAACGCTTTAAAACATATTTGCATGCTTGAGAGAGCAGCGCCAGCACGTACCCAAAATACGCAACTAGGTTTTTAATTTTGGCGCCTCATTAATCGATAATCGATTAGCGGTTGATCGAGAGAAATAAATATCGCTTGTTTACCATCTCTAGCAGAAGAGAAGATCGCGAAGAAGAAGAACATTAAGATCGGACACAAACAATAAAGAAATTAAACAATTTGCCGTAACTTAACTGTTTTCCTCGGTTTAAGGGAGTCTAGCTGAAAAGAGGCAAGAGGAAAAGAGATGGCTTTCCTTTGCCCCGTGCGCATGCGGCGCGACAAAAAGAAAGGTAAGTTACTCTAATGCGGAAGAAGCAGCATAGAAAACGAAAGACTTTGATCACGAACTTGTTGCTTAGGTGCACTGAGAGAAAGTCCGTGGGAAAAGGTGATTTTGGTTCAAATGCTTTTGTTTTAATTTAATAATAATTAAAAACTCTTATCCAAAAATCTTTTAGAGCCAGTATAATGTTTTTATTAAATGTATGTTATATTGCATATTTTTGTTTAATTGCTTTCAAGATTCTTAAAAAAATGTACACTAAAAAAAATGTTTATAAATTAAATTATTATTAATTATTCACCTTTATTTCAGCCACAAATGCCAGCATTGAAAGGGATTTGCCAGTTGTGGGAGGACTAGGCATGGGCCGTATAACAGGTTCCTCCAGCATTGAAACTCTGGTGCGGGTGGGCATCGAAAAGGAACACGGGCTAAGGTATAATTATATCAAGATTTCCCCTAAAATGTGTCTTTATTTAATTATATTATTATCCAGTCCCGACTCCAAAATGGTTGTGCTGCATGACTTCACTCCCTGCGTTGATGATGAACTGGAGGTGAAGCGGGGCCAGCTGGTCAACATCCTGTACAGGGAAAACGACTGGGTCTATGTGATTGGCCAGGACTCGCGACAGGAGGGTTTCATACCCTTCTCTTATTGTGCTCCCTGCAACACCCAGTTGGCGGATTTGGCTGTCAAAAAGAAACTGCCAAGGGATCAGTGTCCTGAGCAGCCAATCGACGAGAATCTGCCACTCCTGGGCGCGGAAAACAAACTGGATGTGCTCTGCGATGAAACTTTAAATCCCGGTTCAGCCAAGAGTATGGAGAACATTCTGCTGGTGGAACCAGAGTGCACACCCTTCGTCAAAGAACCCTCCGGACGTTGCATCGTTTTGTACACCTTTATAGCCCGTGATGAGAATGATTTGTCCGTGGAACGGGGCGAATTTGTGACCGTGCTGAATCGCGAGGATCCTGATTGGTTTTGGATCATGCGCAGCGATGGCCAGGAGGGATTCGTGCCGGCCAGCTTTATTTATCCGGCAGACAGCGTGCGAGTTTTGCAGCAGCAGAAAGCCACTCTGAATGCCATGGAGACCATTCTGCAGCAGGGCCAGCCAGGTCAGCAGAGCCAACAGCAACAGCAGCAGCAACTGGGATTGGGTACGGATGATCTGCGCTACCATGGCACGGAGCTGGTGATGCTGTACGATTACAAAGCGCAGGCTCCAGATGATCTATACCTTTCCGTTCGGCGAGGAGACTGGATTTACGCCGATCTGACCAATCAGACTGTTGACGGCTGGCTTTGGGCTTATGCACCCAAAACCCGCAAATACGGATTTATTCCGAAAGCCTACGCCAGACCGCCTGCCATGACAAGTCTCTGAAATTTTGATTCACTTACATTATTATTATAGGTTTTACTTTACACTTACGAATATTGTTTTTAAGTCATCTATCCATACAATACCATCATATCACATATGATTTTGATTGGATAATAAATTGTGCCTTAGATTTATTTTGTATGTGAGCTTGCATAACACTTTGTATACACTTAATCTAATTAATTCATCCTTAACTGTAGTTTGCCCATAAGCGAATATCAAAAATATTTACTATTGTATTCCATTCAGAACCAGCTTGGGCAGCACTTGCTAGCATCTAGGTCTATATATGAATACTAAAGCACTGACGGGGCGTCGAGCCCCTCGATATGCACTTGGTTTGGATTATTGGATTGGATATGGATGCGTTCCACGAGCGGTGCAAGTGCGTAGGGTTATGCTCAGCATAATGTAGTACGCACAGGCACATCCAACTTGGATTTTTTTTAGGATTCCAACTGGATTCGACGAGGGTCTACTTAAGTCCCAGACTGTCATTGGCCGAAGAGCAGTGCGAGCAATTGAGGTCCAAGTTTCTGTTAGAAAAATTAGTTATAGTAATAAATTAAAGATCTTTAAAAAGATATATTCAACCCACTTCATAGCCTCCCTGAGCTGCTCCTTTTCGTTCATCTCCTCGCGCAGCTTCTGTTGCAAACTGAGAATGAGATCGTTTTTGTTTTGTATCTGCAGCTTCAGATGAACGATCGTCTCCTCCTGGGCCTCGAAAATGGCCTGAAAGAAATATTATAAATATGATGGATATAAATATTATTAGAAATTTGTATTACCCGACACTCCTCCATGGACTCGGAGTACGAGGGCGGCTCGTCTAGGCAAAAAAACTCCCTCACCAGCTTGCACTTGCGCAGCTCCTCTTTGGCCATTACCGAGTTGACAAAGATCTGCAGGCCCTGCACTCGATTGTCCAGAAAGACGGCATTGAAGTTGTCCCCGAAGAGCTTTTTGCGCGGCAGCATAAGCGTGAGATTGGGAAAACTTTGCTTCAGCTTGCCATTCAGCCGCACAAAGTCGGTATATCGTCGCATCACCAGCCAGCAGTCGTTGGTCTCCGGATTCTCGACGCGTAGCTTGTAGACTGTGAAGCGTGCTCGTTCCTCCATCACCTCGTAGCCAATGATGGGCACTCGGAGCACGGCATTGGGATCCACGGGAGGAACCACCGCCGATCCCGAGGAGAGGGTCATCTGGCTGGCGAACATAGAGTTGGAGCCGGTGTGGCGGGAGCTGGTTTGGCTGTAGCCCAGGCTGCACTCGCTCATGCGACGCGGAGCTCTAGTGCTGGGTGGTTCCAAGTCCACAGATGCATGTCCTCCAGTCTGGTGGCCATAGGAAGATTGGGTCAGATCCCGATGGGAACGAGCACCACCAAGCATTTCACTTCTGTTTACAGGCGGTTGTTCGTAGCTATGCGAGCTGATTCGCTGCAGACACACCTCTGATTTGGCGTTGGCCACTGTCAACGGAGCACCCGAGTTGCTGGCCAGGACTACACTGACATCCCCCTCCGATTTGCTGCGCAACAGGCTGTTGTTGTTGTTGTTTTGGTATTTCCTCCCTTGTCGCAGGTCGGGATTCGAGTGGCACTTGCGACCGAGCAGCTTCTTTTGCTGGAACAGCTTCAATCCGCTGGTGGCTTTGGAGTTTCCACTCTTGAGCAGAGACTTCTTGGGTGACGTTGTTGCTGTGCTGGCTTTCTTGAAGAGATTTGCTGGCGAAGTTCTTACAGGTGCTAAATGGTTGTTGTTATTGGTATTGCCGTAGCCACTGCCGTTATCTCTTTTCCTTAAAGCACGCAGTGACATTGCTTTGTTTCGCTGATCTTTTTGTTTGCTACATGACTTTTTAAATTACCATAAAGAAATAGCTCTTTTGTTGTTTTTCTTTTCTAGTGTGGCCGCATTTGCGGAAGAGAAATTCTGACCTAATTGTGGTAGTGTTGGTTAGGACTGCATTGATAGCGCTGCCAATCGATAACACATGGCGGCAAACAGCTGGGTGCCTATCGGAAATGGAGCATGTGGTAAATATTATTGTTATTTTTTGGATATGTTTTACATTATCCTATTTTCCGTAGAACAACGAAACCAGCGAGCTTATACAGAAGCTCGTGAGTCTGAGTGTTAAAGAAAATGAAGAGGAAATCACCGGCTTACTTAAAAACCTACGTCTTTTGCTCACGAGAGGCAGTGAAAATCAGGAGGCATTGGCCAGAAATGTGCAGTTCTCGAGTTTTCTAGATGCGGTGGCTTTTAATCCTTCGATGCGCACAGAGCATCGGATCATACACAATCTATCACTTCAGGTGCTGGCAAATAGTGTGGTTAATAATGAGGTAACCCAAACCCTCACCTGGAATCAACATGGTTTGAAGATCTGCGAACAAGCCTATGCCTCTCCTTTGGGCAGCTCCAATAATGTGCTCCTGATGATCATGTACAACATATTTCTCAGTGGTCGGAGCCTCATTCCCGACCTGGTGGCGCTCCAAACTTGCCTCAGGCTTTGGCGATCTTTAAACGAAGCCCAGTGTACCTACAACTTTGAGTATCTGCACTTCTTTCTGGAGCACTTCATTGTGCAGAACGGTCGTGCCTGCGTGGTTAGTTACCAGAAACTGGAGACTGAAGATCGGGTTGCCTTCCTGGACTATGTGGCCCACTATCTAAGGGAAAATAGCCCCAATGGCGAGGTGACCCTCTTCCTGCTACAACACTTTGCCAAGGAGTTCCGCTTGAAATCCGATTGTCTTTTACGGGAAACTCTTAGTCTAAAACATGAGCTCCATCCGCGCGAAGTTCACACTCTACTGCGCATCATTGCCAGCGCCAGTGGCTCCGAGAAGTATGCCAATGTCTACGCCACGGATCAGTCGCTTTTCATCAACGTTAGCAGCCTCCTGAGATGCGTGGTGTCGGCGGGCAAGGAACCGGATGGAGGCGGCCTCGACAAGCCCATGACCAGACTGGAGGAGGTGGCCCTAACTTCAGGCATTGATGCAGAATATGAGAAGAAGGTCTCCTACGAACTGAAGACGCTCTTGGTGCGCTGCTCGGCCAATCTGCTGTACGATAATAAAGCAAACAAAGGTTACTGCCTGGACACACAACTACTGCCCACTCTACTCGAATGCACCAACATGGATGCCCGAAATCCATGTAAGATTTCGCTTCTATAATTTGAAACCCATCACTTATGCACCTCTTCCCTTAGTAATGCGTGAGTGGAGCATCCTGGCCATTCGGAATGCCTGCATCAACTGCCCGGAGGCGCAACAGGTGATTGCTGGCCTAACCATGCAGGGCTCGGCGCCCAACGACATCCTCACCGAACTCAACCTGGACATGGGAGCACTGCGCATCTCACCCAGCCAATAAACAGCATACATCTACCCGCAAACGAGGCACGACCACTGGCTGGTCAACAAGTGGCTAGATGTTCTTCGCACCACGTCATCCGCCGCCCAGTCGTTGCCCCTTTTTTCGGGCTTTACGATGCGCTAATGCTTTGCCAACAGATAGCCAACGGCATTCATAAACGCGATGTCAAACGCTTAATGGCAGAGAGAGCGCGGTGGAACGTGGCTAGCGTGGCTAGCGAAGATATAAAAATAGCTGCCCATGTACCATGCTCTGTGTACCATTAAAAAAGAGATGCCTAAATCCATCTAAATTCTAAATTTGTGCGCACACTGCCGCGAAGAAGCATCGGCGGTGGAGTAGAGTTCATGTTTATGGCGCAATTAAGCAACGATGACGTCTGCTCGAGTAATTCCTTCGTAGACTTGCTGCAGGTGGCAGCTCCACCCTGCCGAAAACCCCCGTTCCCCATTCGATTCCTTCGCTCCCAGCGGCGTATGTAGAACGATTTTATGTTTATGCTGGCTAACAATGGCTGCCTTTGTTTTAGCTCGCCGCGCTCCCCAAAAGAAAAGCGAAGGCGAAGGCGAACGACACCGACAACCACTGGTGGCTAGTAGCCAGTCAGTCTGTGCTCTGCCCTGGCCAGCAGCAGACGGAACCGTGCCGCCGCGATCATATTCTACCCGGGATCCGCAGACCCCAAGACCGTGCTCTTTTATTCCGAATTTTGTTGCGTTTCGGTCTTTAGTTTGGTAAATTAACAAAGTTTTATTTTAGACGAGCCAGCCGGGCAGCTCATAAAAACGTGAAATTCGTAAACAATCAGCTTGCGGTCAGGCCAAACCAGCCAGAGATCTCCGTGTTGCATCGCTGCAGCTTTAATGGTAAACACCGAGCGTATAGCTCTTATATAACGATTAATCAGGATACCTGACAGACGTTAACACTGCCTGACAGTTTATGAGGTGGGCTGATTCTGATTTTGATGATGATTCTGATGCTGATTCTGACTCTGATGCTGATCCAAATCTGCTGGCATTGGCATTATTTATGCGGGGCATTAATTAAATACACATTTCTCAAAATTCGCTTCTTCGACGGGCTGAATAATACGGCCACATACCAAAATACAATGGCCGACACAGCAAGTAAAACAAAGGCTGAAACACAAAACAAATAAATAAATAGGCGGGTGAACGTTTCGAGATTTATTTTGTTTTGTGGTTTTTTCGACAAAAAATATATGAAATTTTGGCTTGTCAAAAGTGTCAATATAATCGCGCCCAAAAAGCGACAATTAATGCTTCTTCAGCTTTGTCAGTCAGGAATCTGTTAAAAATCTAAAAATAATACAAACAGTTTGCTGTAATTTGTGCGTGGCTAAAAAGAGACTAAAAAACGAGGAGAAAATGTTGAAAAAAAACGCTTTCGAAAGGAAAGTGGAACGTCTAATGACGCACTTCATGACGCAAGTGCACCAGCAACTCCCCCAACTCCCGATGATGCAAATGCAAATGCAGCTGCAACTGCAACTGCAAGATCTGTTCCCGGAATAGATCGCGGAAGTGGAGATAAAAGAATCTGGCGCCTTTGAGGGGGAACATCTCCCTGCTTTCTTTGGGTTTTCCCCTATCGAAAAATAAAGATTCAAGATGACACTTTTCGGTAGCCCAATTATTGTCTCGCAAACGCAAAGACGGAGAAGCGAAAATAACATAAATTTGGACGGCATCCACATGGCAGGCAGTACTAACTATGTATATGGCACTTGTGCACGCAATGCCCACCACCCACCTATTTCGAACACCCACTCGGAAGAGGCGCACCTAATATTCTCGCAAATATTCCGCAAAGAGCCGAAATAATTTTGAAAAGGAATTCGCATTTTGTCATTTATTTTTCTCGCCTGAATGTGTCCACTAATTTGCTTAATTTCTGTCACAATCCACAAGACGAAAAACCGTTTTCGAATGGGAATTTCTGGTCGTCGTGGCAACATGCAAATAAGCATAAATAAAATAAAACGGATTCTCCAAAACAACATAATTAATGGGCACGTTTTAACGGATTTGCGTGAGGCAAACAAACAGTTTAGGTCGAAATAATAGTCTACTTTCTTGAAAAAAAATATATTTTAATCATCTGCTTTAAAATTAAGAATAATATCAAAATATATTGTGTTTTAAAAATGTGAAAATTTTAATCTAAACATATTTAATGAAAAACAAATAAATAAATTTAAAAAAAAGCAATTTATATTTTTATAAATATATAAATTCTTTGCAGTCTCTATTTTTATTTTTTATTTTCTTTCCCTTAAAATATCTTTTATCGTCGACTTAAAAATCCTCACTAGTATTGTTTTGGCTGCCGCAGTTTGTCTAGTATAAAAATAAAATATTGTTTAAATTAGAGAGGTCTGGGTTGTGATGGCAAGGGGTGTGTTGGTGTGTAGGCCCAGCGAAACACCTGCCGAATGATGAAAACGGCGCCCAGCAAATGTCCCACATGTGTGCGATATGTCCGCATGACTTCATTTGCCTGGGGAACGATAATACTATAAATGGGTTAACTTCCACATCCACTTCCTCCCCCAGGAACGCGCGTTGTTCCATGTGCGTGTGGATTGCACCTTGCCAACGACCAGAGAGCCCTAGGAGGGCAGTGGAGTGTGTGCCGGATCGCGAAACTGCGCCACAATGGAGCGCAACGTGTCCACGTCGACCATCGGCCGGGATGAGGCCCGCCGTCCCCTGATGGAAGCCTATATGTTCCAGCGGCGCGTCCTGCTCGGATGCAGTCTGCTCATGGTGGTGTCCTTGCTGATATGGATAGTGGCCATCTCGACCGATCACTGGATCATCATATCAGGCGGAAAAGGTAAGAACTATTTCGATAGTTCAATTTCGCTTTTGATTTATATTTTGAATGTCCGAAAAACCATAAAAGCTTATATATATAATTTTTATTGCAATTTTAAATGCCGTTCAGCACTGTTTAGTATTTCAGTCATGTATACATTACGTATACGCAATATATTACCGGAAACTATAGTATCCTATACAGCTTTCATGTTTTGGCATTCTTTTAAAATTCATAAACAGCTTATTTTATAATATTTTGGTGACAGTGACATATTTATAACCTTAAGCTTACCTTACTGCAATTTACAATTCCGTTCAGCACTATTAAGTATTTCATTCTTGTATACTTTACGTATACGTAATATTTCACCAAAATGTACAAACATTAGGTTTTGTCATGATTTTAGAAACATAAAGATATGTTTTTAATAATCTTTTTGTGACAGTATTTGTTATTTAAATGCAGCCAAAATATATATACCACATATACATGAAACTGTTAAAACTTATACATACACCTTTAATTTAAAACTTTGTTTTTTTTTTTTTTAAGTTTTTGTTGACAGTAACGGATCTACAAAATTAGGGAAATATCCACACAAAATGAATATGTAAATTTGTATCCACACAGCTTTTTTTTTAAAGGAGGTATATTTATGTGTCCTAGAAGAAATTAGTAATTTAAATGGATTGAATGGGTAAATTCAAAAACAACATTATCAATATTATACTAATCAGACTTATGTGTTAAGCTAAAAAGTTATAAACTAAAATGAAACCTTTTTTCTCCTCCTTCGAAGGCATTTTCATCCCGGAGTCGCGGCGCTTCTTCATGTCCTCGCACTCGGGACTGTGGCGTCACTGCCGGAATACCATCGTGCCGAATGCCATGAGCAATGCCCAGGTGGTGCGCAACTTCAGCTCCATGTCGTACACCTCGCAGACGAACATCAACGAGGCCAAGCGGAATCTCTCGCACAGGGACTTCATCAAGGAGTTCGCCCAGGAGCAGCTGGTGGATACGGCGGAGAACTTCACGGAATCCGCGCGTCGTCACATGTTTGCCCACTGGGCACGCGGTGAGGAGGAGGAGTTCCAGACACTGCGCAATGCCTTCCGCAGCCTAGTCATGAGCACGGAGGACAACCAGCGGCAGATCAACGCCACGGCCATCAAGCCCATACCCATCGATCCGCTGGACGTGAAAGGCATCATTGCGAGAAAAACCTTCGGTTCGGCTCTGCAGCGGGTTAAGTACAACAACACCTGGTCGTACTACGTGATCCCCGAGGTGGCCCAACTGGCCATTTTCAGCAACTGGACGGATTACCCGCTGGTGGTGCGTCTGCTGGGCACCTACATCCGGGACATTGGCATTCCCGCCTACGTGCTGAACGATGAGCGGGTGATCCTCATCCTGGTGCCACCACTACCGCCCAAGAAGGGACAGGCCGCCTTCTACAGTTACATCCCGAACCGTAAGTGGGGAGTCATAAATTGCAGAGAACTTCTAATTTTTTTTTAATTGTTGATTTTGTGAAACATTTAAATCTTTTTATAAAGGTGTTTTGTTATAATCTTCTGGTAACAGTTTCAAATTTAGAATTTTAAAAATGAGCAGTCATAAAAGCTTGTACATATGTACATATATTATTACTTCACTTTAAAATGCCGTTCAGCACTTTTAAATACTTCAATCATGTACACAATACGTATACGTTTTATTTAATTTAAAGTATAGAATGATATACAATTTATATGTATAACTTTAGCTACATATTTAAGAATTAAACATATATTTGTTGACTTGATTTAAAAAGTATTTTTTTTTAGAGCGCTGCAAGTACATTGACATGTTTCCCAACTCCAACGCCCTGCGAAATGAGCCTGGTTTCGATGACGAACTATTGGGTAGGTACTCCCACTTTCTCTTCGGAGGCGACGGCTCCTAATTGGCAGTGGCCTGGTACTCCCTTTCAGACTACATCCGGACGCAGGCGTCCTTTGCCTGCATAACACTCTTCGTGATGAGCCTGGGAGCCGTGTTCTCCTTCTACACGTTCATGAATCCGCGCTACATGTTCAAGCGGCTGGCGGGTGGCATCCACCTGGTGGCCGCCTCCACGGCGCTGGTGGTGCTCCAGGTGCTCTTCTCCTCGATTGACTACACCAAGGAGCATCTGTTCTACGCATATCCGGACGGGGCTGAACTAACGTGAGTTGAAAACAGGAAGGGAAGCCAACTTCCATCACCCGACCACCACTTTATCCTCTGCAAGAATTTATTTACTTTCTGTAAATGATTTATTCTCCTTTTAGATATGGATATGGCGTCTACTTGGCCTGGTTCACCTTCGTGGACAATATTTTGTGCGGTGTTATGTTCCTGTGGTACTCTGGCAAGAAGAAGGGCGCCAAGGCGCCCAATGACGAGGTAGCGATGGCGGACGAGCCCACCATCATGGGCAGATAGTAACATCGGGCCACGAAGACGAGGTTTCCTTTCAATGGAATGGAATATCCTACTGCGACCAAAGACCAAAGCAACCGGCACACTCGCCGTCGTTGCTTTTCACTTCACTTTTGTTATTTGTTGTTTTTATAATGGCTGTATTTAAAATGTTCGCTTTATAACTATAAGAATCTCAAGGCAATAAAGGAATTGTTTTCAGTCAAAAGTAACTGATTATTTTTAAATTCAGATAACAGTTGGAATGCAATCGATTACTTTTTCGATTGTAGCATGGCTCTGACATGGGTGTATGCTTCAAGAGGAAACTTAGTTATTATTTCCCCATGACTATAAATTTGCAAATTTGACAAACCATTAAAGGGCTTACCATTAAATATTAAAAAAAAAAAAAAATGTATTCCCAATTAAATATATGTATTTGATCCCCTTTGAAAATTTTTCGGTCTACGACCATCTTTACTAGTGTGACCGTATTTAAGAACCTAAAACCCCATTGGAAATCAAACAGCAAGCATTTATCAATAAAAAATAAGTTTCTTGGACAAAATCGATAATTAAAATTAAACAATTTTAAATTATTTATAATAAAAACTTAACAACATTGGCAGCTGACATTTCAACAACCCCAGAATTCTCATTGGACGCAGTGCAATTAACCCTCAAAAATCTTTAAAATATTTAAAGTATAAACAAAAATGGTAATTAAAAAAATTAGTTTTTGAACTTTAAAGGGCTTTACTTAACTAGTTAAGTGCTTCAGGAACCTCTGGAACCGGATGTCTTCACCACCCATACAAAGGAGCTCTCAGCAGCGGATAAACAAAAGCTGGAGGAGCAAAACAAACGTGGTTTTGTGCCCGAATTCAAGGCCAACAAATTGGAAATTGATGCCCAGAGGAACTGGGATATATTTTACAAGCGCAATGAGACTCGTTTCTTCAAGGACCGCCACTGGACCACGCGGGAATTCCAAGAGCTGCTGGAGGACCAGGAGGCCACTGGAGGCGACAAACGCACCCTCTTCGAAGTGGGATGCGGAGTCGGCAATTTGGTATTCCCGCTAATGGAGGAGCAAACCAACGAGGAGGACTCTAGGAGATTCCATTTCTACGCCTGCGACTTTTCACCCCGAGCCGTGGAATTTGTGCGCTCCAATCCTCTATACGATTCCAGTCGGATAACAGCCTTTCAGTGCGACATCACCACGCAACAGGTGCATGAGCACATTCCTTCCGGCAGCCTGGATGTCTGCACCCTGATCTTTGTGCTCTCCGCCATCCATCCGCAAAAGTTCAGGGATGTGGTACAGAACCTGTGCAGGCTACTCAAACCAGGTGGACTTGTGCTGTTCCGGGATTATGGACTGTATGACATGGCCCAGTTGCGCTTCAAGCCGGGCAACAAGATTGCGGAAAATCTTTATGTGCGACAGGATGGCACCCGCAGCTACTTCTTTGCCCAAGAAGAAGTATCCCAGCTCTTCCAGGAGAACAACTTCGAGATAATCACCAATGCCTATGTTCACAGGAGAACTCTCAATCTCAAGGAGGGCGTGGATGTGCCACGCATCTTCCTGCAGGGAAAGTTCAGAAAGAAGAACCTCTGACCTGCGTGTTACGTATTTAGTTGTTGTATTTATTTTAAATCAATAACATGGTTCAAGTCAACGTTCAATAAATATTTGTATGTAATATTAGTTTACACATGTATATGCTAATAAGTGACAGAACTAAGAGGTTTCCTGTAAAACTCAATTGAAATTGCCTGTGGACCCAACTCAGCAACTCTGGCTGAATGTCGAGTAGATATCGAATGTGTGAGAGCGTCATCATGCTGATCATACCTAAAAACAAGTGAAATGCACCGGGATGTGTACGTTCTGTTCCCCGAAAATGGAACACATAATCTCCCTCTGACTGAGGCATTTGCAAACGATGTCTACCGAGGGCTCCGCGTGTATACAATTTGTATATAATAATTCGTGTGACTTCCTAGCAACACTTAATATATATATATATATATAACCAACAATTGGATTTGGAATACGATAATACACTCGAACAACTAAGAAAACCCATCAAATTCAACAAATTCAAACGATCCTTAATCCATAAATTCTAATCTCGATCTTCCCTCGCGCCACGGTTTTGTTCGGCTAATACACAGCGGTATAGGTGGCGGATATATATAGAGCAGGGTGGGTGGATTTTTAGGTCATGAAGCTGGCAGTTTATCTTTGGATCACTCTGAGTAAATATGCTTTGGGGACAGGCTAAAATGCAAGGTAAATATTGCACATATCCCAAAAACGAGTTTTTCTCTTTATATTAAAAAAAAATTGAAAACTCTAATGAAAGTAGCCAAGAATTATCCAAAGATAGTGAGTGCCCTTACACTTGCTCATTTTCGTATAAACTCCACCCACCCCAGTTAAGGTTTTAAATATATATATATATACTTGATACTTTACGATTTGGCTAATCGCCTTTGGAACGAGACGATCGATTGCACTACTCCGCCAGGCTGTGCTCGGCCAGCTTGCCGCCATTGCTGCTGCTGTGTCCCAGCGGCGCCAGTTCGATGCTCGAGTCGAAGCTCTTGGTGAGCAGGTCGCTGCTGGTCACCGAATTGGTGGTGCTGCTCAGCGGCGGCAGGGATGTGTTGGCATTCGCATTCATGCCGTCGTTGAGGTCGCTGTCCACGCTGAAGCTGTTGCTGCCGTTCTCGTTGATCAGCGAGAGCGTCTGCAGGGGCAGCACTTCGCCGGTGGGTTGCGACACTGGATCCGCATTGGAATTGGCCAGCTGGGAGCTGGGGCTGGAACCAGTCTCCGCCTGCAGCTGTAGCAGCGAGTTGCGCTGCGTGTGCTTGTCGAACTTGCGCTGCGGTGGCTTCGGCGGCTCCTTGTCCTTCTCTTTCTCCTTCTCCTTGTCTTTGGACTTCTTGAAGCCCGCAATTAGGGCCTTGTGGGCCTGCGCCTTGATGCCCTCCATGCTGGGCCGCATGATGGAGGTGCGCGTGCCGGAACTCTCCTTCGTCGAGGGCGACTCCTTGGAGCCCGGCTCCGTCTCCTCGGTCACGCTGGCCAGCTGTTGAGGCGCCTGCGGCATGGTGAGGTCCTGCACCTGGATGGGTATGTCGTCGGGCAGCTTTTTCGTGCGGAAGGAGGCGTTCGTAATCATGGACTTGGACACCGACGTGGTCACCGTGTTGGTGGACGGCGTCAAGGCTACACTCAGACCCATGGGTCCGTCGTTGGGCTGCCCGGAAGGATTGGCGTGCAGCGAGTTGCGCACCGCACTGGTCACCAGGATCAGTTCCGTGTACATCTCGTAAATGGCCCGGTTGTGGATGTCGTCCAGCGTTTGTATAGCTATCGTGCCATAGCCATTGAACATGGCAAAGTAAATGGCATGCACCAGTTCGATCAGGAAGGAGGCGGACAATGGAATGCGCGGTGAGGAGGGCTTGGGAAAGGTAGCTCCCGTCGCAGGATCGGAACTGTTTTAAAAACAAATAAATTAGAACGTTTAACTGATGATCTGATGATCAACTCACCCGTAACTCATGCGATGCCCGTGACCTGACTTTGTGGTGAATCCCTGATTTACCAGCTGCGACGTGACGCGACACAAGTGGAGCAGCGAGGACTTCTGCGTCTGGCTGACCTGCTGGTTGTAGCAGAACAGCAGCGCCGTAAGGATGCGCATGCGATTCTGGGCATGGATCGACTCGATGCGCTGGTGCGGCCCCCACTTGACCTCCCGGTTGCAGTTTTCCTCCCAGCGACGCAGATCGGTCATGGGCAGGTTCTTGACCTCGTGGTAGACGGAGGTCTGCGCCAGGATGGGCATGCGGAAGGCCACCACCCGCTGTCCGCCGTCATCGGTGGACACCTCGCCGTTGTAAATGCAGATGAGTAGCGTCTCCACGCCGCGGGCGGCCTTCTTATCGCCGCCGGCCACCGAGTGCAAGTATGTGTACACGAGCACCGGGATGAACTGCAGCGGGAACTTGTGGAGGGTCAGCTCCGGCGAGCGGTAGAAGGCCAGTAGTTGCTGGCAGATGTCGTGCACCATGGATTCATTGCGCTGTCGCTCGTTGAAGATGGTGAAAATGGCCTCGGCGATTTCGGGGTCCGTTTCGTGCTCAACCACAAAGGCCTCCGCCTCGGCGGGTTGGCCCCGCGTCCGCTGGTAATCCGCCAGCCAATCCCTGACCAGTTCCGCCATCGTCGCTGCTCCGAAGTGGTCACAGAATCTGTGGAATGTGGATGTGCAATCCAATCAGCCAAGCCTTCAATGCTGGACCTTCAGGTGGCCGTCTGCTCACCTTGACCTGGCTGTAAGTTGGGATCCTAGGTGCTATGGTGCCTATGGTGTGCTTGGAAGGTAGCGTCAGGTTTCCGTACCCTGGGTTATGTGGTAGCAGTGGCTAATTAATTTATCGCCCGTCTCCGCTGCTGCTCCTCTTAATTTTTTTCCCCAAATATGACAGGGCTGCATCACAATGTGGCCAGACTTTCCGTTTCTTCAAGACCGTATACGCTTGTTCTGGTATTAAATTTATTTACGTTTACTTGTGGTATATCCTAACGGCGGTTTTATTATGAAAAATTTTTCAAAACTTGTATATGTAATTTTAAAATCCAAGAAACAACGTTACTCTGTGCACTAATTGTGTAACACACACACATCCCTTCACAACCTAAGCCCCATCCAGGATTTATCCAATCCCATGAAAGAAAACTCTTAAATAATCCCCTAGTTTCTAAAAAATTACAATTTAACTTCAAAATATAAGCTAAATACAAGTTTTGTCAGAAAAAAAGGAAATGTATACAAATAATAGGAAATCTAATAATATTGAGCTAAATAAGAAAACCCCAAATAAATATGACTTTTTATTAGTTCTTAGCTTTAATATAAGTAAGCATTGAATAATTTATTTAATTTTATTTTGTTTACTACCATTAAAGTAATTATGCTTGTCTTGACCTTAATTTAGATTTAAAAATAATATCTACTATGTTACCCTAACTTTAAAATGCATTAAAAGTTGCCTTTATTTAAGTTTACTCCTTATATTCTGTATATTGGGAATAAAGTAATTTTGCTTGGCTTGATTTTAATTTATATATGAAAATTAAAGCATGTTTGGGAATAAATTGCTTTGTCATTTAATCTATTCTTGTAATAATTGTAATTGCAATTATTAAATTGAGCAATTATATTTAAGTATTAACTACAAACTCTCATGAGCTTATACACATATAATTGAACGATCCTATTGAGACCAACATATGTAGTTCGGAGAGTATTTATGGAATAGCACAATTGCACAAAAATCACGTCCAATCACTTCATTAGATTCCTTACAATGTCCACGGGGAATGGGAAGACGTAGGATCTGGTGTTATCGTTGCAAATGGAGTTCAGCGTTTGTAGGTAGCGCAGCTGTAAAGCAATTGGGTTGGTCTCCATGATGTCGGCGGCCTCCTTCAATGCCTTGACCGCATCCCGCTCTCCTTGGGCGGCGGCCACCTTGGCCTTTGCCTCCCGCATCGCCTCCTGCTCCACGGCCAACGCACGCTTCAGTTGATCCGGCATGAAGATCTCCTTTCTAGCGAACATACAGATGGGGGATTAATAGTTGAAGTAAAAGCAAAAGTTTACATACATCTCCACCCTCTCCACACGCACTCCCCAAGGCTCTGTGGAGTTGTACAGTATACCTTCGATCTGGTTGGACAGGTACTCCTTGGAGGAAAGCAGATCCATTAGCTTGTGGGTGCCGGCCACGGTGCGCAGCGTAGTCATGGCCAGCTTCTCGGTGGCCTCCTCCGGATCGTAAACCTGCAGCATCGCATCCAATGGGCTTTTAATGCTGTAGTACACAACTCCATCAATGCTGATGGTCACCGAGTCGCGAGTTAGGATCGCCTGTCTATCCAAGTCAAACGACCTGGTGCGTATATCCACGACAACGATGTCATCGATGCAGGGCACCAGGAAAATGACGCCCGGTCCCCTGGGCAGTTTGGTACGCAGCCGACCCAGTCGCAGCACCACCGCCCGCTCGTACTCCGACATGACCCTGATGCAGCAGATAAGGGACCACGGCAACGTCAGGACTATCAGAATGATCGAAAGCACATAAAATGTTTTCTCCGCACACGACGGGGGTACATTTTCACCTGTTTGTAAACAGGGTCTTTGGGAATTACGTAGTTGGCATTGCGGAACGCTCACTTGTTTTCACATTACGCTGCGGCAAGATCGATTCATCGTGGAATATGTTTACCGAGGAGCTCTGGGCCAATACCGCAGGATCAGTCATTACAGTAGATTTAGCAGGTTGTTGTTTATGGTGACAGTGTATTCGACTACGACTATGGACAATAAATAAACTCTCGAATAGAGTTCTGTCATCTAATGTGTACTCATGAAAATTGGCTAGTAGATGGAAGAATGGAATCCGTTTGGTCTTCGCTAGCTGAGCGGATGTTGCATATCCTGGGCCAGCTCCACACGTCTTCGAGGTCGCCAAAGCTCCAGCAGGCGCATCATAAAGTGGGCCACTACGAAGAAGACGAGGAACCAGGATCCGTGCTGCCACACAGCAAACACCAGCTCACTGGTGGTGAAGGAGCGCTCCTGGAGTATCCGATCGTATACCTTCACAGTGCGGAGGGCCACGTCCTCCCAGTTGTACAGCGTCTCCACCAGCTCGTTACATTTGTAGGGACACATCACTGGTTCTGTGTGATGGATACACTGATCCGCGGGAGGAGCCGAGGATGATGGCAATTGCGGAAAAGCATCCACTTTCTTGCGACGTCGCCGTTTTCCTTTTCCATTGCCGTTCTCCGACGGCAAGTGTCCATTGGCAAGAGGAGGGCTAACCTTAAAGGAGCTCTTTTGATGTCGCTCGATGGCCACCAAAATGGCAGCGTGTATGGCATCTATGTCTGGCTCCGCCAGCAGTATCAAGCTCTTTGGCAGCACCTCTGGAATTCCGCCCACACAGGTGGACACCACTTGCAGGCCACAGGAAGCAGCCTCAACGATGGCCATGCAGTAGGCCTCAGTCAGTGAGGTATTCACGAAGATGTGGCCACGCACCAGGACATCGCGTACCTTGGCGTGCTCCACAGCACCCACCATTTCCACTCTGTCCTGCATGTTGGTCTTTTCGCGAATCTCCTCCAGCAGATCCCGCTTGGGACCATCGCCGACAATGATGAAGTTCACATTTGGAATTTTCTTGAAGCGGGGAATAATGCCGGCCAGCAGATCTATGCCTTTTCGGTAGACCAGACGCGAAGCCACCACAATGTTAACTGGGAAAACAGAACTCAGTTAGTGTGGGGAGCTATTCAAGGGAAGGGAATGCTCACTTGTGTCATTGCTGGGACGCTGACCAGGATCAGGCGTAAATAAGGCAGTGTCCACAGCATTGGGAATGACGGAAACTCGATGTTTGGCCACTCGAGCGCGCAAGACCGTGTTCTCCTTGCCAATGTGGGACACACAGATGGCGTGGTTAACCATGCCCAGATTGACCTCCAGCAGATTGTTGGTCAGGGCGGCGGACAGGTCCGCAAAGCCAAACAGGCTGTGATCGGTGAAGACAGTCTGGAAGAAGGGGAATTGATTAGCTATCTTTTGGGGGAGGGTTGAGCAAACCCACCTTTAAACCCAGCAGGGAGCCCACCATCAGTGCCTCGTGGGCCAGAGCACTGAACGCGGAGTGACCATGGACCACGTCCACGCGCTCCCGGAGGAGAACCGCCCGCAACATGGGCACATTGCAGACGGCAGTGGGCAGAATGCACTGGTTGTAGCACACCTTGATGGGCAGATAGTAGACCTTCAGGCCACCTGTCACATAGCGAACGCCACTGCAGTTCCCGTAGGCGTGGGTCAGCACCACAATCTAGTGGGGGAGATACGAATAAGTAGTTTAAATAGTCGTTATCTTCCTTGGCAAATGCGGAAATTGGCAATAATCACCTTGTGACCCAGGCTGAGCAGCATTTGCGAGAGGTTGTAGACGTGTTCCTCCACCCCTCCGATGCTCGGGTAGAAGAAGTCCGACACCATGCAGATGCGCATCTTTCACTCTTCTGGGTCTTTTGGGACTTCCAGTGAGCTGACATTCCACATAAAACAAATAAATGCAAAAACTTAAACAAAATCGGCACAACGAAAATCGACAGTGTGGCGCAATGCCAAAGAGCGGTCGATGGCGCAGTGTTGGAAAGTGGCGGAAAAAGGACTGGTACTTTAATAAAAATCAAATATCTCAAGAGATAAATAAATGTGGAATAAACGTAATGTTCTTGATATTATTTGTTTTCCTAGGAAGCTTAATAAATTTTACATATTTTCATTAATTCACTTTTAAACCTAATACTTTTTTAATGTACGTATTTCCATTGATCCACTTAAAAACTTTCTTAGCTGGAGGCATAATACTTGGAATAAATTTATCTTTCCTGAGTATTTATTTCCCTTAATATAATAAATAACCTAATTATTTAGTAATACATTATTACTATTTCATTCATAGCTGGAGGAATTATATTTGGATCCTCGTCCATTCTAAAAACTACCAAGCTCCTCAAAAAACAACTACGTAATCGGTAACATGTTCATTAAATATATATTTTATTGTAGAAATTGACCTGAGAATTGATTATGTACAACTGATGTTTTACACTGAACTATTTTTTACTTAATCTAGGTTGAACAAATATAGGTACTATTTTTTACTCCACCTAGGTACAATTAATAGCTTTCTGCATATTCTTTGGAATTTTTCGCGGATGCTAGTGCGGTCACACTTGGCTTACAAGGGAGAGGGGGAGACGTTTTTGTTTCTTGGCTGGTATCTTCATGGCTGAAACATGCAGAATTCCAAGGCCAAAATGGACGAATTCAAGAGCAAATTCTTGGACATACTGCACAAACAGGTAGCTGGTAACCATATGGTTGAGTAACAATCAAAGCTAACTCCTTTTTCGCTGCTTCCCGACCACCAAACAAAAATAAAACCACCCACGCACACACAGACGAACCGTCAAATGAAAATTCCTGCGATGGGATTTTCGGATTATTTCATCCAAACGGTGACCACGGACGCCTCGCCCAGCCATGAAGTGGACGCCACGGATTCGGCGGCAGCCACCTCTTCCGCTTCCGGAGAGTCGAACGCACAAAAGTCGGACCAGGAGATCCTGGAGGGCATCGAGCAGTGCTACTACAGCCCCGACAGCAATCCGCAGCTGTACGAGCTCAAGGTAAACCAGGTTGCAAAACTACTAACCTATGGCATTAATCACACCCCATCACGATCTGTACCCGTAGAAAGTTCTCAACGATGGCATTGACAACGAGCTGATCGAGGTCACCATTGCACAACTGCGCACTCAGCAGAAGGTTCTCACCAAGCAGGTGCTGCAGAACATCCTGGAGCAGCGCAACGCCTGCAGCAGTGAGTTCGCGGCCATCAACGACACCCAGAAGAAGCTTGAGGAGTCGCTGTGGACATGCCAGAAGGCGAGATCCTATCTAAACTTTGCCCGCACAAACCTAACGACCACCAGTTTGGAGATCCTGGCCAGCTACCGCAAACGAGAGGTGCTCAAGGAAGTGCTGGACACGCTGGTGGCCATCAAGAAGCTGGTGGGAAATGAAAATAACTTGTTTCTATTATCATTTTTAATAACACTCGTTCTGCTACAGCGCACCACAGATGTGGAGGTACAGAAGCTGTTGGCTGATCACAACTATAGTGCCGCCATCGCCTTGCTGCTCCAGTGCAAGAGCTCCGCCGAGGCCTACATGCAGTTTAACTGCGTGCAATCGCTCTCAAAGAAGCTGCAGGAGACCATGCTGCTCATGGAGTTTCAGCTGGACACGGTGCTCAATGAGATGGTACTCGGTTTCGATGGGCGCAAGTACGCCAAGCTGCAGGAGGCCTACAAGCTGGCCAACAAATCGCTGATGGCCATGGACCAGCTGCACATCAACTACATATCGGCCATTCACTCGTCCGTGAATGCGGTGTTGTGTGGTTACAGCGATCCCGGCCAGGACGATCAGGCCAAGCCGCTCTACGAGCAGCTGTGCGAACAGCTAAGTGTGGATAAGCTACTGCCCTGCCTGATTAGTCTATGCAAGACCTTCTGGACCATCCTGGCCTCCTACTACCAGGTGGTGATGTGGCACAACAACTACAAGCTGTACGGACAGGAGGAGGAGGACTCCCCAGACGTTTACATTCAGCAGAAGCTGAAAAAGGGACAGTCGCGTGTGTGGAACGACATTCTGACCAAGGTGTGCCTGTTTCTGCAGGCGGCCAAGTTGACGGCGCTCAAATACGACCAGTTTATCCAGGTGTTGTCCGTGGTGCAGCGTTTGAAGAAAGTTGGTCAGGAGTTCTGCGGCGAGCAGTCGGAGAAACTGATCGAAACGATGCAGCAGCAGAGCGAGGAGTTCTTCCGGCGCTACCACATATGCTGTGTGGAGGAAATCTGTCTTTTCCTCGACAACGAATCCTGGACACAGGTTGACTCATTTGCGCACATCCTGCAGTTGCCTGTAAGTAATTCGATAACCTTAGGGGATGAAAACTACAGCTTTTTCCCTGCAGGAATTCCGATCGGTTAGGCACACTCTTAGACGCCACAAATCGCCGACAGCAGCATTGCTGGCCTCATCCAATAACTCTCCAATCAGTAACAATAACTGCGACGAGCTGGTTTCCGTGCACTCTCAGGATGGCGGCAGCTCCATTTACGGTTCCTACGGATATTTTCTTAGATTCTCCGAGAAGAGTTCGCCCTTCGATGGAGGATTGGATGCAGCCATGTTGGAGGAGGACATTCTGTCCGGCATCGTGGACGAGGCCTCCTGTTATTTCAGTGAGGAGAGCGATGACGAACAGAAGAGTCTGCAGAGCAAGGAGTTTGATGACACCAGCAAGTAAATAGCTCTATCTTTTACTCTGACAAGTTATTAAATTGTAATCTTTTTTATAGTCAACTTCTGGTAAACAACACCGCCCTGAATGTTTTGCGCTGCATTGGTCGTTACCTGCAGATGTGCAAGCTGTTGCACTGCATATCTCCAAAGATCGTGTCCTGTATGCTGGAATTGATTGACTTTTATGCCTATGCTGTGCATGAAATTTTCGGCAAGGATGCAGTAAGCTTTTATACCACAACCTATCATGAACCATGTTATAACCAAATCTATATTTTAGCCTGTAGCAACAGATAATATGTATACTCCACGACTGGAGCAACGATTGCGTTCAGTGGAGGCGAACATCCTGTCTCAAATTAAGTTGTGGCCAATCAACTTTTCCTCGCTGGTAATTTGATTGTCTTATTCTTTCCATCTTAAGATGCTTAACACATCCTTTTGCAGGCCAACAACGAGCTGGCTAATCCGGACACACTCTACGGCCTCTCACAGCGCATTGTGGCTGTGGAGGCGGGTCGCAGCATGATCCAGCAGTTCCACATCCTCCAGCACTATCTAAACCATTTGCTGCCCCTCGCCGATCGTCCCATGCTGGCTAGCTACCTGGAGTACAGCAATTATATGCTGGACCTGGCCAAACCCGTTTACACGTGCGTCACGTCGCGCGTCATCGATTTGTCGGCCATTCTGGCTCAAATGGCCAAGGTTAAGTGGGATGTGAATCATGTGATACACCAGCACAGCAGCTACAGCGATGTTCTAAACAGGGTAGGGTACAAAATACTTTAAATAACATGTACATTACTAACTGACAACGATTATTGGCAGAACATTCAAAGCTTTGCCATGTGTCTGGAGGAGATTGCCAAGGAGGTGCCGGTCCCCAGCAAGCATGTATGGAATTCGATGGCCCATGTGGCCACTCACCTATTGGTAGAGGGGTAAGTTTTTGGCTTTCTATATCCCGGAATTATTTGATTACAATTTAACGTCTTTCAGCTTCGCTAATGTGAAGAAATGCTCGGCTGGAGGACGCGCTCTAATGCAGCTGGACTTTGCCAACTTCATGTCGTTCCTGGAGCTAATCTCGAACCAGAAGTATCCACAGCATCGCTCCTACGTTGATGTTTTTATCAAAACGTACTACTTTGCACCCGACCAGTTTGAGCAGTGGATCGAACAGCAGCGCCTGGGGGATGAATACTCTGCGAGGCAGTTGACCAGCCTTATTCAGTGCATTTGCATCAGCGACAAGCGAACAAGGCAAAGGCTTCTGCAGCTGCTGGATGTTGGAATGGCCAATGGGGTCACCACAACGACGACGCCGACAACAACGCCGCAGAAGAACAACCACGGATCCGTAACAGGCTCAAATCTGAGCAGCGTTATCTGAGCACTCCCAAAAGATTATTTTTATTTGTTATAACCCCTGGCTAACCTTGTTAGTAGATCAATCTCGTGACATTCTTTATGTGTATGTAACATTCCGTTTAGTGCAAATTAACATTGTGTTTAGGCTAAAGATTCTACCTTAGATATACAGGCGATCTCCATGATGTACTTCGTTTCGAATTTCGAATCTCTAAAACCCCCTCTTAAGTGCAATCCCAGCTCTCTATTTCGCTAACTCAGATGCAACGCAATTGGCAATCTTGGTAGTTGATAATTAATAATTGGCAATTGGTTCATCGTTCACCGTGACTTAAGTACCTAGAGAAAGCAGACGACATATATACACACAAAACACGTATAATTAAGATGCATAAATACCTATTTATTTTACTACCTATATTTGTAATATTTATTTGCAGCAGGAAACAGACAAATAATTGTAAATCAACTCAAATGTAATGGGCGGCATGTCGAACGAACACACACCATTAACTATTTAGCAACTGTAATGAAATAACAAAGATTACATATTTTGAGATATGCATATTACAAACACTGCAATTTGTGTCTAATCATTTGGGGGAGTTTCTTTTCAATGGCATGACTTTCACCAGTTTGCCTACAATATAAATAGGGGGTATTGGGGTGATGGCCACATAATTGAAAGGACATGTGGACATTACTCAAGGTGGCGCTTCTCTGGACTCCTGTTTTAATTAGGGGATCTGCTGTGGAACTCATCCTCAATGCAGCAGCAGAATCTTCACTTTCTGTGCTTATAATCCAGAATGATTACTGCCCGGACTCCTGGTTAAAGACAATATTTCGAAATTTACAAATTCCTTTAATACTCAACTCAGCTGGCGGTTATTATCCCAAAAACCAGTACTTGGACAGAGCATTACATGTTATTTGCTTGCCCGGACATGAAGTGCAGCTGGATCAGGAGCTTCTTCAGAAACTGGCCATTTCTTTGGAGGATTTCCCTAGCGATAAGAAGGTATTCTATGTGGCCAACAGTTTGGCCAATCGAACCAGAATGGAAGCCCTACTGCAAACCAGCTACCATCTGCGAATTCCAAACCTAGTTGGACTCTTGGCTGCGGATGAGCATCTCTTCTACTACAGATATAATCCATATCCTAGCTTCCGAACAGAGCAACGTCCTCTGCAGTTTTCGCCCATCTTCGACCAGAGTTTTCCCAACATGCAAGGTCATCCACTGATTGTGATGCCCGACCAATGGCTACCGCGTTCTATTCTTTACTTGGACAGACGCACGGGTAAGCAGATCCTAGCCGGATCCGTGGGCCGCTTCATCAACTTGCTGGCCTGGAAGCTCAACGCTACTCTGCAGCTTGCCCAGACGGTGACTCCCGGGCGCTTTCTCCATGCCTCTGCCCTCCAGGAGCTGGGGAAGAGCCTGGCCATAGACGTGCCGGCCAGTGTGTCGATGTTGGAGCGAAGTGAGCAGTTGATCCGCACCAGTTATCCCCTGGAACTGACCCACATCTGCCTGATGATCCCAGTGGCCAAAGAGATTCCCCTGAAGGACATATACTTTCTTCTCAGCAGCGTTTCCAATATGCTTTTGGCCGTAGGAATAGTTTTAGTCTATGGATTGGTTTTGAGCCTCCTCCGACAGTTGACATCCACAGGCGATGTCCACTTGGTGGACTTCCTGCTGAATGATAGAGCTTTACGTGGAGTACTGGGTCAGTCCTTCCCGAGAAGGGATTGCTCCAGCCGGTGGATATATCTCATGCTGGGACTTGTGGGTCTTAATGTGAGTAGTATCTTTGAAGCGGCTCTTGAGACCATGATGGCGCATCCTCCGCAAGAGTTTCAGGCCCGCAGTTTCGCTGATCTACAGCGGACGAACATTCCGTTGGTCACCACCGAAGAAGACTTGTACACGTTGGTGGATCTGCATCTGGCCTTGCTGGTGGTCAATGTGAGTGAGTACCATCACCTGAGGAACGGGAGAAACTCCAGCAGTGCCTACTTCGCCTCTCGATTGCACTGGACTCTGTTCAGCGAGCAGCAGAAGCGCTTCAGGCGGGAACTCTTCATTTACTCCAAGGACGCCTGCCTGTGGTCCTTGGCCCTGCTCTCGTTCCAGTGGCCGCAGAGCTCCTGCTTTGCCGAGCCCGTCAGCAAACTGATCCTGGAGGTGAGGGCCAATGGACTGTATCAGTTCTGGGTGGGAATGCATCACTACGACATGACGGAGGCGGGTTTGTCCAACATGGAGGATCCCAGTCTGCGAACTGAGGAGAATACTGCACTGCGACTAATGGATCTGCAGTGGGTTTGGCTGGCCTACGGAACACTCCTAGCGATTGCCTCGCTTATGTTCCTGCTGGAAATTATCTGGTCTAGCATCTCATCTTATATTTCTGTTATGTTTTACACATTTATTGGACAACTCTGAAAACTCTGAAGCACACTAGTTATGAAGATTAAATTAAAACAGCACTTAACACTTAAAAAGTTAAAAACTGTGAATTGAGGAAACTACTACTCATCATCGTCAATGATTTCAATGGGCGACTTGGAATCATTTGCATCGTCGGAACTGTCGGTGTCGCTTCTGGGATTTTTAAGTTCCTCGATCTCATCCTTGAGGTCTTCTATTTGCTCTTCGTACCGCCGCTTCTGAGAGGCAATCTGTGAAAGATTGAGTAATGAACACCAGACAAGTTATAATTATAGCCTGATTAGCTAACCATAAAATCCGACTCCCTTTGTGCAATCAAAAGCTTCTTCTCGCATTCATCTTCGTATTGCTTCTTGTTGTTTTCGATTATCTCCTGGTATGTGGAAGTGAGTTCCCGGCGCAGTTTCTCCTCCAAAAGTTGCATCTGCAGCACATGTTCGTACTTCAACTGCTCAACCTCGCACTGCAGACGGACGTTCTCTTCCTCCAGTTCCTTGACGTAATCACCGCCCTCGAACGATGACATTTTCGAGAATTCCATGAAACCGCAGTAGCTGACACGATGCTGCTTGATCACGGGCTCCTTGAAGATGATGTTCTTCGCAATGGAGGCGAAGTTCAGGACATTCAGGTTCTCCTCGTAGTACTTGTCCAGCGGAGTAACCGTCACGATCATGGCCAACTTCTCCCTGCCCAACAATGCCGCCTGCAGCAGCGTCGTGAGCTTGGAGTCGCGGTATGGAATGATGTCGGCATTTTTCTTCTTCTGCACGGTGCTGGCCGCATTGAGACAACGGCCCAGCACCATCAGCGAGGTGTTGATGTTCTTGGCCTCCTTGAGACGCAGGCCCGTGGTGCCCGTGTTGTTCACCCGCTCCGAACCAGCCAGATCGCAGAATTTGTACGAACTCTGGGTGGTCATGCCCGAGCGATTGTACTTGAGTATGTCCACGGTGAAGACGCAATGCGATCGGCTGGAGTTGGCATTCACCGAGGTGGAGGCGTACGTGGAGCGCTGCTGGCCCAGCCGGAGCAGCTGTAGCGCCTCTTCGCTGCTCTTCACGAAGACACTGCTCATTCCCTTGATGAACACCTGACCCTTGTTGCCCACGATCTTCAGGTTCTTGCGCGGCAGTTCGCCCATCTTGTCCTGTTTCGGTGGAATGGCCAGCAAGTCGTACACCAGTTCGTTGTAGATCTCCACGAAGGACACCCAAACCAGGACGGACGTGTCGGTGGCGGACTTCGATTCGAAGGCGTGATCCCCGTCAATGACCTGCTTCAAGCGCTGGTAGTGGGCACTGATGTCGGGACACAAGTCCAGCAGCTTCTTCCGAATCTGCATCTCCTTCAGCGAGGCGTCGTCCTGCAGAAAGACGATGCAGCCGTTGATCAGCTTGAGCTTGGGTGCGCGAAAGATCATGTCCTTGTACATTGTGAATATGTTCTCCAGGGCACGCGGAATGATGCCAGCACGCACATCATCGCCTAAGTATGGATTTCAAGAGATGATAACCAGGCAAATATTTATAAAAAACTCTTCTCAGCTTACCCAGCAATGTGTAGGTCTTGCCCGAGCCCGAAGTGCCGTAGGTCATGATGGTCACACACTCATCCTCCAAGATCTTGGGTCCCACGCAGGAGTCGTATATGTCACGCTGGCCCACAGTGCTGTCGAAGATGGAGGTGAAGCCAAAGTGCTTCTCCATGCGGTTCACATTGTTGCTAGTCGAGTCCACCTTGCAGCTGGTAATGAGCACATTGCTGTCATCAGAGACCACGTACGCCTTGGAGGCATCCTTGACGGGACGCAGGCGCAGAAAGACCTGTGGCCCCGTCTCCACGCTGCTGTTGTCCGCCGCACTGGTGGCACAGGAGGCGCCTCCTTCCGTGTGGGCCTCACTGGACTGGTACTTGTAGTCCGACTCCGTGTCCGAGTACTCGGAGGAGCTCTCCTCCTCCGATTCCTGGATTTGGGCGAACAGACGCATCTTTTTGTTGGGTCGCGGCCGGAAGCGGCGGTCGACGGAGGGCTCGCGGGCCATTAGGAAGGAGCGCGTCTCTCGCTGTGGCGGCATCTCCGGAACCTCATTGTCTTCCATGCTCAGCCGCTTTTATTTGGGTTTAAAGAATCAATTCTAAACTTTACTTCCTTTCGCGCTATTTTTTCAGACGCCAAGGGGCTGCCAACTTCCGTTTAATTCAAAATGACAGCTGACAGCATTACTGCTTAGTGTGACCGTAGGAGCATTTCAAATACACCACATATCGTTAAAATATACCAGCAAATATACCAGAAACCCTTATTAATTTTGAAAGTTAAAATAGAAATTTGTTTAAATATTACAAAAAGGATTTTAGGTACACTTTATTGACAAGAGTTTAAAAAAATATTTGTGACTTTTATAAATCCAAGGCAATGCTGTCCTCTTTATATACAAAATTTAGGTTTTAACGAAATTAACTTTTTCCGCAGGGGTCTACTGCGGAATTAGTAAATTATTTAAGAACACAAGAATACAACAACAAGCCATGATTTTTATAATTTTGTAATATATTTTATGTGAGACATCGACATACTGTTGGAATATATAGATATATAAATATAAATATAAACCGACATGCAAGTTGAAAAACCGTTGGACGTTTGTTTTCAACATTAGCTTTTAAAAATTGAGATTGAACCAAAAATATAGAAATTGTCTTTACTTTAACATACATATTACAGCAAAAACTAGTTGATACCTACATTAGTGGATGTCAAATTATTATGCAAATACACAGTTCACTGACTCGTTTATCGCATTATCCAATTTTATATGTAATGTCTGCTCAGATTAGCAGCGTCAGCAAATAATTAGGTGACAAATTACTGGCACACCACCGGCCATTTGTTTAATGTTTGGTTAACAAGTCTGGGCAGCATAACAGGCTGTGCAAATATTCCGCCCTGTCGCCAAATATGTTCTCACCACACAACGCAAATTAATTGCTCTTGTTTATTTTCTTTTTTTCAGTCTGATTTTTTATGCCCGGTGTCTGGCACTTTAAACAAATATTGACCAAATGGAAGAGTAATAGTAAGCGAAACAATTAACATTTGTTTAACTTGGAAAATATTGTTGTAATAAAAGTTTTTAATGAACACAAATTGCGCGATAAAGACTCGTCGCCTGAACTTTAGATGCAAGTAACATAAGCAATTCTGCAAATCATTTACAAAATTGACATGCAAACTTCTTTTTTGTTTTATGTTTTTACGAAAAGTTATTAGCATTAAAATAGAAATGTCGAAAGGGAAAATATGAAATCAAAACTTAAATTAAATTGCAAATAAATTGTTTAAAGTTGCTACTTATTTTTCCTGTCCAAATGTGGAAATTGAAGATTTGCCAATATGTGCGCCCAGCAAAGAAATACAAAAAGTTGGCAGGCCGAAAAAGCTGAAAAAAACAGTTTTACAAAATGTCAGCGCCATTTTGCCAAGCCAAGACATCCCTTTCCTTTTCGTAATTTATTAAAAAGAAGTGTGTTAAAACATTAAGGTAATTATCAAATTGCCCACTTAGAGTTTCTCCTTCCCTTAACGACTATTTTCAAGGTTTTCCAGATTAAACAAGACCCGTAAGAATCCGAGTCCACAATGATTGGCCCCGGCAATTTCACCAAGCCCCTATCTCCGGGTTACGCTACCCAAAACTTGCTCCTCGGTCATACTAGATGCATTACGGCCGTGAAGTTCGGTCCGGAGGGCGACCACCTGGCCAGTGGCTCCGCCGACATGGTCCTCAAGCTGTGGGATGTGCAGGCCGGCATCTGCATTCAATCTCTAGGGGGCCACGAGATGGGAATCAACGATGTGGCCTGGTCGGCCAGTGGAATCCTCGCCAGCTGCAGCGATGACAACAACGTTCGCCTCTGGGATCCGCGCAGTGTGCTCTGCGTGAAAACTCTGACCGGCCACAGCGAATTCGTCTTCTCCTGCTGCTTTAATCCACAGTGCAACCTGCTGGCCTCTGGAAGTTTCGATAATACAGTACGCCTGTGGGATTTGCGAACTGGAAGAACCCTCAAAACCGTGCCAGCCCACCAGGAACCCGTCCGTTCGGTGGACTTCAACCGGGAGGGCAGCATTTTCGTCACGAGCAGCTTTGATGGACTGGTGCGTCTGTGGGACACTAGCACCTGCCAGGTGCTGAAGACTCTCATCGACGACGACAACATTCCGGTGGGACATGTGAAGTTCTCGCCCAACGGCCGCTACATCCTGGCCTCCATGCTGAACAGCTCCCTCCGGCTGTGGGACTACGAGAAGCCCAAGTGCTTGAGGGTTTTTCGAGGCCATGTGAACGAGTCCTATTGCCTGACCGCCAACTTCTCCATCACGGCGGGCATTTGGATTGTGTCCGGCAGCGAGGACGATTCGCTCTGCATCTGGGACTTGCAGACCAGGCAGCTGGTCCAGAAGGCGCCCACTCAGGGCGACGGGGTGCTCTGCACTGATTGCCATCCCACGGCGAATCTGATTGCCACCGGCGCCCGGCAGAACACCAACGCCATCAAGATCTGGAAGAGCAGCGAGTAGAGGAATACCCAATCTGATACCCATTTAACCTGTAGTTGCACAAGACTTTTGCTGTCAAGATCTGAAAGAGCTGCGAGTAGAGATCGTGATCCATCCTGACAATCAACTAAAGCCTACCTAATGATCAACCTTTAATTGTTTTTTTTTTTTTTTTTTTTTTGTGTATTATAAGGGGCAGCCAAGCAAACCTGCAAATTTGTATATGCAGTTGTTGATCGACGGACTGGCAACAGGGCTAACAAGATAAGGCGGTACCAGTTACCTGCTCTTGTAAATCTTATATGGCCAGTACACCTATACGAACTTCAGGCACGATTGCTTTCATTCGCCGATCGGTGCGGCAGTCGTGTCTGGAGCGGCACACTGAGCGGACGCCTTAGCTGCCCGGTTTTTGTGATACTCTCAGGCCAATTAGTGATCTCACAATCTCGTGCGCAGAACCAGAAACGCAGTTTCGAAGCCGGAGAAGCATCCGCGATGAGAGCAGACGAGGGTGAGTAACTCTCCCGGGGGTTTTCCGGAAACGGAATGGCATTCAGGGTCAATAGATTTATGTCCAGTGGGAAAGTGCGATGCAATCTCGCAATTATCGGTTGTATAAAAAAAACGTGCCAATTCATAAAATCGTATCTGGGTGGGACGGCTTATCGGCGTGGGGTAGTCCGAGCTGCCGATTGATAAGTCCAATGTCAATAAAACAAACATCAGATGGACAGATGTCCCAACATGCTGCTGCTGCCAGGGAAGATTAGCCGACGCCAGAGGAGGCGGGGTTATCGAAGATTGTTCAGCTGATCCAAGGCATGTTTTCGGATCCCCAGATAATCTGTATCGAGAGCAGTTGCCCAGCGTGGGCTCGCTTATCAGGGATGGCGGGCGAAAGCTGTGTCGTCCGGCCACCGTGACCAACAAGTTCCCGATCCTGAAGTGGCTGCCCCGCTACCGGTTGGAGTACATCATGCAGGACTTCATCGCGGGATTCACGGTGGGCCTGACCACCATTCCCCAGGCGATTGCCTATGGAGTGGTCGCTGACTTGGAGCCGCAGTACGGCTTGTACTCCGCCTTCATGGGCTGCTTCACATACATTGTCTTTGGTTCCTGCAAGGATGTCACAATTGGTGAGTGGAGAGCGGGATTTTGGAGATCCAGTACTAATTTTCTAATCTCCCCCAGCCACCACCGCCATTATGGCCTTGATGGTCAACCAGTATGCCACAATTAGTCCGGATTATGCTGTACTGGTTTGTTTCCTGGCTGGCTGCATTGTGCTCATCCTGGGTCTACTCAACATGGGCGTCCTGGTGAGGTTCATCTCGATTCCCGTGATCACTGGCTTCACCATGGCGGCGGCCGTCACCATTGGCAGTGCCCAGATCAACAACATCGTTGGTTTGACCAGTGAGTTCTGGCATACATCCATTTCCATAATTTTTAAAACTAACTGAAATGTAAATCTACCTGTAAACAGGTCCTTCCTCCTTACTGCCCGCCTGGAAGAATTTCTTCACCCATTTGCCGTCCTTAAGGGTCTGGGATGCCCTGCTGGGTGTCTCATCGCTCGTTTTTCTGCTGCTCATGACGGTAAGAGGACAAAACAAATCAATTTCGTAGTTAATGGGTGCATGATAATTATTTGATTCCAATTGAAACCAATTAACTTGGTTTTCGATTTCATTTCTGAATGTTTTATGAGCGCAATGTAGTTATGAACGTTAAAGTTGTTTAAAAAATTATTTGTCAAAAATAGTGCTCAAGAGAGTATATTGCGTTTGTATCCATCACTGTTTTATTCAAATATATTTTAATAACTATAATTTATTTTTATAATTTTGACAAATTGTTGGTTTATTTATTAAACTTGTTTAATTAAATTTTTATACATTTTTAAATATCAGTATTATTGCTTAATTATATTACCTTGTTCTCGCTTTCACTTTCGAACTTTCACTTAAACAACATTGAATCGTACTCAATAAAATGAAATATTTCTATTATTATATTGGTTAATTTCGTACCTAGTTATCGGTTTTACTTCCAAAAGTTGACTTTTGCAGTATGCAAGTTATTATTTTTATTATATATTATAAAAATCTAAACTAAAAAATATATTTTTTTATTTGATCAGCATTATTGTTTAATTACCAAAACTAATTAAATTACAGCTCGTAAAGGACATCAAGTGGGGCAACCGCATATTCTGGAAGTACCTTGGCCTCTCTCGAAACGCACTGGCCGTGATTTTCGGCACCTTTTTGGCCTACATCCTGAGTCGAGATGGCAACCAGCCCTTCCGGGTCACTGGCAACATTACGGCCGGAGTGCCTCCCTTCCGCCTGCCTCCGTTTAGCACTACTGTGGATGGCGAATATGTGTCCTTTGGCGAGATGATCAGCACAGTGGGCGCCTCCTTGGGCTCCATTCCCCTCATTTCGATCCTGGAAATAGTGGCCATATCCAAGGCATTTTGTATGTACGCTTTCCTTTTACCATTGATGCAGTAATCTAAAGCGACTTTACACTTACAGCCAAGGGAAAGATTGTTGATGCCTCCCAGGAGATGGTGGCATTGGGTATGTGCAACATCATGGGCAGCTTTGTACTCTCGATGCCCGTGACCGGATCGTTTACCCGCACGGCTGTGAATAATGCCAGTGGAGTGAAGACACCCCTGGGAGGAGCAGTCACCGGTGCCCTGGTGCTCATGGCACTAGCTTTCCTCACTCAAACCTTCTACTTTATACCAAAATGCACTTTGGCTGCCATTATTATTGCGGCCATGATATCGCTGGTGGAGCTGCACAGGATTAGGGACATGTGGAGGTCGAAAAGTGGGTAAAGAGTGGTTTTTATTTGTTTTATTATCTTGTAAACGTCTGTTTTACCTTTACAGAGAAGGATCTGTTTCCGTTTTTGGTCACAGTGATCACATGCATGTTTTGGAGCTTGGAGTATGGAATACTCTGCGGCATTGCTGCTAATATGGTCTATATTCTTTATAGCAGTGCTCGTCCCCATGTCGACATCAAGCTGGAGAAGGTAAAGTTATCCTATCCCATCTAGATTTATCAAACAGAAGCTAACATGTTATTGTCCTTTAGATCAATGGACACGAGGTGAGCGTGGTGGATGTGAAACAGAAACTGGACTATGCATCCGCTGAATATCTCAAGGAAAAGGTGGTGCGCTTTCTCAACAAACAAAATGGCGAGACGCAATTGGTGGTCATCAAGGGGGAGGAGATAAACTCCATTGACTACACAGTGGCTATGGTAATATAGGCAATCGAAAGTCAACAATTTGAAAGATATTTATATATATATGTTTGCCCACAGAACGTTGTGTCCATGAAAGGCGATTTGGAGGCTCTTAACTGCGCCATGATCTGCTGGAACTGGAACATTGCCTCGGCCGGAGTTGTTTGCCGCCTGAGTAGCGATCTGCGACCCATATTCAAGTTCGATTTGACGCTGGAGGAGGTGGTGGCCAGCCACTTCGACGGCCCCTCCAGCACAGCCTCCACGGTGACCATTGAGGCCTAGACATCCTATCCTATTTTCACTAACATTTAAGCTGAAAGTATTACCTCAAGATCAGAAATTGCATTTAAGAAAGAACCACTTGAGAGGCGACAGTTTGTCTGGCTGGGACTAGAATTACGTCTGGCAGTTGCATCCTTCGAGGAAAAGCCGAGAATGATGTCATAATAGTTGGACAGCGAAATTAATTGAGCTGCTGACCGCAACCGACTCGCAGACTGCAGACTGCCTGTCTGCACGACCTTTCCTCGAACCTTTCTCTGTTCAAGGCGAAAGTAATTTATGGCCCACTTCACATGGAGAGCCCCTTAGAGAAATTCCCGAGTTCTTGGAAACAAAAGGCAGGCTCATATTTATTTATTGGCTGTGGACTCGGATGCATAGTTACCGAGAACCCGTTGACCGGTGGGATCGAATGGGCTGCGCAAGTGGCAGTCGGCGCGGTATTTCTTGCCCAAAATGTCCACCTCGTACTCCCCGTTCTTGACGTAATCGGCATCGATGATCTGTCCATCTGGCCGGGAAATGTAAGCCTGTCCCAGGGATTTTCCCAGGGCATAGGCGTATTCCGCTCGTCGCAGAATGCCCACGGGCTCTCCATTCCGATAGACGCCCTCCAATCCCCAGATGGGCACCTGATCCCTGAGGGTCAGGTAAGCGAGGCGCTTCTTCAGGCCCTCGGATCTCTGTTTTTCGATGGCCGCCTTGCCACGATAGTCGGCTCCATTCTTGCGACAGGTGAATCCCAAGCCAGCTTCCAGCGGAGTGTCATCCGGACGCAGGTCGAAGCTCCACAAGTGGTAGCCCTTCTCGCTGCTGAGGGAGTACAGCGAGCGGTAGCCAGCGTTGCGCAAATCCTGGCCAGCACCAGCCTTCATCAGGTGGCGATACACTGAAACACAATCTTGCTTGGGCACATGCAGCTCGTAGCCAAGTTCTCCCACGAAGCTTACGCGAAGGAGGCGCAGACCCACATCTCCGAGCTTGGCCAAGCGCGTGCTGTTGGGGGGCACCTGCTCGTCGGACAGATCGCAGTCGATGAGCGGCTGCAGGATCTTCCTGCTGTTCGGTCCTTGTATCGATATAACACCTAGTTCGGCAGTGAGGTCTTTTAAGCTGGCGTTAAAGCCCTTCCTACGGATCTCTGCCTGCAGAGAGCTGTACGTGTAGAAAGCAGAGGCGCCACCAGCCACGATATAGAAGCCATGACCATTGAACTTGGGATCGTAGATCTTTCCGGAACCGGAAGCCAGCCGGGAAATGGTCACGTCCGCCTCAACGCCGCCGGCATCGTTAAGAGCACAGGTGTAGACAGTTCTGGAAGGGAGGGAATTTGTAAGTTATATATTCAATGGATATCATTCATATTTATTAAGACTAACTAGTCCTAGTACAACTGTACAATTACCAAAAGCCACATGTTATATATTATAACATTATATATATATTTTATTGCGCTTTTCTGTTGTTGTTCAAACCACATATTCTATTTCCTTCCAAGTTTTTCAAAAATAGGTTTTATACCTAAAAAAATTCCTGACTTAGCTCGATTATTTCTGGGATCTTTCTGTTTAAAAAACTATTAATTATTAGTTTAGGTCCGTAAATTGTAATGTTCCTTTGAATCTTTTCCGAGGTAAGCTAGAAGTCTTCTAACGAAATATGTATGCTTAAATATTCCGGATCAATAGGTTTCCAGGTTTAGCTTTTGCTGTTTATTTGTATAAATACATAGGTACATATATTGCTAAATCTTGAAAAAAAAAATTGTTCTCTTACCGGTAGAAATTATTAAATTATTATTTTAGTTAACAACAATTATGGTTTTTTTTGGTTTTGTTTTAAAATAATTTTAAATGTCCATTATCTTACTTAAATATCAATTAAAATTTTTTGTTTATCTATGCTAGATTTTCAAACACGTTTTAGTTTGTTAAATTAAACATATTCAAAATAGCGACTTACTTGCTGGGATCTCGATTGGTATTGGCGGAGAAGAGCCAGTCGGCGGCCTCCTGGGCCTGAGGACCCTCCAGCAGGAGCTTGGCGAAGTAGCTCATGTTGAAGACCACGGCGTTATTGCGACAAGCCAAAGCCTCCGATCCGATCTGAATAATAGGAATACTGATAACCTTGCTGATAAGAACGATTTCCAGCACGTACCAGTTCGTGGTGCTCCGAGAATCTGCTGTAGTGGAGATCTCCGTCCAGAACCCTTTCGTACTCGCTGTCCTGGTTCCGATGGTGGCCATAGCTTCCATACCAGTCATAGGGCTGCACCAGCGCCTTCTTGGAACCGGAGGGCAGGAAGAAACCAGGTCGCTCCCAGCCCTGTTTCTCCTCCATCACGGCTCCCGCCTGCATCATCTCATCGTGCAGGGGATCCTTCTGGAAATCTCGTCCAGCCAGAGGCTGATCGTACTTAAAGACCATGCTATAGTTCTTCACATAGCTCTCGTGGGACTTCTCCCTGATCCACTGGATGGCCTTGCCCTGCTCCTGGGTGAATCGCCTCAGGTCGAAGCCGAACATGGGCAGCTCCGGCTGTCCCTGGATGACCCACAGAGCAGTCTGTTCCCCACAGCCGCCGCCAAACATCATGCCCGCCGAATTGAAGCCGCAGTTGTGGTACAGCCCATCCAGAACTGGATCCGGACCCATTAGTGGCTTGTGATCTGGAGTGAAGGATTCGGGACCACAAACCGTGCTCTTTACGCCATACTTGGCGTAGCTGGGACACAGCTTTTGGGCGCCCTCCACATGGGCCTCGAACACCGACCAGTCCAGTTCGTAGAGTCCAAAATGGAAGTCCTTGGGCACCGGTTCCAGGAGTATGGGATTGGGTTCATAGCCACCCATGCAGATGGCATCTCCTTGGATGCGGAAGTAGGTGGAGTAGTCGTGATCCCGGATGTTGGGCAGGCCCCTAACGCCCGGAATGGATTCGGACACAATATACGCGTGCTTCATGGGCACCAGGGGCAGATGGGAGCCATGCTTGGCCACCAAATCTCTTCCCCACACCCCAGTGGCATTCACTACCTTCTCAGCTCTAATTTCTCCAAATGGCGTGGCCACACCCACTACTTTCTTACCCCTTGCAGTCTGCTCCAGCAGCAGATCATCCACGCCACACTGCTCGATCACCTGGGCACCCAAATTGGTGGCTGCCTTTTTGAGGGCAGCACACAGCATGGCGGGATCCATGACACCATCGCCTGGCGAGTAGAGTGCTCCCACAAAGGCAGAGGGATCCAGTAGGGGGAACAACTTTTGGGTCTCCTCCGGACTCAAAACTTGGTTTTCAATGCCCAAAGCTGAGCCCACGGTGGCCAGTCTACGATACTCATCCAGTCGCGTTTCATTGTGGGCAATGAAGATGCCACCGTTCTGAATCCAACCCGGATCCAACTCGGTTTCCGCCTCCAGTTGCTGGAGCATCCGGCGTGAATTAGCCAGCAGCTGTATGTCCACATCGTTGGGTCGCAGGCGCCACAACAATCCGGCCGTGTGCCAGGTGGTTCCGGCCGTCAGTTGGGCACGTTCCAGGAGCACTGCGCGCACACCACGTCGTGCCAGGTGGTAGAGGGTGTGGCATCCCGCCGACCCACCGCCAATCACCACCACATCCGCTGAGGCTGGCAGGGATCCACTTGGCTCCTTTCCCCCAGCTCCTCCTCCTCCACCTTTTTTGGTGGTTATTCCCCGGCGGGATGTCTGCTGCAGGATGCGATGGCGCCACATTTAAAAAAAACAGCCACGCGTGACGACTTTTAAATCTGAACTGAATTCTCGGATTAATAACACGGTTTCGCTCGGTAATCTCCACCAGAATTGGTCTGATGCCCCAGGGTTCAGCATCACGATAACCCCGCTGTCGTGACGTCCCGTCATCCATGGTATAAGGCCCTAATCAAGGCCATGCCCCAATAGAGGCTACTCCTCCTTATCGCCGCTGAGAGGTGTGCCAAGTAGTAAAATTAGGTGGGATCTGAATAGGTCAAAAAACAATTTAATCTGAGTAAATGTAGTTTAGATATAGAGAGTATTTTTTAACTCATTTGTTTGTTAGCAGAGTTGGTATTGAAATGTTTAATATTAAGAACATAGAAGGCAGGTTATTTAAATATATTTAATATAAACTAGAGTTCTAAACCTAGAGTACTCACAGCGAGTATTTATTTGTTATAAACTAATTTGTTAATTTTTTGGATATAAATTCTGTGAAATAAGTATCAATGCTCATAATAAATGTATTAAATTAAAGTGACAGGCGTAACAAATTATACATTATTAACACGAATATATATTTCTAAATCTCAATCAATTTGGAGAAACACTATATGTTCGCTAAGAATTTTTAGTTGGGAACTGTTCATCTTTAAATACGAGGTGGTTTTGTATTTGTTAATAAAAGACAGTCATTAACAATTGAGAACATTTGGAAAGTTAAACCATTTTTCAATACGGTTAGCTGGAAAATATTTTCCAGCAGCACAGCGATTATCTATCTATTATTATTATCTATTAAACAAAGGAGACCGAAATTATACATTTTATTATAGACTCATATACCGAAAGTATATATTTTCATGTACAGAAAAATTAAAAAAAAACTAATTTACAACCGGGAAATACAATAAGAACTTAAACTTGGGGCACCAATTTGATGACTCCGACTCCTCTTCGACCCCCGCACAGGATATGCAGTTGAACCCCAGGATTATGATCACTCTGGTCTGCCATTAAGTTTTATCCACCAAATGCACTGCGAGAGCGAAACCAGGTGGTGCCATATGTGGGACCGGAGTCTTGGCACGCTTCGCACATCCTTAAGACAGAGCTCCGAAATAGACCGAATAAACAGAGCAGCGGCGATTCATTTTGAATTTTCCCGCAGAACGGCGGATGAAGACTGGGCCAATGTGGTGGCAGCCAGAAGCCAAACACACACGAGAAATACCCCAGAAAGAGACCGAAGATCGCACCATGTGTTGGGCTGCTCCGCCAATTGCGACTGTTTGCGGAGCAGGCACGCCCACCGGAGGTGCCAGAAATAGCCGGAGGTTGGAGAACCGGAGCTGAGTGCTCATAAGGAGGCCTCTCCCCGGAACCCTTGAACAGAAGTGCTCTATTTGCCACGCAGATCGGACGTATTTTACTCGTAGATACATTGCGGCTCGGTACAGTTTGATTTCCAGTGAAGAGACTGACTAATAAATATCCAATTTGAATATTTCAAAAGTGATACTTGTGATACCATAGATATAGATTGTGTAATAATGCCACGCAAAAAGCGCTCCTCCAGCCCAATGGACCTTTTTGACGACGATTTCGATGAGGATGCCAGCTCTCAAAGTAAGTTTGAAATACAGCCTTTCTTATCAACAGCTAATTCTATCATTGAACATTGTTTTGAAAAAACGCAAAAAATTTTCATGTTTTTATTTCAAATAAAAATTTCCAAACAAGTTATTAAGTATTGGATAATAAAAGTAATACATTAGGTACTTTTTACTTACAAGAAAGATGACAAATATTTCTATTATCATTGAAAATAAATATTTTGATATAAATATTTATATTTCAAGTCTTAATCGTTTTTTTATAATTTATTCCAATTTGATTTCATTTTTTTTTTTGATTTTGATTTAATTTAAATGAAGAATAATTAGGAGCAAAATTTAAAAGTTTAATTTTTTAATTATCCAAACTAAGTAAATAATATTGTAATTTATACGTATTAGAAATCAATACGTGTTGAAATATAATGTAATGTATGCTTTAAAAGTTTTATTTTGAAACTTACCCAACTATCAATGTTCTGGATTCTTTAGGCTCCCAGCCGCCGGTGCAGCGGAATGCGGCCAATGCCCGTGAGCGAATGAGGATGCGGGTGCTATCCAGCGCCTACGGCCGTCTGAAGACCAAGCTGCCCAACATTCCGCCGGACACGAAGCTTTCCAAATTGGACACGTTACGTTTGGCCACGCTCTACATTAAGCAGCTAATTACGGCGGTCGAAACTGGGAGCAATAGCAGTCACAGTCACTCCCACAGCCACTCGCACCACCAGATGCACCACCACCTCAACCATAGCCACTCGAGCACCACCAGTTCCGAGGGTCTGGACACGAGTCACATGGCAGAGGGATCGGGATCTGGATGTGGAGCAGGCAATTACCATTTCCACAACAACGGACACGGCATGGTAAGTGTCATGCAATTGCGATCCCTGGCCCCCAATAAGTGATGTCACTGGCACCACTTAACGATGCACTGCATCCGCCGGGTTATGAATGGAAAGCATTAATGAGCCGGCGACTCAAGGTGGATTGTGTCGCATTATGACAGGTGTCGCCGGGTATCCCCAGTGATAGGACCAAACTCATCGCAATCTCTGGGGTTTTCAGTCCTATTGAACGAAGATGATCAACAGGTTAACCGATTAATTAGCTTTTAACTTTTTTTTTTGGTGTTAGGGTTAGAATTTGTATTGCCATACCTTAAAAAGAATATTATACATTTATTAGTTAGAGATTTTAATATTTGTTTATTATTCTTATATTCTTTTAGTTAAAAGGTGTTATGAACCGATTTAAAAATAATTATTTTTGTTTTGTAACACAGTCAAATGAATTTTATATATTTATCATGTAGAGATCAACATATTTGCTTGCAACTCCTTTAGGGCTTTTAACTGCTTTATTAAACGATTTTATAACCACTTTACATTAAATGTATATCTGTTATCTGGAGATCATAATATTTTCTTATAATTTTTGATTGTTTGTCAATAATTTAAATTTTTTATTTATGCACTAGATGCATGTCTTATGTTTTTTAACTGATTATTTAACTTATCAGCTTTAGGATTATGACTTTAGATATTAATAATATTAAAAACACATTGCAAAAACGATTAGAGCTTCCATACTTTCAATATTCTCAATCACAGCGAATTATAATTGTTTTAAAGAGTCGGAAATGTTTTCTTCTTCTTCAGATAAATGAAATTCAAAAAACCAAAACACAGCCTTCGACAATTAAATATAATATACATTGTAGTTAGTTATATTTTTTTTTTTATATCTTGAAATACATCAAAGTCATGGTAGTGGTAATTCAATCCAAACTGACCGAGTTTTACCTGCAATATCGAAAACGATTATGCACATATTTATGGTGCAACATCTGCTTGGATGATTCTGTTGCGGCGACAAGTACTTCCACCTTTACTAGGTGGAGGTGGACGCCATCTCCATCCCCAATTCCCATTCCTATACTCATCCCAAACCCAAGACCGGAGTCAGCCATTCAGCCGGGCCCCCCACTAGAAAACATTGAAATCACATTTTGTGATTTCAGACTGCCTCGCTTTCCTGTAATCCGATACTTTTGTGAATTTCAAAAATATTAAATATGAGTGACAGGTTGGAAAAGGAGCGGGGATGGGCCAAGGCATGGTGACGCTTGGAATCGGGATGGGGGGCACTAGTTAGTCTTTGCTTTTATTTTTAAAGATGCCCGACGCTTTGATGCGACAAAGTGAATGACATCCGAAGGGAAAGTGTCGCCCTCAGTAGTTTTCCCACTCTGATAATTGTAATTAAAATTTGTCTAACCGTGTTTACACAATCTATCACTCAAGATACATACAAACATACATGGCGCACAACTTATCTAAATAGATGCGATTGTTTACCCGCCGAATGCGTGAAAAATTCAGCAAATACGGTTGCGTCTTGTGCCCATATGGCGGCAAATTGGGTGGGATCGAAAATCAGGGAGTCCCGACCCTATCCGAATTTATCCCATTCCATCTCGCACGCGCCTGGGAACAACCCATTGGTTCGGTATTTGCCTGCTATCCCTAACATCCCTTTGGGTGTACAATATATGTATGTATCCCATTCAAATGAGTGTCTCTTGTCCGCAAGTGTTTGGCTGTTTGTGTTTTTATAGATCCGTTAATGAGGCTGTTATTGTAGATCTTAAATACAAAAGGCGGGGGCACTAAAACAATCAAAGTTGCGTAAACAAACAATGGCGCTGTCTGGGATGGGTGGTTGTCGTCATATATTGTTCCAAATATAGCCCCTGCGGTTTCTCAACTCTTATGATTTATATATCCATATTGTATCTTGCAGAGCTGGCCCTTTGAGTTCCACCAGAGCAGTCGCAGTCTAGCCACCACCGCCTCCGCTCGCCTGGATTGGCAATCGCTGCATCCTCCATCGTATCCAAAGTCTCGAAGTGACAACCATGTTGCAGCGGATCTCAGTTACCATCAGTTGCCAGAGGCCCACAGTAGTCACTGGTATCCGGCGGAAGTGCATCAACTAGAGCCCACAGCCAGCTGCTCCTATGAAACCGGCATGGGGCAGCATCAGCGGGGGATAGCCCATGGCATTTAATCATAAACGTTGTTTTCTCACCCAAGCCAAATGTAATTTACCACCTAAGTAAGTGTATTTAAACGTGATTTACCTTTACATGTATTCGTATGTGCAAGCCTAAACTTAATGCCAAAAGGCCAAAGATTGGTGTTACCTCATGATCTTTTTACTAGCAAATATATCAATGTTTTTTTAATGGATAATAACTTTTGAATTTTGTTTAAATTGGGGTCCCGTTGGGTCGAAACAAATATATTTTCAAAGCGAAACTCAACAACATATTTCAAAATGAAATACTGAATTAAGAAATGCTTAATATAAAGCAGCCAGCCTTTAAAAACAAGATGTTTGCAGGGTATTTTTTTTTACTTGGTGCGCAAACCTCATGTAAGTGCTTATGTATTTATCAAATATATATATAAGTTTTCTAGTGTACAGGGATTTTTGAACTTAATTTAAATTGCCGCCACATGGGGGTGAAGTGCAACCCTGTCAGTTTCGATAACTGCAGCCTTGGTAGCTTACCAGCACTGGTTAACAGCTGATTTCGTCACAACACAAACAAAGAGCTGCTAATAGCACAAATAAATATATTTTCAAGGCGAGATTTAAATACCCTACTTGACGAAGAAGTGCTTAATTAAAAGGTTTTTTGTTTTAATAGATATTAGTTTAAGTTAACTTATGTTATTTGTATAAGCCTTAAAATATACATATAGGCAAAGTATCTTAAAATTAAAGCCGTTAAAGACGATTTTCTTGGGTAGTGAACAAACCCAATGTAAGTGCCGAAAAACTTGCAAATTGAAGGGTATTTATTTTGTGTATTTAGTTGTGAATGTAGTCCAACAACAATCGCCAGAGAATAATAATTGTGCTAACGATTATTTCTACACCAAAGCTTACTTATTACATGTGTATTTTCGCGGTTAAAGTTCATGTCGTTGAAGATTAGACTTCGATTTAGAGGATCGGCAGCACTAATCTTATCCAGCGGCGGAGCACTTGAATCTGAACCAGAATCTGCCCACAGAGCGCAGTTCGAATTCCCCAGCAATCAGTCAGTGCGCGTTATTCTCCGAACAAAGACGTTTAGCGGTGGATCGGTTAATCCACAGTACAGAACCTGTTTACGTGACTTGATTGCTTGATTACTGCATCGACATAGAAATGCCAGCAAAGGAAGTGAACCCCGACCTGCAGAAGGAGCGCAACACGGCCACCTTCAATCCTCGCGAGTTCTCCGTTTTGTGGGCGGGCGGCGAGGATCGTTTTCAGGAGAAGAAGACCCTGGGTGAGCTACTGGTGACCCCGAGTCATTCACATTAACCGGTCCCCCAAAAGCTTTGTCTAAGCTTGGCGCAATCGCGTTTACCAAGCCAGCAGCAAGAAATTATTGTGCCAGAAGCATGACTTGGCAATTAAACTAGGCTTAAACATATCTTTACTCAGGAAGCTAACATGTTTTGAAAATGTAAAAGATAAACTTACATCCCCTTCTTTGTAAAACTGGTTTAACACTGATTAAATAGTGACTTGGGAAATAGTTTAATAGTTAATTAATGCTATCGCGTTGCTCGAGCTACTATCAAAAAATTGTGCCAGAAACTAGACATAAAAGTGTCTTTAGACAGGGTGTTATCTTGTTTCGAAAACATACAAGATAAATTAACATCCCTCTTCTATATAAAAGCTGGTTTAATTAATCCACTGTTGACAATAACATAGAATATCTATATATATAAATGAAACTAGGCTTACACTTGTGTTTATTTATAATCAGTCATCTTGTTAACTTTTTTTGTACATTATTTAACTGGTTAATTATTCATTTAAAAGGAACATATAAAAGCAATAAACCGTAGATGAAAAAAAGTCTTCCTTTTTTATATTCCAATTGCTAATAAAATATATTAATTTTTTTTAATTAGGAACATATGAAATTAATGATCCTAAGATGAAAAGAATGATTTTCGTTATTTATATTCCAAATATTTAAAGTAATAAGTAAATACAAAAATTATAACTCTACTATTAAATAGAATTTTTTTCTTTTTAAAATTACAGTCCCTTACTGAAAGCCCAGCATTCAATCTAGAAATCTATAGGTCTAAGCCAAGCTTATAGCTCTGATTTTTATATACTGCCATAATTCGCCACCCTATCACTCTTTGTTTTGATACGCTTCTTCTCCATGTGCATTCATTCATTAGTTCAGAGTTCATTAATTATGTATTCCGCATAAACAAACCGCTACAAGTTAATCAGCACCTATTAGTCGGCTCATAAGTTATTAATCTTTGAACTTTGCACGAATCTTGATCAATCTGAGTTGACGTGTACTTTGGATGTTTGCGGATAGTCTTTTTTTAGAGCCACTTGAAATTGGTTTAGCTGATAGGTTTATCTGAGAGATTTGGCCGCGTACAAGGCATCATAAATGGACAATGCCCGGTAACACCCGCGAATCAACAATGAATAATGACCGCTCATGATTATGCAGCACAATTTGAGAGAATGCTTATCTTTATAACACTCTATTAAATGTTAAATCCCTTGCTTAAAACGTGTTCTTTTTTATTTAAACAGAGAAACTGTTTTTGGAGGATCCTGCTCTTCAGGACGACCTGCCCATTTCATATTTGTCCCACAAGGAGCTCTATGAACACAGTCTGAGGAAAGCCTGCATTATTGGGGAGAAGATCCGCAAGCTGCGTGCAGATGGCGAGGATGGAGTGGATACATACAAGTAACGGATGACTTAATCAAACCAGATTGGATATTAGATTTCAATTATTGTACTTTACAGTGCCCTGCTTGGTGGATCCTTGGGAGCCGCAATTTTGAAGGAGGGCAATCCTCTTGCCCTGCACTACGTAATGTTTGTGCCCACCATCATGGGCCAGGGAACAATGGACCAGCAGGTGGAATGGCTGAGCAAGGCCTGGGACTGCGAGATTATTGGCACCTATGCCCAGACAGAACTGGGACACGGAACCTTCCTGCGCGGCCTGGAAACCCGGGCTGACTACGATGCCAAAACCCAGGAGTTTGTGATAAACACTCCATCGCTTAGTGCCTACAAGTGGTGGCCAGGAGGATGTGAGTTTCTCTCACCCATTAACAACCGCAAATTGTTGAAATTCCCTCTCCCTTCCAGTGGGACACACTGCCAATCATGCGGTGGTGGTGGCTCAGCTGTATACCAAGGGCGAATTCCGTGGTCTGGCTCCGTTTATTGTCCAGCTGAGGGACTCCGACACGCACAGCCCAATGCCTGGCATTGATATTGGGGACATTGGCACCAAGCTGGGCATGAAGGGCGTAAACAATGGCTATTTGGGATTGAAGAACGTTCGAGTGCCTTTGAACAACATGCTGATGAAGAACCAGCAGGTTCTGCCCGATGGCACCTATGTGGCGCCCAAGAACAGTGTACTCACCTACGGAACAATGGTACGGCCTATTAATATTTCTTAATTATTACGTAAGATTTCAAGCCCATTTGCTCTTCGCAGATGTTTGTGCGTTGTGCTCTGATCCGTGATACCGCCCAGACTCTGGCCAAGGCATCCACCATTGCCACCAGGTACTCGGCTGTCCGCCGTCAGAGTCCCATTGATCCAAACCAGCCGGAGCCACAGATCATGGACCACACCACACAGCAGCTGAAGTTGTTCCCCCAGATAGCCAAGGCCATTGTGTTTAAGACCACGGGCGATGGTATCTGGAACATGTACAATGTGATTTCGGGCGAGATCGAGCAGGGAAACTTGGATCGTCTGCCCGAGATGCATGCCCTGTCCTGCTGCCTGAAGGCCATTTGCAGCGCTGATGCCACCGCCGGCGTGGAGACGTGTCGCCTGTCCTGTGGTGGACATGGTTACATGGACTGCTCCAACTTCCCCACAATCTACGGCATGAGCACCGCTGTTTGCACCTATGAGGGCGAGAACACAGTGATGCTTCTGCAGACTGCCCGCTATCTGGTGAAGGTTTATGGCCAGGCTCTGAATGGCGAAAAGCTGGTGCCCACTGTTTCCTACATTAATGATGCTGTGAACCAAAAGAAGTTCGTTAACTTTGATGGATCATTGGAGTCTATTGTTAAGGCATTCCAGTTCGTGGCTGCTAAGTGAGTAAACGTTGGATACAGAAATCATTTCAAGGTATTTATTATTGTTTAAATTTGTGTTCCAGCAAAACCCGTATTGCCTATGAGCAGATTGAACTGCGTCGCAAGCAGGGACATGGAACTGAGGTGGCAGCCAATCTTTGTGGCACCTTCTTGACATCGGCGGCAGATGTGAGTGGAAACCAGAAATTTTAAAATTTTATAAATAAGCTTAATACTTATTCGAGAAGCTCAAAAGCTTTAAAGTTAATTTAATAATATAATAATAACTACATATTACATTTTTACCTTCGTACAGCTTCATGGACGTGCCTTCCTGGCCCAGACTGCATATACGGAACTTCTGGCTCTATCCCGCAATGTCTCGCCTGCTCTGGCTGATGTCCTAAAGGTGGTGCTGGAGCTTTATCTGGTGGACGCCTGCCTCAACCGCATTGGCGACTTCTTGCGGGTAGGCTTTTCAATTGATTTCAGTATAGAACATTACATTTAATCGACCCATCCTAACAGTTCATTGATTTGACCGATAATGATGTCACGCAATTGGAGGTTCGCCTAGAAAACTGCTTAAAGCGACTCCGTCCAAATGCCGTCACACTAGTGGACAGTTTCGATCTGCACGATCGCGTACTCGATTCCGCCCTGGGAGCCTACGATGGCAACGTCTATGAGCACATCTTCGAGTCCACGAAGAAAAATCCGCTGAACAAGGAGCCCGTGAACGGAGCATTCCACAAGTACTTGAAGCCATTCATGAAGGCGCACCTTTAGATTGCAACTTATTATTGTTACTATTGTAAATATACCTATATGATTGTATTGTTTTCGTATTCTACAACTGTTATGCTTTGCAATTGGTCTGAAAGACATTATTAAAGGCTTGTGCAGTTGAAACTAGGCTGTAAAATTATACACAAATAAAATATTCTTCAAGAAATAATTTAATTTTTGGGCTTAACTAAATCGCTTTATTAAAGTTTGTTGTTTTCTGATGGTGTTGCAAATTAGAGAGTAGCTCACTTATTGACTTCTTCGTACGGTGATGAACGGACTTACGACGCACTTGGCTTAGAGTTACGTTGTGCGTAGAGACGCCTCAGCAATCGGTTGCCGGCCAGGAATGTGAATACTGCGATAGGGATAAGCAGGCGCAGTGTTTGGAACATGTTGAGTTGCAGCCAGAAGACGAAGAACAGCACCAGGATGCCACCGAAGCCAACGTGGAAGCCGATCGTGCTGGGCGCCAGCGTCAGGTTGGACACATTGATGCCCAGCTTGCCCCAGAAAACAAAGAGCAGCACCAGCGGAGTGATGCACAGTCCGGTGAAAATGTCCGACACAATGCGAGGCGGGCGCTTATCGGGCACACGGAACTGATGGACAATCTCAGGCAGGGGACCCGAAGTAGTCTTGGGCTTGACTTCTGCAAGCAAATTATGGAGTGGTTAAATAGGCATTTATGAATGTTAATGGCTAGCAATCTTACCCTTCTCCTCGTTGAATTTCAGTTGCACTTCAGCCACCAGCCACTCGAAGGAGTTGGACAGAGAGGCATCGCCCACGGTCAGGTAGATGCTGTAGATGCCGCTCTGGTAGTTGAAGTTCTTGCCATTGTTGCCCACATCCATGTCAAACTTGTACGCCTTGCTGCTATCCTGTTCGGCCACAAAGATGATCTCCTTGTCGGTTTTCTTGTTGAGCAGACGCACAAAGGCCTGATGGACGGCCAAGGGCTTGCCGTTGGTTTCCTCCACGAGCACAGCCTTCAGGAGCAGCTTCTGGGTGCTGTCAGCTGAGAGAACCTCCTGCAGCTTGCCTGGATATGTAACGCTCTGCTTACGGGTGGCGGCGCTAGCATCGGATTCGGCAATGCCCACCTCCAGAGACTGAACCTTGACGCGTCCGAGAATCTTGAACTGCAGCGTCTGAGTGTAGACTCCATCGGCATTCAATTCCGCCTGGTAGATGCCACGAGCTGGCTTCAAGCTGGCCAAGTCAGCCACGTAGGTGGTCTTGTCAGAGGATTTGGAGGCCACAGCGATCTTATCAGCCAGCACAGAGCTGTCCTTCTTCAAGATCACCTTGGCGTTGATGGCTTTGGGGGCAGGAGACAAGGGCTTGCCCAGCAAATCAACCACAGCCACATTCAGTGTGGGCGACAGGGCCTCCAGCTGTCCATTGCCAATGAGTTGCACGCAAACAGGGGCCACCTTATCGGCTCCACTGATGGTCTTCAGCGCCTCGATCAGGACATGAGCTCCCTTTGCGGTTTGCACGGAGCGTCGGCTGAGGAAGTAGTTGGCAAACTTGACAGCCTGATCGGCAGTTACGGGCAGGGGTTTGTTGAAGGTCTTGCTGACGCCAAAAGCACCATTAATGATCAGGGAAGTGATACTGAGGCCGCCTTCGAATTGCAGAAGCTTGCCGTCCACTTCATCCGCCTGCACGATGGCATCCTCCACGCGATTGGCGATGAAGGAGGCACTGGCACCCAGAAGCGGTGCCACATTGAAGGCGTATCCCAGACCGCTTAGCGTATCATCCTTTTTGAGCAACTCCTGCAGGCGCTTGACTAGTTTTCCCTGAGTGGCTTCATTGATCTCGACGCCGAGCACTTTGTGAGTTACCACACGGTAGAAGATTTCCTGGGAGCTGCCTAATTCAGTTGTCAAGGAACCGTACACCTTGGAGAGCAGACTCTCGTCGATTTTCGCCGAGCAGCCCAGGTTCCTGCTAGCACCAATGTAGTAGTAGTCCTTTTCGAAGCTCTGCAAAAAGTCAATGGAGCATAAATAGGGGTACAGGCAAATGGGCGTATATGGGAGAACCCACGTTTAGCTTGGATTCGGCATGCAGCGTGGCAATCTTCTTGCACAGCGGCTCCTTCTGGGTGGCGTCGGTTAATTGGATGTTGAGGCTGGAGAAGAAGATCGACTGCAGGTCACTGGAGCCGAATCCGTCCACGAAGACTTTCTGCAGGCGGGTGAGATCCTTTTGGCCCAGGTGGCTGTCCACTGTGCGGGCGCTCCACGTCGGCCCACAGGCGACCATTACGCAGAGGAGGATCAGACCTGGTAGAAGATTAAATAAAAAGCATGAATTTCAAGTCGCCGGCAAAAGCTTAACCAAGAAAATCAGACAGAGATGGCGAGAGAGCAGCGACTTGGCAGCCGGCTTTTCCCTTGAAAGGGGCTTAAAAGCCACGCGTCTTTGCCGAAACAACGCCCAACCAACGGACCTAGCTTAAGCATTTTCCTATTTTGTGGTTGCGCTTTCACACGCCGCTTATATTCTATAGGAAAATAAAAAATCGCTCAAAAAACACCGCCTGTCCTCGATTATACACGTCAGCGTTAGAGGTGGAGAAACATCGATATAACGTCGTCGTCATCGATGTTTTCAAATTATCGGTCACATCGATGTTTGGCAGAGATTATCGATGTTTATCCGTCTCTAACGATATGTTTTGCCACTGTTAACTTCTCACTTCAGATCTTTTGAGTTCCTGTGAGAAATGTTAAAATTGTTTTTGAATTCTAAGAATGGAATTAAATATTGTTATTTTTTAAGACCTTTCGTTGCCGTCATCCCTGTGATAATGAATGGTTTTTCCATGTAGTAAATAAAAAACTGTTCCTGGCAGCAAGAAAATAATATTAAAATGCATTCAAAGAAATTTTTGCGGACGATGATAAAAAACGGTCAATTTGCGCGGTGTCTTATTTGAAACAAATTTAAACTAAATGGAATCGCTTAAATTGCCAGGTTTAATTTTCGAACATACCAATTTAACGTTAAATACATCGGTTTTATTATTTATTGTGGGGCCTTATGTTTAGAAAAGGGTTTTCAGGAAACCATTAAAATTGTTCGCATATATAAATTCCATAAACTCTGTTAATCCCATCAGTTTTTAAAGCGCAAACTTTTCGGTGCACTCATGAATGGGTTTGGTAATGGAATATTTTCTCTTAAAGGTCTTGGTCATATCCCCATCGTGGTTCCACAGAGTGACAGCAGTGGTGCAATACAGTGGGTACTTGTTGATCAGGACCTCCTCGGTTTCCTCGTTCTTTGGCGGCACATCCTTGCAGAATTGGTCGTAGTACTCCGTGCGGTCCTCCCCCAAATCAACTTTAACTGAAGCTTGTCGGTTGTACTCCGCGAATAGTTCCTGCCAAAGGAACTGCTCCATCCGATTTTCTCTGGTGGCTGGATATAATTATTAAGAAAATTCTAAAATAATTCTAGAATCGATTTGATGTTCACAGGTTAATAATAACGAATTATTTGATTGCAAAAAATAATAATCACAATTTAATGATTATTTTTTGAATATTTTTTAATTGCTGACAAAATATATACAGTTGTTTTTAATGAAAAAAAATTACTCAAAAAATTATGAATATTTTTTTAATTTTTTTTTTTTAATGTTGCTTAAAGTTTGATTGTTTTTCAATTTTTTTTCTCAAATTCTCAATTTTTTCTGTGCTTATCAAACTTACGTAGCACTTTCTTAATTTTGGGCGGTGCAAAGCTGGCCTTCGATTCAGTAAGCTCTGCGATACATGGACCCACTGGGAGAACCAAGTTATTGCCACGATCAACCATTTTGGAATTAGTTTTGATATCAAATTGTTCTGTGTTAATACTAGAGTAAATAATTTATTCGTTTGCCAGTATCAGACTGACGGCTATAGCTACTTCGATCTAACAAACTACCAGGTTATAATGCTAGGCAACGGCCTGTTCCTCTGGAGTCGCCTCCAGTTCCCCTGGAGAATCGTCCTCCACTATGAGAGAAACTTCCTTGGGTCGCAGGATGCAATAGTAAACGACTATGGTGGCCAGAAAGAGGACGCCACTGTAAACGATCCACTCCCAGATGAAGCCAAACCACCAGGACTCTAACTCCTCGTTGGCATACCACACAGACGACATGCTGATGTTTTCCACCAAGGTGAGCGCCAGGTAGCCACCATACCACAGCCGAATGTTCTTGAAGCACACTCGGAATTCCATGAGCACAAAGATGTAGATGTAGGCGAGGAGCAGGAGGAACAGGTTGCGACTCCAGCTGCCACGACAACGCGTTTCCAGGGCCAGAGAAGCCAGCATGAGGACATAATGCACTCCAATTAGGATAAAGAAGGCCTTCGGGTAGAAGACACAAAAGGTGGCGAGGGACAGCATTCTCATGGTTATGAATGCAATCCATCCGAAGAAGGACACTGTCCTGCCGGCAAAGTCATCCTGCTGGATGCCATTTACTATTTTGGTGGGTCGCGGGAAGTAAAAGTCCACCACATCCTTGGGTGTCAGTGGCGATGGCTTGGGTGACTGCTGTGGAATCAGTAGCCTATGCTCCTCTGGTTCCTCCTCCTTGACCCTGCCCATCAGCAACTTGGGCGGATGTGGCACATTCGCCTTGATATACAACTGGGCATTAACCAGCAGCATGTCCTTGTATGTTTCCAACTGGGACAGCGGTCTGGTCATCCGACGACTTTTTCCAGGGTCATTATCCGACATGGTTCGTCGCAAATCTGCGGCTGGAGGATCATCTTCGCTGAGCTTCCGAACCACAGGCATCTCGGGAGGGGCTGATTTGGGAGGAGGAGGTGGCGCCGGAGTCTCGGGTATGCTGTCCAAGACCTCAATGGTGTCCAAGTCTCCCAAATCCTCGTACCGTACCTTCAACTTGGGCCTGGTGCCCTGCATCTTCTCCTCATCGGTGGCATTGCCCCGGGGTCCAGAGTGCAGCAGAGCGCGTGTTTCCAGCTGCTCCAGGGCATCGTTGTCCACCTCATCCCCGCCCTGAATGTGCAGCTCGTGGGTGGTGGCCTCACCTGGCAACCTGAGTGACCTGCGCGCTCGAAAGTTCTCCATGATCTTGTCCGACTCCGGAAAACTACTGATGGTGCGTTCCGACTCCCGCTTCCTTCGCTCGGCCTCGCAGCAAAGGCGTTCGTTCTGCTCCAACTGGCAGCGATGGGAGTCCACCTGTTGGGGCGTGGCCCAGGGGTAGTGCCGGCCCACCCGCCGCTGGCTCTCTATTCTGTGGTAACTAGTGGTTATGCCAGCCAGATCAATGGCCGAGAACACCAGCGACATGGCCTGAACGGCAGCTAAATGAGAGAATATTCTGTTAAATTTCACTAAAATAAAATATTAAAAAAATAATGTTATATTTCAATATTTTAAGCCGCAATGAATGAAAATTAAAGCCAAAAATATTCAACTTGAATATTAATCACTAGGACTTGCTAAACATTTTAATCGGTGCATCAATTTCCTGAAAAATTAAATTAAAAAAAACTTTAAAAACACTTCAAAAGAAAAATCGGTTAATTTGTTATTGTACAATTAAAATTGTTTTTAAAATTAAAAAAAAAACTCTTCAACGTTACTTTCATGATATAGTATCTATAAAAAAGCTTTAAATTCGATAATTTTAATGCGATCGACTTCATCTAAAGGCATAAATTGGTAAAAATCAAAAATTTAAATAAAATTCTGCCCCCTAATTTAACACCAGTATGGTCTTAGGCAAAAGGATATATCTCACAAGTCTCATAGTTCCGGAACATGTCCTGGGCGAGCATGTGGTACAGCTGTAGGATGATTTGGGGAGCTGCCTGTGCGTAGGCTTGGATCAGCAGATACAACTCGATGTTGGAGGTTTGTGTGGCCTTGGCCAGGCACTTCATGCGCTCCACATCGTCGTCGTCGTGGAAGAGTCCCTCGATGGCCCAAAACAAGCGCGAGCAAAACCTTATCGGTAGAGGTTATTAAATGCGGTGGTGACCCACATTTTTATACCCATCATCGACGACTCACCTGTAAATCACGAAGAAGGGGAACAGCAGGAGCTTAAGTAGACCAATGCCAAGGGCAACGCACTTATTCCGCTCCGAACAGGCGCAATCCCGCTGCTCCTTGGAGGCCGCCACCAGGATGAAGGTGATCAGCGGAGGAAGTAGCACCAGGACCAGGGTGCCAGCTCCAAATCCCGGCTCCTTTTGGCTAAAGTGCTGGTAACTCAAAGCCAAATCCGAGGCAGTTTGGACAATGTAAACGAGGAGACCCAGACAATTGGGCACTATATAGGAAACCCAGATGCGGGTGCGACTGCGAATTGTGTAGCCCAGTATATGAGGTGGTGGACTGGCGGCATGGACCTCCATGTCTGCCATAGTTCCACTTCCTGAGTGGGAGTGGGAGTCCCCTTCTGAATCAGGTAACGCCCAAAAAAAAAATCCCTATTTACATCTGTAGCTTGCGAAATCCGCGGTGATACTGAAACACTATGAGTAACCGCTCTCTTTTAATCACTATCGCCGAGATAAGATAAAAGTGAGCCAAACATTTTTGAGGTGAGAAGTCAATTGTTTACGTTTTTGCGCCATGAGTTCGTCTGAGAGAAAGAGACTCAATTTCAAGGTGTAATTTAAATTAAAATTAAACAAGAAAGAAAGCAAACTTCGGCAAGCCGAAGTTCATATACCCTTGCAGCTATTGCAAGAATTAAACATTTTTGAAAACATTAAAATTATGATTTACTTTCGTATATGTTTAAAAACATTGAAGCTATGATGATTTGCAGCTCAATTATTTGATAGTTATTTTATATATTTTTATTATTTCTGAGGGAGCTATATGATATAGACGTCCGATTTTGATAAAATTTAAACCATAATTCTGAAATATTTAACCATTGCTATATGTCGAAGAACTACACAAAAATTAAAAAACAGAAAAGTTATAATTTTTTTCATTTATTTTTCCGATTGTTCCTATGAGAGCTATATGATATAGTCGTCCGACTTTGATGAAATTTAAACCGTAAATCGGAAATATTTAACCATTACTAAATGTCGAAGAACTAAACAAAAAAATAAAAAACAGAAAAGTTATAATTTTTTTCATTTATTTTTCCGATTGTTCCTATGGGAGCTATATGCTATAGTCGTCCGATTTTGATGAAATTTAAACCGCAAATCGGAAATGTTTAACCATTACTAAATGTCGAAGAACTAAACAAAAAATTAAAAAACAGCAAAGTTATAATTTTTTTCATTTATTTTTCCGATTGTTCCTATGGGAGCTATATGCTATAGTCGTCCGATCCGGCTCGTTCCGACTTATATACTACCTGCAATAGAAAGACAACTTTTGGGAAAGTTTCATGCAGATAGCTTTAAAACTGAGAGACTAGTTTGCATATAAACGGACGGACAGACGGACAGACGGACAGACTGACAGACGGACGGACAGACGGACAGACGGACATGGCTAGATCGACTCGCCTAGTGATGCTGATCAAGAATATATATACTTTATAGGGTCGGAGATGTCTCCTTCACTGCGTTGCAAACTTCTGACTGAAATTATAATACCCTCTGCAAGGGTATAAAAACGTAATACTAAATTAAGCATATTAAATTTATGAATCCCCCTTGGTTGTCTCATACAAAAAAGGTTTTATCAATTCAACTTTAGCTCCAGCTTAATAATTTTAATTTAACTTGTAAGCGTATTAAACAAGTAATTGTTTAAAATAAAAATATAAATAACTTTCCAGAAATAAAATAAATATATAAATTATTATATATTTAAATTTTATAACTCTTGGGTTTCCATTGAACTTGTATTTTTTCCTTAACAATAGACGGACTTAAAACTGAGCTAAAATTAGTTTACTCCAGAAAATTGTTAAAAAGAATGGAAAATAAAAAAAAACCTAACCGAAAATCAAGCATATTAATTTGACAAAACCTTAAAAATAGATTATTTTCTTTCTTTTTATCGACTGCCCAACTTAAGTATCAAAAACATATGGAACATTAATTTTTTAGAAGTTGAATGAATATCTCAGTTGCCCAAGAACTGAATTTTTGAACCCTTTTAACTTCCGTGAGGCTTTGAAATTCTCAAGATTGTTAAAATTGTCTTTTGTTGTTATTGTGAACTAAAAAAGCCAATAAGCTCCATGAAAATCGGACTTTTGAAAATATTTTGAGTAATGTAAAAATTTATAACTCCAATTATTTACTTTGAATTTGTATTTATTCCTTTACAATGGGCGGACTTAAAACAGAATACTCTAGTTTAGGCGTAAGATGCGGGTGTAGATACCTAGGAGTCGTACCAGGTCTTCTTCATCCAGTTGGAAGGCTTGCAGGGCTCCTCGAGCACCACGAAGGCTCCTCCGGCCGTGGATCCCATTTGATTCCCAGCTGCCTGCTTGGCAGCCCTCCGACAGCCCACGGCGTACTTGGGATTCCCCTCGATGATGGAGGAGTTCTCGCGGCAGTTGGCGGCATTCTGGAGGACAGAGGCTCGTCTGCCGTATCTGGCCGGCTTCTTGGCCGTATTGCCGCCGCCCACGTCCTCGAATCTGGTGGCTAATGGCTGCTCCGGCTGCTCTGGCTTACCCAACCGCTGTCGCGAAGTTCTGCGCTTATGGGGAGCCTGAACCTCCAAGGAGGAATCCGAGCTCTTGCGGGGATTACCGGGGGTAACAGTGGGTACACCTTCCAAGTCCCTGGGGCGCTCCCTCAACTGATAGTTGTACTGCGCTCGGCGATATTCCGGCGTGGCCGTTACCTCCGCTGGCGGAACCGTAGTTAGAATAGGGCTCTCCACATCCTCATCCTGCGACGGTTGATGGTGATGATGATGATTCACGGAGTTGGGCAGCCGGAAACAGGAGGTGGGCTTCTGGACAACTGGACGGGAACGCGGAAAGTCCTGATAGTTGTTCCGATACTCCGGATTGAACTCGATCTTGCCGCGTAGCCGGAGGAATGGCTCACGGGGTTTGCCCCGCTCCGGCATTTCGGTGATCTGCGGATCGCGGAAGCTCTCGTGGTACTCGGGAATCTCTTTGGTGAACTCCCCGCGCGGACGCAGGTGGTCGTCCGTCTTGAGGGACTTCTCTTTGGCCATGTGCTTGGGTGGGTCGATGAATTTTTCGCGGTACTCCGGCAAATCCGCTGTAGACTCGCATGGCTGGCAGGCGGCCTCGGAGCCGGAGACGCGCAGGTTGTCGTCCTTCTTGATGGGCGCACTCTTCGAGTAGTTAGCATACATCCGGAAGCTGTCCCGATACTCGGGCACGGCCACAAACTCGCCCTGGATCTTGATGCTGCTCATCTGGGGAATCGAGTGCGCCTTCTCGGGGAACTGCTGGACGAACTGGCGGCGGTACTCGGAGGGTTCCGGCACCTGGCCCTGCTCATCCCGCTCCCTGTCCACTGCCTGTGCCCTCATCTGGAGGTGGCATCGCTGCTGCTCCTGTGCGGCCACATCCCGGCGGAACTTGTCCGCCGCCAGTTTGCTGTTGGGCTGCTGCTGGTGCTGCTGGTGCTGGTTCCTGGCCGCCACCTCGGACTCGTCCAGGAACACCTCCCGCGGCAGTATCTTGGTGCTGGGGTCCAGCATGAGGTACGAGGAGTTCTTCATGCCATTGGAGGCTCCCTCGGTTCCCTCTCCCAGCTGCAGGTTCTCCGGATTGCGAACGGGGAAGGTTCGGGAGCTGGGAATCAATTCACTGACGATTAGCCTTTACTCAACTACTAATCAATTGGTTGCTGTTAGGTACAATTACAATTGATGAACAATTTTCTACTTGAATTTTTAATTAAGTATCTTGCCAATGAAGTTTTAATTAAATGTAAAAGACCTAAGTATGCAATACAAAAAAAAAACAACTTTTTAAAATATTGAATGATTGATTTGTTACTTCTATTTCATAAATAATATTTATTAAATATGTATATAATTTTTTTTACAAAAAAACAGAACCTTCTGAAACCTAACTTTTTCTTTAGCAAACCTTAATAGTCAAATAAAGAAAAAGCCTGTCTAAATTATAAAAGAATATTGTGAGCTATTATTTATCCTGTATTTATCAGAAATACTTTTTCTATGAGCGACTAAGTGTGTTATACAAAATGAGTACACCCAGTATTCAATGATCGATTCCTATCATCGATTTTAGGACTATGTGCACCCAGAGAAAAGCCCCATAGTAAAATTAAACATTAAGATGTTTGAACGTAACTTTGTTTTTCAATATATAAACTTATGTAAAATAAACTAAAAACATGATAATGTAATTATTAACATATTTAACTGGTATAACCAATAGAAAAATTGTAGTTTTCAATTTTATATTTAATTTAAAACTAAGCTTTTCATGCACAAAAATAAAAATGAACGTTTAACACACTTTGATTTAAACACAACACACCTCGGATCTAAATCAGTACCGCAAATATTTGAATCAAAGTGAAAATATTTGGATCTACCATGATTTTTTCTCCGGGTGTAGTCATATACTCACAATCGCAGGTCCTCGGGCGTGTACCAGTGGTATTTCTCCTGGTGCTCCGACAGCAGCTGCATGAATCCCTCCAGACGCAGCGAGGTGGAGCGCCGCAGCAGGGATCTAGGGCGGGATTGGTGGCCACGGAACTGCTTGCGGTACTCGGACTTCAGGGAGCCAAAACTGGGGGGCAGTGGATCATCGCCGCTGTGCAGGCACACGTTGCTCCGGGTGTGCAGATGGACGGGCTGGTTGCGCCGACGGAAGTATTTGAGGTCATCGACGGCTATGTACTCGTGCGGATGCTTGATGGCGAACCGACTGAGATCGCCCTGCTTCTTTTGGTTGGCTGTGAGATCCGGCTCGGAGAAGGAGCGATTCCAGCCAAAGTCGGCATCAAAGCTGTCGATTAATATAAAGAGTGATAGTGATGTCTTAAATCCAAAAGTAACATCCGTTTCGGCTTGGCTTTAGCTACGAACTAAGTTACGGTTTCGAAAAAGTTACGGGTATCGCTGGTGGTCGCCACCACAACCAAATAAACAGGTAGGTCCCTTAATAACGGGGCAGGAATTCCTCCTTCCTCCTTCTTCCTTCTCCCTTCGAACTTTTGCATTTTGCAATAGAAAAGTGGAGGTGGAGACGCCTTCAGACTGAAGGCATTTCTCCACATCCACATCCATATCCACATCCACCTCCGTATCCATTTGCAGCTCATGGCGTGCCACTAACATGTTGCTAGGCACACTCACAAAACCTTTGTAAACAAACTAATGAATAGGAAAATGGATAAAATTGCTGCAAATTAGAAAATTGTCTATTGGATTCGACGGGAGCAGCTGGTGGTTCGAGGCAGGGTCGGTTCTGAGGGAAACGGTATAACAACTTTGAAAATCTTAAAAAAAAAATATTTTTAAACCAAAAATCAGTTTATTATTTGCCTTAACTTTTCAGAACATTTAAAAATATAATTTATTTATACCAAATATTTTTTGGAATATGAGTTTGTAAAATAAATAAAAAAAAGTACATCTAAGCCTTATTTTATAAAAATATGATATTTTATTAATAAAAACACACTTAAAAACAACACTTAAAAATAGAAGTAATTTTATAACATACTCCTAGACAGTTTGATTTGAGAACTTTGCCATTTTGTGTACATATAGTATTAAATAATATAACTTTTTGGTTAAAAAAATCAATATAAGACTGTTTTTTTTTTATCAAAACTCCATCAAAATTCTTCAACATTTAGGAATATAATTTTAGTGACACCAAATCTGTTTACAATTCTTAACCCCTTTTTTATCAAATCTGTCCCTGGTAGCATATATGATACCATTCCCCAAAGCAATCAGTGCCAATCAATAGCTCACGAAATCGCAGACTTTTGTTAGTCCTGACAACGCCCGCCGTCGCTCCAACTGAGGTCCTTGGTAATCCATATCCGGAAATGGGTTTTTTGTTGAGGCATTGCCAAGGACTCGAGCCAGAAAGCCATTAAAAATGCACAAGGATTGCCAGTCAAAGGTGAACCTGCGCGCATGCAAATTGCGCTTTTTTATGCCCCGGATTCGAGCTAAATGTGACCACAAAAACACCTGTTGCTTCAGCACACATTGGAATTTAAAGTTTTGCCTTACGTGTAGAATTAATAATTGTAATTGATGGCTGCCAAAGTGTTGAATTATCCGTAGTACAAATGGCTTTACCATGCTGCGGGTGGAGTGTGCGTGTTTCGCTGGCGAAATCAAAAAGTCAGAAACGGAAACAGACAGGAACATAAAAGGGCTGTGCACGTAACTAGACCCCAAAGTCTGACCCAATTTCGGGGCGAACTTTGGAGCTATTCGGTAGCGCTCTCCTTAAGACTTCGTTAGAAAAGTCCAGCCAACGACTAATCTTGACAATGCCAAATGACCTTTGGCTATTTTTAAAGCAGGCCACCCAGCGTAACGCAACCCATTTAAATATGCTAATCAGTTCGCAACCAGGCTGCGATACTCGGGACACACATAATTACAAACGCAGATTTATGACTATTTAATTGCTGTTACACAGCCTAGTCACGCCACAGGGCGTATACGTAATGCAATAAACAAGAATGCACCATTATGTTAACAGCAATAAAAACAAGACAAGGTCAGCCGCAAGCCGGGAATTCGATTAGGTCTAACTTCACTCACTTTAAATCAGTTGCAAAACAAACGGGTCACTTGTGTAGTAGGATTTAAGTTTGTTTTTTAAAGAGAATAGGAGTTTTAGAGTCCTGGCACAATCTGAATTTTTGTTGGATTATTAAATCGACTTAAAAATAACAAAATCGCCTTGCTTAAAAATCTTTATTTATAGTTTGGCATTAAAAAAAGAGCTTTTGTGTCCTTTTTTTGAACTGCAGTAAAAATATTTCCCAGTTCCTTAAAAAAAACGTAGTAAATCCAAGTATTTCATATTCAATTTAAATATATTTTAAACTGTTACATTTTTTTTAATTATTATTTTTCTAATTGATTTTAATATCTGAAATAATAATTATAAATAATACCTGATTTAAAACAAAAAGGAACCAATATCTAATAAAATATTATTTAAATATTTAACAATAAAATTTATTATTTAATTTATTTACTATTTTATATTGAATTCCAATATGAAAAAAAAATGTTTAATTTCCATTTTTATATTAGTGTTTAAAAGGATTTCTTCATGACATTAGCATTGTTTTCTTATTAAGCAAACTTTGTGCTTTTAAAACACTTTAACGTAAAAAATGTGTCAGTTTGTTTTCTAGTAAAATAGGAAATAAAAACTGGAAGGGCTACAATTAAAGCCACTAGAACAACTTAAATGGGTTAGGTTATAGCACAAACTTTTGGGAAAAGTTAGCATATTTCCATTAAGCAAAGTTGAACTTAATACAAACCACTTTAACTTGGAAATTGTGTAAGTATATTTCCCAGTAAATTAGGGCATATTGACTTGAATGAACACATGAAACCAGAACAACAACTAAATTAGGTCAGTCTATAGCTCAAGCTTTGGGAAGAGGAGTTTTGTACTAGCCCAACCTGTTAGCCCTTTTAAAACCAGCTAACGAGGTCAGTTAGTACCGAATATTTAATGTAAAACTTAGTCTGCACTTCCTTCGCCTTACCCATCGCTGCTTTTCCAATCGTAGGCAATGGCCATGGTTGGTTTCCTTTCGTTTTGGGGGGAGCTGCGCTTTAATTAAACATCGAATAAGTCTGCACTTTGGGGGCAACACTTGGAGCACTCATGGTGGGCACACCCATCTCCACTAGCTGGCCACAAAACCCAATCATCGCACCGACCACGCCGAACCGCAAAAGGCGCCATTCAAGCGCAGCTCGCCGCTCCACAACTTGACCGCTCAGATCGTAAATCCCAACTGAAAGTTAGCCCGTTTTTCGCACGCCAACTTTCCGACTTTTCCAACTTTCCCCCCCCCTCCATCCACAACCACCTTTTAACTCCATGGCGCTTCTGCCGCTCCAACATTTTCCCACGGCGACGACTGACTTGAGGTGTCACTGGGGGGATTACAACAAAAGGAGGTGATTTCATTTTTTGGGCTGAGACCTAAGTGCTCCTGCATGCAATCGCGCGTATAGAAGTTTATGGCCTGCCACTCCTCCTCCAAAATCAAAAAATTCTGCCAGCTGCAGTTGATTTGAATATGAAATGGTGTTTTGATTCCGATTTTGGCCACCCGCTGCAGCTGTCAGAAATTGAGTTCTTTAACCCAGTTCGCAACGTTTTGACGCCTCGCTAATGAAACCATGCCTGATTTACTCGCCTCTTAACGATTTCATTTCGCGACGCGGTCTCTCCATCATGATAATAATTTCCTTTTGGCGCCAGGCACGCAACTCCGGAGTACATGGCTTTCAATTGTCATGAGCAGCGGTGGCTTCCGGTATCGGGCTGCGGCTGCGGATGCGGGTCAAGGCCAAATCAATTCGCCCGCGGCGTCGGAAATGCTTACTGACAGAGTGTTGTTTGAAATCGCAATCGGAGTGAGTTGGATTGGCGTTTACTTTATTGCTTCTATAGCTAGCTAGTTAACCAGTGTGTGCACATTGTGTGTGTGTGGGTTGTGTGGCTTGCCAAAGATCAGACCTTGGAGAGGCCCTCCCAACGGTTCGGAACTGTGAGGAAGTAGCGATCCATGGCATCGATGAAGCGCTGCTTGTAGCGCTCCGGATTGACCACCGTGGGATCCTTGCCCTTGCCGCCCAGAATGCCCGAACCCTTGAGTATGGACTCCACTCTCTTGTCCAGGGTGAAGGTGCGAATGTAATCTGTAATGTAAACAGTTTTGAGTATGGCAACTAAAGCAGCTTATTGAGTTCTAAGAACTACCTATTATGCCTAAAACCAGAACGCTGTTTTTCTGGTCCAAGCCCACCAAAAGTGAGTAGTCCATGACAAGATTCTTTTCCAGAAAAGAGGAATCTCGCTGGATGGCATCCCGAAGCACAGTTTTACTATGCGACAAAACGTACAAAGGTTTCGACCAGGACACTGTAAAATATGAAGGTTTCATTTAAGAATTGTAAAGATTTGTGAAGCAAAACCACTTACTCTGCACTAGATTTTCATCCAGCAGGACAATTTCGCCTTGCTGGTTGCTGGGATCCACCAAGCGATTTCTCTCCGAGCCCTTCAAGTCGAACTTGTTCTCGATTTCGCAGCCATAAAACAGGTTCTCCATGACCATCACCGAACGATCCACAGTGGAGCTAAAGTTTAGAAGGTGTTTAGGGTTAATAACGCTAACTAACATATATGATTAGCAAATACCCACTCCTTTTTCTTCACGGTGACTTTGAAGACGCCAAAGATCTTGGCCAGCAATGTGGGCAGCTGCTGCTGCTGGCACTTTGCAATGTACTCAAAGTATTTCGGAGCGAATGGCTCAAAGATGGTCATGTCCTTGGAGTTCATTTCCTTGAGCACAAAGCGATCATCTGTTGGTTATAATGATTGATCAGCACTAGATTGCATATTGTAGGGCTCTTATATTTAAACTGAAACTTACCCAGCGTCTTGCAGAACCGCGATCCCGATTTGCCGCCCCTCGCCTCCCACTGGACACTTTTGCAAAGGCTTCGCGCCAAAGCGATCCTGGCCTCCTCCTCCAGACTCGATTCCTCGGTATCGATGTTCCGGGGAGCTCCAACATCGCTGGGCTTGCGCACCAGCTCCATTTCGGAGCCGGTGCGACTCTGTGAGATTCTTAGCTCCTCGCGCATCTTGCTCTTCTCCAGCCGGCGGTACAGGGACTTGTCCAGCTTGGGTGGCTTCAGGCTCTTGCATCGCATTGCATCGAACTCGCGGGCAAAGTAGATCTTGCACTGGAACTGGCAGCTGCTGTCCTGGAATGCCATCGTGATATGTGGACTTGGGGGCTGCTTGGTGCGCTCCTTGCCCTTCTCCTCGGACTCGGATGTGGCAGCTGGAGGAGGAGGAGGAGGAGGAGCAGAACCGGGCGCATTGGGAGCAGCACTGGTGTTGCTCGAAGTACGCGACAAACTGGGACTGGCATCCTCGGCATCGCTGAGGCTCTCGCCCAGCGGAACCTTCCGCTTCAGCTGGGGACTCGAATGGGCAGCAGAGGAGTTGGAGTTGGCCTCCATCTCATCCACTGCCTTTTGATAATCCGCCGAGGTCAGACTGTAGGCAATCACCGAACTCAGATCGGTTTCGCGAACGTGTATGGGAATGGCTCCCAGCGGAAGCGTCAGATGATCCTGGGCGGGAAAAGGTGACTGCAGTGGGTTGACCTGGTTGGCCGACGGCAGCAGCTGGGTGAGAATCTTCTTGATCGACTTCTTATCCGAATACACGTTCACGGTGGAGGCCAGCAGCTGGTCAATAGAGAATTTCTTCTCCGAAATCGATATACTTTGACTGCTGGCTGCTTGGCTTTCGGTATCCTCGCTTGGACACTCCAAGGCATCGCTAGAGCTGGTAGTCTTTGAGGAGTCCCCCGTTTGCACCTGCTCCGGCCTCAGTTCCTCCGTGCAGATGGTACCCGAGTCGATGTGATGCGCCTGCTTGGCAGTCAGCTTCTCGATCTCCTGCAGCCGCGGACCCCACAGCTCAATGCTCTCGGCCAGAGCCCTTCGGGCCATGGCAAGGGCATCGCTGGTGTCATACGAGGTGGCCCTGTTGTCCGTGAGCAGGGTGTGCACAATCTCGATCTTCTGCTTGAAGATGAACTGGTCGTGGGTGAGCATGGTCTTCAGTTGCTGCACCAGCGGTGAGTTCTCCTCCTCGGTGGCCAGGTCGGCAATGCGCTCGTGAATCCTGTTGTACACCTCGTGACCCCTCACCGAGAAGTTCTTGATCTCCTCCTGGGTCTGGGCGCTGGCAAAGGCTTTCGGAAGATCCAGCTGTAGACTCAACGAAGGCAGATCCGTTTCCCACACCTCAACGGGGGTGTACTGGAACTTGGCGCCCACGCCGCGAAAGCTAAAGTGGTGGACATAGTCCCGATGCAGAGAGTGCTCGCATGGACTGCCCGCTCCCTGCTGCTCCGCGTCCGCCGCAGGAGGACGTCGCTTGTAAGCGTGGCCATGGAAGCGCATCTCCAGGTACTTGGCCAGCGAAAGGCACTTTGCGGAATCGGCCAGCGGAATCGTGGGCGTCGTGGCATTGCATATGCTACACCAGGAGGTAAAGTATATTCTTTTCGGATCGGAACGCGTCGAGTCTTCGGTAAGGTAGACATGGACGCAGCCCAGCGAGTGGACATAGCGACGCACATGCCCCAACATGGGCAGATTGCAGGACGGACACATCGAGTTGAAGAGGCAGCAGTAGCGCTGGAGGAACTGCTCCAGCATTATGTCGTATTGCCCGTAGAACTTCATGTCCAGCAGCATGGGCAGCTTGCAGAAGGACGACACGCCCTTGGGATTGTAGTGGAAGCTGCAGAAGAGCACCGGCAGCCGCTGGTGGTTCTGCGGATCCAGGGCATCCCTGTACAGCTGCTCCTCGCTGATCTTCTGCGGCCGCTGTACGACCTCCGCGTTCTTTTTCTTCGGCCGCAGCACTGTGGGATAAATGAGTAGTGATAGTGATATGGATTCATAGATGGCTACGATTGTTTGCTTACTGGGAGCCTTGCCCTTGGGTATGCGACCGCCGAAGGAGCGGAACTCGGCCAGTTTGGACTGAATATCGCGACTGCTGGCCGGAGCCGTGATCTTCATCTGCACGAAATCAGAGGGCGGAAGTAGCTGCACCTGATTCTCCTTGTTCCCTGGCTCCGATTTGCCAGCTTCCGCATCGCCCTGGCTGTCTGGTCGCTCTAGGCCCGTGCGTGACCACTGCTTGGAGAAGTACAGCTCGGCGGGAAAGAGTTTGCGCAGCTTGCACTTTCGGCCCTGCTCTGTTTCCAAATAGGGAAGGGGAAAGGTCAGGAAGGGACTGACCGAGAGCAGCGTGGAACTGAGTGCTGTGCGGAATCGGTTGTCGTAGCGCGGTTCCACGGCCAGCGCCTCCACCACGGGTAAAGTAGACAGAGCCTCGGATTGGCTGGCACGCAGTGGATCCGTAAAATCGGACACATTCTCGCTGACAATGGTGGTGATCTTATCCTCCGACTTGCGCTCCACAATAGCAGGCCGTTTGGCTCGAAGTTCCGCCTCGGTTTCCGTTTTGGGACTGGTTTCCTTCGAGTCGAATATCGAAGGCTTGGGACTCAGTGGCTGGGCAAACTCATTAAGCAGGAAAGACATCTCCAAGCGCCAGTTGTAGCGAGCAAACAGAAGCGCAGATGCTACCCGCTTGACCCTGGTGAGTTCTGCATTGCTTCCTCCTCGCAGCAGACAGGTGTATCCCCGCGGATTGGTGAGCTTCTCGAAGAACATCAGCGTCTTGCCGTTGTAGTTGCGTATGTAGAAATCATTGCAGTAGCCCAGCTTGGGCATGGTTATATTCGATTCGATGGACGAGACAATGTCGCACTGCAAAGTGCGTGACAGACGTTCCATTACCGACAGTTTCACATCCAAGACCAGCGTTACGCCATACGATCTCAGCAGATCCTGGGCAATGCCAGCCACATTCTTGTGCACAAGCACCACGTTGGGTGTGAAGCTCATGATGCGGGCACAGACATTGCGCAAATACTCCTTTTCCTGCAGGAGAACCGTCTCAATGGTCACGAATTTGCCCTCAATGCGCTCGTAGACAATGGGACACTGCAGTAGGAGGATGCGGGGAAAGGGCACATGCGTGGCCATGTCCTTGTGGGCCACGTTCTTGGAGAAGGCCACGCCGTGCACAATCTTCGAGTCCTTGCGCCTGCCACCCGGCACCTTCTTGAAGTTCACATAGTTGCGGATGTCCATCAAATCGTTGGTGCAGTGC